AGGCCAGTCGGGCGCGCTGGCTGGGGTTGGATCCGCAGGTACGGACGTAACAGCAGATCACCCAAAGCCACCGATCTCAGATGTGACATGTCTTGGTTGTCAACGATATTTTGACTTCTGCTAGTCGATGAACACGTGAGATGCAAGCTTCTTCGAAGCTTGTGAAATATAGAGTCCCTGTCAGATATACCAGCCGAGTGCCACCAGCTCCGCCGGTATCCCAGATTCCGTCTGCCTAGCTGCCAACGGGAACGTCATCGAACTCAACTCGCTAGCTTGGTCGTCCCCCGTTTACCATCCCCGAACCCGAGACCGAGGATCGTCATCGCCGCCATCGCCGCCATCGTCAGCTACACGCTTAGTCAAGGCGCGAGCTTAGTCAAGGCATGCTCCGTTTAAGCCCTAAGTGGTCGAGCGCTGGGTTACAGGGATGAACTTAGCTCGCCATCACGACCGATGCCCTAAGAGGCCAACCAATCACGAGGGCCGTTACCCGAGGCTTCGACGACAGGGTTCGTAATAGTCGCGTCAGGATATCAGAGAGTCTAGAGACGGTTAGGCGTAGGGGAAGTGGACTGGCAGGCCAATCTATCATGTCTCTCCCGTGCAGACACATCGTAGGTAAGCCATATGGCCTGCTGCGACTCGTGGGCTATGCAGCATTTGCCTCTCTTGATTGCACCGTCGTTTGTGCAAGTTGCCGTCGAAATGAAGACTTGCATGCGTCCAGCCAACATCTCCACTATCAAACCTGCCAAACAGTGAAATTGTCGGCATGTTTCAGATCGCGACACTCTCGCCGTTGGGAAGTCCACTGCAGTGGCAAGTGCCGTGATCCAGGCTTGTAGCCGTCCAGGCCATTTCAATTCAGCTCGGTTCATCTCACCTAGATTCATTCTGTGGGATGGAGCGCGCCTTGGCCTTGGTGTTGTCGGAGCACAGCATATGCCAGACTGGGACAACCTGGGACAAAGCTCCCGGCTCGACTCAAGCACGCCGCTTCGGTCTAGCCTCTCGCGGAATCCTTCTACCTTGTGGTTCTGGTTTGAATGCATGTAGAAATCCAGTGAAGCGTGGCGTCGTGGCATGGGAGGCGGAATATTCCATCGTATGCTGCAGTTGGGTCACGAAAGCCAGCGTGATGTCGGGCCGAATCGCTACTCCTCTCTGGTAGGCATGTTGATCTGGATTCCGCTGTCATGGTGATTCTCCTGTTTCCTCTCCTCGTCAGGGCCATGCACTTCATGATCACACCGAAGCAGCAGTGCCACGCTTGGGTCGACGTCTGGTAGTAGCGCAGTAGCTCCAGCTTGCCCAAAGCATATCGCCGGGTCTGAATGGGGGCGGAGGGTCGCTCAAGCCGCAGGTCTCACGTATGATTCCCAGATCTCGTGCCATGTGATAGATCATTAGTCTGCAGCCCCCAAGTCCACAGGGACCTGCTGAGCCTGGTGTCACAATAGCACTGCTCCAGATCCCCATAGTGGACGGGCAGTTTGGAGAGGCTTAGTTCGTCAGCAACTGTCTGATATGCAAAGAGAATCTCGGTGGTATGTACCTATGCATGTCACCTAGCGCCCGCAGGGGTAACACATGGTAACGGGCAGGGCCAAACAAACATGGTCGACCTACGGGCTTTTCTGGGGTAAAGAAGCAATTTTGAAACCACCTCGTCAATGACAACACCGGACGTGCACGCCTTTGCCGCCGGAAACTCGGATAGAGTCATTGAGGCTCGAGTGCTAAATGCCACTAGCACCGCGGAAAGCCTACCGGATGGCGCTCATTGGGGGCTACTGGGGTCATAGCAAATGGTGGTGACGAGCTGACCAGTCTGCATTGTTCTTTCACATCAAGAAGCGAGGCTCTGGCATCTAACTGATTAGAGCCGTGTCCAAAGCCTGTGAGTTATGGCTGTGCTCGGCAATTTTAGATCGCACTGTCCGTTTGCTCCAAGCTGGGACCGGTGAGCATGCAAAGTCATGTCATATCGATGCCTCTGTCGAATAGGATGAAGAGAATAGCCAGCATCGGTTCGTCTGCTCCAATGCTCGCCCAATCGTCAAAGCGGGGGCCGGTCAGGGCCCTGCTGCGCCAGGGGTCTTCCGTTTGCGAGTCTTGCGATGTATATAAGTATACAAGTTGTCACAGGTATGTAATTGCTTCCGGCCGTGCCACACTCGAAGGCCTACAATTCGTAGACACGCGAGAAAGTAGTTTCTATACTACTTTGCCTGCCGGCTAACTTACCCACGCCGATGTGAATCTACCGACCCCATGCTTTATCCCAAGTTCGTTTTCTCATTGGTTCGAAGCTCTCCATCATTTCCATTGCGAATATGCGATGAAAATGTGTCAATATGTACCAAAAGGGGGACAGGGGGATACATGTTCATGGAGACAGGCACTGATCAAACGAAGATATGACAGAGCCTGCTCCAAATATGAAGGTTTCCAAGGCACCCATACGGACCACGCGATTGCGAGCACGGTATCAAAATATGCAATCTCGCCTATGCCGGCCACACAAAGTGCGGGCCTAGCCTCTTTGAAGGGGGCAAGTCAGAATCCTCAAACGCGCAATCGTCACGGAATCTCCCAGCCATAACGTTATATGGGGAACCAGCTTCGGGCCCGAGAAGGCGAAATTCTCGCTGATTCTTTCACCCGTAAGGTCAAGGACTGACGGCAAGACGAAAGTTTCCACTTTCCCCGACTCTTCAGGACTCAGGTGGTAGGCAATCGAGGCAATGTCCCTTACGGAAGCAGGCCGATCGGAACTTACTCGTGTCCAAGGCCCGCGGTCTGTATCACACGGTGTGAACCCAGTGTTGGACAGTCATAAACCCGCTCCTGGGGGTTCAGTGATGAGTGACATGAGAAGAGAACAGGCGAGAGGAAGGTGAGCCGCCAATGGAGACTGCCCAATGCGTCAGCTCTATCGCCTTCATCGGTGTACAGCGATCCTCTCTTTGGCATCGCCATTCATTGCTCGAAACCGAGCGTCTGGCATCCCACTGATCATGGTTCATGTCATCGTCCACCCTGCCTTCCCATGGCTTTCGCTGCTGCATATCTCGGTAGGAATATGCCCAATCTGCAACAAACTTACGAGCCCTATATTATTATTCTGCTATGACGTTATCATGAAACCAGTCTTTATTCCTCAAAGTTAGATCTCAGTGGGCTCGTGGATATGAGGATGACTCCCGTATTACGCCTTGAATTCAAGAGTTGGGCTTCACCGAGCGATTCTGCTATCCAGTCTATCCCAATTCAACATCATTCCGATATGCTGGAGTACCCCCAAAGCTCGACGAGGAACGGTGCTGGCGCTGATCTGCGCTTGAATGCAAAGTAACCCACCATCACGGGCGCATCGTCGTAGTCAGACATTCTGCGGCAACTACGATCAGCTTGAAATCTACTATAACTAGTCCTTATTCCGGTTGGTGTGTCTTAAGCACCGCATTCTATTTCCAATGAGTCAGAACGAGTCAGGCTCTAAGCGGCTATGTGCTTGAGCAGAGCCTCCTGGGTCCGGAGAGAGCCTTGCGATAGCAGATACTGACAAAAGTACTATCAGTTATCTATGAGGTTGTACACGGGCATACCTTATCACTGGGTCTGGATCTTCATAGGATTAGTTAGGACTAGCCAGCGAAATGATTCATTGCAGCTCACTACTATCCGGGTAAATGATACGTTGTATTCACCTGTAGTGAAATCAGGTACCAGACCACCGGCCTGGTTCTTGGAAGCTCTTCGAATCGAACATGTCCATCGACACACTGAAAAGAAGTAGTCTCAGGGCTATCCTGACCAGGAAAACATCGCCAACATTGGCTGTCTCGCCGAAAGAGTTCGCCCGTGTTTTTCAGCTGTTCACGAACTCAGTATATCTGAAGATGGCCTGATTAAAGGCCGCGCCGCGAGAATGGCGTGGTCTCTCATGCGAGCCGTCGTACGAACAGGGCCTCACCCGAGAATGCTCCCCTCCAGTTGCCTGCAGGCAGAGAGCCTACCCGCCCGGAAGATACTGCGACATTCCAGAGCGATTAGAGCTTCAGCAAATCACAATCCCCAGGCCATGGCGCCGCAAAGTTCCGTGATATCCCGTACGAACTGTCAACGGGTTGGCACATTGCACATTGCCTGCTCGCGGATCGACGCCAGGGGTTGCCCGAATCTTGAGATCGAAGAAAGTATATTTCTCTCTGCAGCAACCTCTACGCGCAGTCTAATCTCCCCCAGCTGCATGGGCCATTGGGTCTTCATCCTTCTTCCTGGCTTCACGGGTAGCTTCTGGGTCTCAGAAAGATGAGATGCCTTTCCCGACCCAGACTGTCGGGTCAGCTCTCCTCATATACGGGAGACTTGAACCCCATCCGCTCCATTCATCTGCCGACCAGCGGGGCCGGAGCGACATACCTTTCAACATGACGCGGCAGCTCCAGGCGTCGGGCCCTGGACTTCTCTTGGGTTCCTCAAGCTCTCTATTTGCGTCAAGGCTAGCGCGCAAGAAGCATCAAGTTGCCGCATTCGTTCGCTTGTCATTTCCAGATCGGGGCGACGACCTGCGTGTCATTTGCTAGGCTCGCTTCTTCTACCCCTAGGTCAGCTCTGTCGTGGCCCAGAATCTCTCTTCTGGATTGTTTCTAGTTTCTGCTGTGATCGTGATCCGATCTGTCTATTCTAATTAACCGCATGGGCGATCGCCCGTCAGGGGATTGAAGATACAGGGGGCTCTTTGCTGCTGCTCCCTGATGTTGTCCGACACCGACGATCCTCACGAGGCTCACCGACGCGCATATCATACGTGGCCATACAAAAGAACGAAGCTTGGGGGAGGCATGGTTGGTATGTGTAGGTTCAGCTCGGCGAGTCTGGCAGGACGCTACCAGAAGATTCGAAATGCCGAAGGGGAGTTGACATCTCAGTGCCTTAGTCTTCTGTAACGTGGCACCGGGACTCCTTTTACCACCGCTGAACCAATCGTTCTAGGCCCCTACGTTGAGGAGGCACCATCTCGCGGCGAGCACTCCGAGTTTTGAGATACCGGTAGGCCATGTCCTACCTAGCAACAACCAGCTTTCCACCGGTCGACGAGGCTTTTCACCGTCCCGCACGATCGTCTGGTGGAAGAAACTCCGTTCTTGGGGAGTCGCCCGGCAATCATGCATCAGATAATCGATTCGCAGCGAGCCAACTAGGGACGCATCTTTCCGATGACCAAATCCTGTTTCTTGCACGAAGGACCTCCAGGAGTGGCCAGAATTGAAGCCTGAGACCAGCGTTAACGCCCCGTTGGCCTCCAGCTGACCTTCCTTTACATTGGTACCTTTTGTTGGGCACCGGCCGTCCTCGGACAGGTTCCACCGGTAGCGGGAGGGTATGCAGTTCGCAAAAATCGTGCAAGGCATCCAAAGCTGCATCTCCGGGCGAACGACGGGAACGTCCTTGCCAAGTTGCGAGGATAGTCCTTCGAGCCCAGGAATGTCTGGCATAACTTCTGCTTCCCCCTTCTCCACACACCGGCGTGTCCGCCTTACACGAGGAGCGGGGGTCGGAAACATGAAAACCCATTTTGTGATTATTATCTTGAGCTCTCGACGGCCGGTTCTCCCGAATTCCAGGCTCTTCAGGCTGCAGGGATCATGTATACTCTTTACCTAATAGCAGCCAGTACCAATAGCACGATGTTTGCTGTCAAGGTCATGAAGGATAGCGAGCTCATGTAGTTGCCACCAGTGAATTCCGTTTCCGTAGACACGGCAATGAGTCATCTTTCCCTTGAGTTGACGTCCAACATGATGGTACCTGGACATAGACAGCTAGCTATCATATCTTGCCCATGAAGACATAGAAATTACCAACCCTTTTAGTACAAGGGTTTGCGGTTGTCTAGGCACTCTATGTCCATGAATGCTGACGGATAAGCTCCCACGGCTCTATACAAGAGCCCGAGCCGGGCAACGAGAATCTTGGCAAGTAGGGGTTTAGGTAATGCACGTGGGTTCTGTGTGATGGAGACGCGAGACAGCCCTGCGTTGCAGCCATTGTAAGATTGCACCCGCCTTATCTCGATTGTCATTCTGAAGAGTTTATTGCGCTGCTGGCCCCTATTGCATGCAGTCTCGGTGAAGAATATGGGAGTTGCTCCGTTGGAGCTCGCTCTTGACATCTCCGTGACCTCCCATCTGCTTCGCTCTCTCCGTCGAAAATGCAAAAACCACTGCGCCTGGCCGCGCCGACTTGGAATCTCGTTCTCTCTCTTTCGCTCGCATGGTGTATTTGCCGAAGCGTTTTCAAAGAGCGGAGCCTCCTGCCACCACCTCGGAGCAAGAGCCTCCTGTGGTCGGGCACCACAAGATCGGGCAGATTGGGTATCGGTAAGTCAATACAACACAGGAGAAGATAAGTTCGCAACTGACTAGTTACCGGAGTTACAACGTGGTAGCATCCTCTGACCGCAATTTGAACCATCACCTGAAGACCCCAACGGCAGGCGCCGAAACAAGAGGAATACGACGAATGCCCTCGCATACGACGTCGACTGCATACAAGTGCCTGACCTACCCAGAAACACACTGCCGCGAACCGAGCCAGTATTCATCGCTGATGTCGCAGCCCGCTGCTACCGACAGAGCCCAGACCGTCGACGCAGCCGCTGGATTACATATCAACAATTTATCTCGTTGGAATTGTTGTTTTGGGACTGGGGCCCTGGCGGTATCTACGAGGAGAGAAGTATATGTACAGCAATACTGAAGCATGCCACATGCTAGAGCGTGGGGATAACGACGATGTCGTATGCTGCTACTGCTGCAACATCCCAGCGCTTTTAGTAGGCCACATACACGGAAGAGACCACCTTCAGCTCCATATAGATAGAGAGAAGACTCGGAACATATTGCCCATTTTGCATGCTCCAATAGCCTTCGGAGCCCGGGCTCACAAGCCTTTCTGGTACCAAAGCACATAGTGAAGCGATACAGACGAGGACCTTGGGAAAGTGAACAGAGCAGGCCTCAGTGGGCATGAGGAAGCCTCCCCCTGAGATCAACACAATACGCAAGCCGTAAGACTATTTCACACACTTGATGTCCTAAACTGTAACCGTGTGCTACAGAGTCCGCCATACTAGACGGCGTTCTTCGTACTTCCTCATGTTAGTGTAGGCTACCGAAAGCACTGCCATATATGCAAGCATTGCGACGGTAAGACCGATACGACATTATAGCTCAGATCATGGCTTGTGAAGCTGTCTTTGTGTTCAAAGAGTACTGCAGTTATCAAAAACTCGTTGGATCATGCTGGTAATAGTAGTCCATTCTAGGCTACATCTCGACAAGGCTTTTGTGCTCAACACCTACTTGTCAGCCATAATCTAGGCTTTTCTTGACACTGCTTAGCTCTATCGCAATGAGAAGCGCCCCGTGTACCATAGAGACCCCATGAGGAAGGAGTAAGGGCGGCCACGGTCTCCCTCTACATCGCCCTCGCACTCCCAGGGTAAAGCAAGTCACCGTGACCAACGCAAAGCCGCTTCGCCAGGCTAGTCTTCCAGAACACCGCTCCTGGCCTTACTGGCATACGATAAGTTGTCACCACAGTGGCTGTCACAAGATTAGCAGGTCATGGCAAGTCCAACCGGGCAATGTTGAGACACCCTATCCACAACTTGCATACACCCCCAGTACTATGTAACAAAGCGTTAGGGGGAAGCAGGAGGACATAGATGGCTTGGAGCAGCACCCCGGCATGCCATCTTCCGGCTCTGAAGCCCATCTGAACCTGCAATTTATCTATATTCTGCTTAAGACCGGAGTCGACGACAACAGAATTGTGATCATGACCCAGGAGGCCGGTAATAAGTGTAGAGACAACATCACAGACCTGCCCCGAAGCAATCTTGTTGAAATAGATTAGCTTCTCGGAACTATGCAACCTTGCGTTATGCTGATAAGCATACCTGCTGTTTGCGTGTATGGTAGGTACTATTGTATTGGAGCACTCCAAGTGGGCTACAGGTCGCGAGAGAAGCAGAGCTGCGCAAGGCAACGAGGCAACAATTGGGTTGCCTTCTTGCAAGGCCGAATTGCCAGTTGACCGTTTTCAACTAGCCTCCTTTCCCCCTACCCATAAGTGCTATCCAGCCATGAATCTAGACATGCAGTCCGAGCCGAGCCCTTTTGATGACGCCAAGAGCACGACACCGCTCCTGGCGTGCTCGAGCCCATACAGCTCAGATTCGACGATGCCTTCCATCAAGCGCCCACGAGCAGGAGACCCCAAATGTCCTTAGCTCCTTCACCGCCAGTCCACGCCAAACAAGGCAACCACATGCCATCCTCACCGCCGTCCATCCCGTGCCCGGTGTGCCCGACAAGCGGTAAGAACCTCTGTTTGCTCTACACAGCTTGGGAAATCCAGGAGAGTATTCCTCTGGAGTCGTGAGCTGGGAGCTAGAGAATGGCGGCGGATTTCTGCTACTGGTCGACAATACCACACTACGGCGGTGCTCGCAGTCGACGCCAAGACCGTCTCTTTCTGGCGGTGAAATGGCATAGCAGGAGCCTGATGGGAGCTTTGCGCTCAAGACTGCATCTTGGTAGCAACATGTCGACATGCCGATTACTATTATCGAACCCGGCATGTCACTCTGATGCCGGTGCTGCTCCAAGGAAACGCTGGAGGGCGCAGACAAAGACCTCCGCAACTACTTACTATTCAGTCCATACAACTAATCGCAATTCAACATAAGAGTCTGTCCAGCTCGTGTATAGTGATCTTGCTCTTTGACGGCCAGTAGTACAGTTCTGTCGTCCGCCACATCCCAGACGCTCCCTCCCATGACGTGAAAGGCAGTGTCTAGAGGTGGTCTTCTTCGACCACCATAATGCCCTCATGGCAGTACGCCAGTTGGAGGTCATTCATACCAAGACGGCTATCGACTGACAAAATATGCACATGTTTCATGACACTGAGCTTTCGCTTCTGCTTGACGCATCTCTAGCAAACCAGCCCCTGCAAGGAGCAATGCATATGCGGGCCTCGAGAGGTAACGGATCGAGAAGATCGGGCTGAAATTGACACTTAAATGTACATCATCTTGACATATCTGCGTATGATCAGTGGCCAAGTTCTCCAGCCTAGGAATAGGGTAACTTCAACGAAACTCCTGATATATCAAGCAACCGTAATCTCGTGCTTCAAGTTCCAGCTCACTCACCACACTCTCGATCACCCCTGCCAAAAGGGGGGCCCAAGTCACAATCTTGCCTCCAGTTCACTCACCCCCCAGGTTGAACGGTGGCAGATCAACATCCCAAGCTACAAGATGCGTCGACGTCACCTCAGTCCCGTCGCGCACGTCTACACACCGCGTCGGTGGTTGACGGGCCTGACACATCGACTGTCCACGATTTACTTGATGTGACCCCTTTCCACGTGGAGAGGAAAGCGCAACGGACAGCGGATGATAAGTTGATACTCGCCATTGACCCCATGATGGAGGACGAGGGATTCCTGAAACGAACAACCCTTGGTCGAGCTCGCCTAGGGGGCCGTTGGCAAGATTGGACATGTTTGTCATGAGATGAGAGAAACTGGCTTGATCAAAATCCCACATGAACACATTCGTACACATTTCGTATTCAGCCAGCTGCGAGGTCCGAGCACAAGTATGAAACAAGCCCCCTTCGCCCTGGCTTGCGCTTTCCCCTTAACCTACTACGACGATTTATGTCTGCCAGCATCACCTTGTGAGGTTGATACAATTCAGATTGCGCGGATAGTGTACTGGCAGTTCTCTGCTGCCACTACTCTTCAGGGAGCAATGTACGCTGGATCTCCACACACGACTTGGACACCGCACACCAGGCTGGGGTAGGTAGCGGACCTGAGCTCGGTGCGTGGATCGCCAGATATGCCAGGGGTCGTGGGTGTGATGTTCGCCCTGCGCAGAGCCAGTCGTTTCTCTGGATACCACTGACCATTGACGGTTCACAGTCAGTGTATACAAGATGAGCTACATTGAATTCCATGCTCTTATTCCAAGCCCAAGGATACTTATGGTTTACCCTAGAATCGGATTGGGTAGGCGCTGAAGACGACTAGATGGTCACACCTAATCTAGGACCGGAGTCAATGCTTCGGGAGCGCTGTTTCAACATGTGACATGAGCTGCTGATAGTAAGGGGCCACACCATGGTTGATCAAAGGACCTTGGGCTAAGGTCACAGCCCAAGTAGACAGTAAGCCAAATCGTATCCCGAGAGGCCAGCCTGTCTTGTTTCAAACTGATTTTGTACATATCAACTCCAGCTAACGCCGAATAATTTAAACTTATTTGAATCTCCGCTCGAGCTTTGGGCGTCAGCGTTCTCCAGGTATATTCTCGGGTGGCCTTTCACGTCCACGAAGAAGTACTTGTACTCGAAATCGTGGTGGCCCGCTCGTTTGACCAGATGCACATTGACCAAGCCATTACTCAATGGTCCCTCAAGCTAAGAAAGGTCAGAAACTCGAAGCTTGTAGGTGACAGTATGGACCCACGTAGAAATGCATCATCAGATGCTCGTTGCCTTGACCATCGGTCTTGTGTGTAGATCTAGCACGGTCAGAATCTTTTGTAAAGCCAAAGATCACAGATTCCTTACGCAATTGGTCTTGCACGCCGCCATTTGTTCGCCGTCTCCTCACCATGGGCTATGATCTTTTTACTATCCCCCAAAAGTGCCACACAATCGGGGTCCTTCTTGATTCGGTCGACGGCTCGGTTGAAGTAGGCGGTCTTGCTGTCCGGGGAGAAGACATCGGTGTAGAGGAAGTATCCCACGCCGGCCTGAAGAAGGACAACGTTAGCATGCATCGACACCAAGCTGGGCTGCAGGCACTTGTACCGTCATCACGGCACCCAGTATGACCATGCCGAAGTTGAAGGATTGCTGGGTGGCGCGCGACGCCTTCTCGGGTGCCGACAGGTCCCTCCAAGGAACATAGCCGTCATCGTTGAAAGGCGTGACTGCCTTCCTCTTGGAAGCAGTCGAATTGGATCCTACGCCAGGTTGGGTCGCATAGCTTCGAAGCTGCTGGGCGAGGACGGGCCGCAGTTGCGGGATGGGACGCGGTTGCGGGACGAGACCGGCAGCAGCAAGGGGCCGGATAGAGATTTTCATTCTGGAGGGAGGCAGTCCATTGGGGCTGTCGAGTGTGCCGACGCAATTCGGTTTATTTTTCTCGAATGCGGGCGTCCATTGATACTTTCAGATGATGGTTCAATGGATGGAGTCGCTTGGTTGAAGCTTCCTCCTAGCCTCCCCAGCATTTCGAGCTCGGAACTGATAAAGTGGCCAATCGCGACTTGCCCCCTTCGGGATTAGAGTAGCCCCTCGATGTGGGGCTATTCTTTCAGGTGGCATTCTGGCAAGATCTGGCCCATTTCCACTTCCCTCTCTACCTCTCTGCCTCTCCTGAGCATCATTAACTCTCTTGATCTCAACTTTCATAGTTTCCTTTTTCGCATCAAATACGTACGATCTGCACCGCGCATCACATACAGCCAAACACACCCGCAAGTGGACGCCTCGTGCGCACCCATCTCGGCAATATGCTCAACGAAGATGCGGACGCTCCCAAGCAGCTAGTAGACAAGACCTTTGCGGAATTGAGGAAGCAGCCCTTGAATCAGGTGAGCGATGCTTTGACTACCGTTTATATGCGCATGCTGACTCCGTGTGCGCTCCAGAAATGCTTCGAATGCGCAGGACCCGCGGCTTGGGCATCTGTCACCCTGGCCCTCTACGTCTGCTACGAGTGTTCCGGTCGACACCGTAATATGGGCAGCACTATATCCTTCATTCAGTCCCCGACCATGGACAGTACGTCGCACCTGAGCAGCCTCCTGGCCCCCACAAATACGAACGTCTATGCTGACAATACTCAGACTGGACATGGAGAAATCTCCGTAGGTTGAGAGTGGGCGGGAACGAAAGGGCGGCGAAGGTCTTTGGCGACCCGGACAAAACGAACCCCACAGATTATCCGCGCAAGTACATCGACAATGCCGCCGCCGATAAGCACAGAAACCGCCTCAGTCAAGATGTTGCAATGGACATCAAACTGTGAGAGGACTTGCCCTGGCCGTTATCTCAATCAAATAATACTAACCGGCATCAAGGTATCCCGACTTCTTGCGCAATACCACTGAAACGCTTCCTGAAGCCGACGAAGATGAGTTTTGGGGGAAGTTCAACAACGTCAAGAAGCCTACACCCCCTGTTTCGCGGATTGGCACACCACCAGTGACTGGACGCACGTCATCACCTCTCCCGATCACAGGCACCAATGGCAGCGCAATCTCAAGATCGGCATCACCTCTTCCCAAGCCTGACTCTAACGGGGGCAAACCTGCTACCAGCCGAGTCACAACCTCTGCCGCTCTCCGAAAGACGAACCCGACGGGACCCCGTAAAGCTAACATACTCGGTGCAAAGAAGACCACCAAGCTCGGGGCTAAGAAGGTAACGGCAGATGTCATCGATTTCGACGAAGCTGAGAAGAAGGCCAAAGAAGAGGCGGAGCGGATAGAGAAGTTAGGTTATGACCCTGAAGCCGAAGAGGCCGAGACGAAGAAGAAGACACCTGCTGCCCAAACGGAAGCCAGCAATGTTGTATCGCCAACACCAATCAGCCCGCGTGATTCTGCTTCGGAGCGCGCCGGTCAAAAATCGGCCGCCGAGGTCGAACGCTTGGGCATGGGCTTTGGGCGCCTTGGATTCGGTCAAGTGGGAGGTAGCAAGCCTACTGCCGCTCGCGCTGGAGGGTTCGGATCGGTTGGCCCTGCCAAGGCCGCTACTGAAGGTAGGACCTCCCCCTCATCTCATACATCGCCCGATCTTATTGACACAATTCAGATGACGACCAACGCTACGCACGGAACAAGTTCGGCACCCAGAAGGGCATTTCCTCTGATGAGTTCTTTGGCAAAGGGTCATTCGACCCCAGCGCCCAGGCCGAGGCAAAGACACGACTGCAAGGATTCGAGGGGGCCACCTCGATTTCTTCGAACGCCTACTTCGGACGGCCCGAAGAGGAGAACCCCGAGGATGATTATGGCGATCTCGAGTCAGCCGCCAAAGACTTCGTCCGCAAATTCGGAATCACTGCGGGCGACGACTTGGACAATCTGACGAGTGCACTGGGCGACGGAGCCACTAGACTGCAGGGTGCTATTCGTAACTACCTCAACGGCTAAGTAAGGTACGCTCTGGAGCCTGGTGGTACTCAGTGATAAATGGAAGTATCAGAAGCGCGGTTAGCACAAGACAAGGATCAATCGTTGACGGTTTTGAGGATGGGACACGGATGATTGCCAATTCGGACTTGCTAGATTGGGATTTGGGATGACTAAGACGAGACAGCGAGACATGCTATGAAGGCGTACAACAACAAGGAACACGGCTGCTTCGACAGCCCATGGGATCGATAAAAAGGTGTCATAATGGATTGTTAGTATAGTCTACCACAGTGTAAGCTTTAGAAGTTTAGATGAATGCGTCGGACATGCTTGTTCATTACTGGTGTGCGTGACTGAATGCCAATCCGAAGGGCCTTGCCATAGATATGAGTTGATGAACAACTGCTTCGCAGACAACTGGTGTTAGGCCTGGAGTTCTTGACATGAGCTGGCACTTTGGCGATTTGGTATGTCCCTTTGTGGAAAAGGGGGCCGCACTGTTCACTAACCTTGGACTTCCTTTCTTGCAGCTGGCCTGGCTCATAGGCAGTCATACCTACAACGGCGTACGGGTGGCAGCATCGCGAAACCTGCCCAGTTTTCCAGAAATATACTGCCTTTTCTGTGAAACACGACGGGACATGGTCTTTCTTACCTCAGTTCATCAAATCCCAATCATGGGCACGGAGTGCTGGGATGGAGGTGCAGCGACGTATGTACTGAATTTGGGTGGTCCGTGTCATGTGGCTGAGATGTACCAGCCACAATCAGCCACTTGCCAAGCCTTGAGGTCGTCTGTACTGAGATAAGCCATTCCCGAACCTTCCTCCTCTACTACAACAACAACAACAACAACGTCAAAAGCATTCGCGGTCCATGATCGAGTCCATATCTGAGACAGGCTCCCGTGTCTTTTAGAACCCACAAGAACTATGCATCGCATTCCTGAAAACGGGTGGTCAGTGCTAGCCATGGCCGTCTTTCACGGAAAAGGCTGTAGGTATCACCGCGACCGCGCCCGAGGCCTCACACGGTTGGTCGCTGTGTCGCCGTCTATGTCGTATCCGAAGTGGGTAATGTGAGGTCGCCAGCCAACATGCAGGCTTTCAAAATTTCATTGGTCAGATACCTGCTTCGCCGCGCGGATTCTGCCTGGGCGTCCTGGGAAGCGCCCGGCGATGAAACGGGTTGGCTGATGGCTGCCTTTGTTCTGCCTGGTGAGGGCATACTGCAGGCTGGCTGGTTTCGGAAGTGGTGTGTTTCCTGTGGGATCGTGGAAGATATGTTTTCTCGGGCTCTCTCTAATTTATTGTTGCTTCGATTTTGCTACGGCTTGTACACTATCGAGGCTGCTATTCGACGTCGACTCTTCTATCCCCTCAACCCTTGTACCGACGAAGACAACCTGCGGACAGATTCCACCACGGTGTTATTCACCCACGCTTGGTTGGTTCCCCTTTCATTCATCCTGTGCCGGGGCCCGTCGATTGAATTGGGCTGGCTTGGGACAGAACGCAGGCCTGGACCGCGTCGTCCGAAAAGCATCTCGCCGAGAAACATTGAATTGTTTATCCTGAAAGCCGCTTCCCACGCCACTGGCTGATCGATCGAATGGGCGACATGCAGTCAGACGTTTAGAAACTGGACGTGTAAGGGGAATGGTGCGATATCTGCCGCAATCTGGATTCCTACTGTCCTCTTGCTCTAAAGGGGTTCCATCCTCCAGTCTTGACAGGAGATCAATCAATGTGCGATGGCGATGAAGACGACGTTTTCCACAGTGGCTTTTACGTGGATTCAAGGGGCCATAAAACGAATAGCTGGACTGTGGGCGGAGTGACCACAGACATACTCGTCCTCCACCGATCAGTGGATGAAATTTACGCATCGAGCGTAGCTGATTGTAGGTTCTGCAGCACAATAATTGATATACTGCGATTTTTCGTGGATAGAGGCGGCATGGACCCATGCGAAACACAAACCGTCCGCATACACATCAGTGATTACGGGGTTGAACTTCATACTCAGACGCCCGGCTCCTACAATTACTACCCTCCCATTCAATTATATTCGAAGCCAGGTCAGTATGCCACTCCCTTTAGCGCGGGATCTCATTAAGCACCAATGGCAGGTCTGGCACCCGCATTAGAGAACATACCAATGCTGCCTGAACGCAGTCCATTTCCCCGTTCAGAAGAAGCCTTCGAATTCATACGAGATTGTCTAGATATCTGCAGCTGGGACCATCCTCAGTGCACGTCTAAAGAAGGCACGACGGTGCCCACGCGTCTGCTCGATGTCGGTTCGTGGGCTCATCCCTCGATTAAGCTCATTGAGACAAAGAACGTCAAAGTCGATCATTACTTCGCCTTGAGCTATTGTTGGGGCAAAACGACGTTCTTGACAACAACACAAGCCAATATCTCGGCACTGAAAGTGGGCTTGCCGCCGCTGGCCCGGCTTCCCAAGACAATTCGGGACGCTGTCTTCGTAACCAGGCAGTTGCATTGCAGATATCTGTGGGTGGACGCGCTTTGCATTATCCAGGACAGCTCGGCCGATTGGGCATACGAGGCCTGTAGGATGGGGTCAGTCTATCGAGACGCCTTTCTCACTATTGCAGCTACCTTAGCGGATTCGACAGCAGAGGGGTTTCTTTCAACTTTCTGTGACAGAGAGCGCCACCACATCTTCAGCTGCGAATGGACCAATGCCCAAGGCTCGCTCACTAAGCTTCAAGCTAGAACTTTGTTACTGCATTACCCGATATATAATCGTGGCCCTATGGCTCATAGAGCCTGGATTTTCCAGGAATATGTGTTATCAACACGAATGGTCTTCTTTACCGGTGAGGAGATCATGTGGACGTGCGTATCGGGGCATACATGCGAATGTCGAAACCGAAAGACCCTGACCCACCCGATGTCGATCTCCAACATTCAGTCTGCCTTGGAAGCAAGGTCGATGTGGCAGCACTTTGTGGAGCAGTACACAAGTCGAGGACTCACGAACCTTCGAGACAAGCTGGTGGCCATAGCAGGCGTGGCTGAGCTTATTCAGCCTCTCATCGGGTCCGAGTATGTCGCTGGGCTGTGGAAACGCGAGCTCGTACCCGACTTGATATGGATGGCAAGGAGCAGCCCTCACGATGATCTCCCGTTCTCGGATTATACCGCCCCAAGTTTCTCTTGGGCATCGATAGGAGGTGCCGTGATGCCGTGTCGAGGCAGAATCATAGAGGAATGTCAACTACTAGACGCCCAGGTCTCTCTATCGGGTTCGAGTCCCTTCGGCCAAGTCTCTGGCGGCTGGATCCGTCTTCGTGGTTATCTGCTCACCACGACTTTCATCGCGGGAGAATTTTTTTTGAGCGACGAGAACTGGGTTAGGCGAGCGATGTTCGACGGCGGGATGGAGGAGTTCACTTTCATGAACCACGATGGGCAGCTGGAGAAGGGGAACGGTCGGATGCGTTCGGGTTCAAAACCGAGAGACCGCACCTGTCCAATTTCCCTTTCGCTTTTCTATGTTGGGTTTCTTGAGACTGATGGAGAGAAGTCAATACAGTTTTTCCTGCTGCTAGGCCTGTCTCCGAGGGACCCGACCTGCTATGAGAGGGTGGGCATCTTGGCCCTAGACAGGAAAGATGATTGTGGATCTCCGTTCAACCATGAGTGGCCGCTGCGCTTTGACGAATGGTCTCTGACGACGATCACTATCGTCTGAAGCACGGAACCGGTCGTCAGGGAATAGGGGCAACTTCAGAGTTCCATTTAGGTTGCTCGGCTTGAGGAGGTGGTGCGGCGTCCAAGTCCAAAACATCACTCGCACTTATCCACGCTTCTGCCGTTCAGTTTATCTTGGTGCCTCGTCGACTTTGATCTAGCAAGCAACATGAGCTATTCTTGATACACAGGTCCAGTTCAACTTTGCATCTTCGGTCAGTGCCCGAACTCTGCCGTAAGACCGGGCATATGATTTATTTTACACCAGGAGTTACATATGTTAAGTCCGAGTCGCCCGCGCGTTAACCCCGAACACCTAATTGCCGACGCGAGAGCTAGAGTTAAGCCTCGATAAAGTCATTATCTAGGTATACTCATTGGGGTAATTTACTAATTCCGTCTACCTACATAGAAGGTCTGCCCCTCGCCATGCAACGCTCATCGATCCCCAAGCTTCCCCTCCAACTTATCTCTCACACGGAGATCCGACGAGCACCATATCAAGTAGGTACGAAGAGATACGAGTGAACCGCAAGCATCTTGTGCCCGCGACGATAGACAAGATGCTCTTGATCGAGCTCCCTCCCGAGATCATCCACCATATCCTGGGGTATGTCAACCCACCCGATCTGGCCTGGTGTCCCCGCATCTGCAAGACCCTCTACCATGCCGTTACCGGGAATAGCGCGCTCTTCAAGCTCGTCTACCTACACCATTTCGACAAACCGCAGACAGGCGACGTCGACTGGGCGCAATCTCTGAAGGATTTAGTTCGGCTGCAGGTCATATGTCGTCGCGACAGCGTTGAGGCCAAGGTGCGACCGCCATCCGCAGCGCATCTGTGGGTTGATTCATAGCGACTAACACACGATTCCTTCACAGAAGAGCGAGCTCGACTTTGTCCACAGCACAGTCACCGCACTCCTCAAGAATGCCACTACTCAGGGCGCTCGGCCGTTCGTATCGGCGACTCACCCACGGTCCCGCAATGCCGACCTTCTCAGCTCCATCTTCAGCACCGAAACCAACCAGTCGGCATTCCTATGCCGGTCAATAATATACGAACGTGCTCGTGCGGAATTTCGGGCCGGTGTCCACTCCCACGCGCCCCCGGGGCCCGCGCACCAGAAGAGTGCACAACTTCACTGTCTCTATGGCGTGCCTATGTTATATGCCTACCCGGGCGTGGGACGCGTGACGCGAAGCAGCAGGATGAGCCCCTTCGCCTGCTCCAAGGTCTACGACCTGAGACAATATACCCGGAGGACAAAGTGGGGCCCTTTCATGGACGACGACACGGACCGGGTGGACTGGGAGAAGGTGGAAGCCATCATGATCGTTCTAGGTAACAACCTCCGAAAGCTGGGCCTCGACCATTATCCTATCTGTAGGCTCTTTTGTCAAGTTCCATTTGCTGGTACTTGGCCAGGAAGCTACAAGGCCTTGCCTATTGATACCGTGGCCGAGCCCGAGGAGTTGAAGCTCCTGGACCCATATGGTATCACGGGGACCTGGCTGCGTGTCGTCTGCTTCCTCGACTACACCGACTTCTTCGCCTACAACTTTGCTCCGGAGGACCAGCCGCCGCCACACATCGCTCGACCGGCCATTGACGTCGGCGAGGCCACGCGGCTCATTCTGATGAGAGTCGTTGTGACCAAGATCGAGCCGCCTGGGCCCGAGGATGGGCAGGAGCTGCCGGTGGTGTACTTCAAGGGCGTCTCGCGCTCGCTGGACGACAGCTACGACGAGAATGCCAACTCCGATCTGCGAGGTACGATACAAGTCCGAGGTGCGTTTCGCACTGTTATTCGAGCGTCTGAAAAAATACTGATGCCATCATTCAATTTGCAGGCTGCGTGCGTCTGACGCGCGAGGGCGAGGTCCGATGGACCACCTTCTCGGTGTTTGCTGGCATGGAAAGGTGGCGAAGTGAGAGCATTCAGTTGGGTGGTGTCAAGAGTGCCAAAGGTGTCCTGGGAAACTGGTTCGATAAGTAAGCTGACACCCCAACCCCTTCGTCGTTGGACGTGCTAAATGGTGCCTCTAGGGATTTTGATCCTCGTGGACCGGCCGGCCCCACAGCTTTCTGGAAGATCTCAGACGGATCTACCACGGGCGGCACTTCATTCTTGCGTGAATATATGCCCATGGCGGAGTTGCTCGACGAGGCAGACGGAGACTTTGAGCCTAGTAGTGAGAATGAGGAGAACGAGAATGAGGATTCTGAGAGTGATTGGTTTGACTGGCTTCAGGGCGAACTCAATGGTTAATTGGCGTTGCTTTGAAGCCGGCTCTTGTATTAATTGACAGCTCACAGAGAGCTCATGATAGTCGCTTTGAGCTTTGATACGATAGTTTTAATGAGAAACGTCCGTGTTTAATTTGTACCATTCAAACGATCTCTCCGTAGTCGGTGGTATAGAAGAATCCAGGGGTAGATTTGTTAAGCAATTCGGCTCGAGCCTGAGTGGCCTAAGCTCCTTCAATAGATGTTGAACCTCGGCAGTCATGCGACCCAAAGTTGTGACTCGATCTCCGGGGACCGGCGCGACCGTCTCTTTCCAACAACAGCTCAAACTGCAGCCAGACATGGGAAGCAATATGATACTGCCGTGACAAGTGACACGGTCACTGGCTATAGCGTAGACTATCATCATCATGGAGTTCGTCACGGCCCTCCGGGGCACTTTCGACGACCAGAAGCCCTCGCTATTCGAGCTCCTCTCCGAACAGCAGCTCAACTCTCTGCTCCCGCCGACCCTGCGATACCTCCTCACTGTCGCGACGCACCGCTACCCGCGCTACCTACTGCGCCCTCTCAACTCCTTCGATGAGCTCTACGCCCTCGCCATGCTCCTCGTCGAGCGCCACTACCTCCGCACGCGCGGCGGCAGCTTCACCGAACACTTCTACGGGCTGAAGCGGGAGAAAGCGCTCCAGGCCGAGATCCCGCGCGCCGCCACGAGCGCGCCGGGCCTCGTGCGTGAGACCCTCAAGCTGAGCACCCGCGACGTATGGAAGAACCTCGCCGTCATGGTCGCCCTGCCGTACCTAAAGCGCAAGCTCGACGAGAGCCACGAAGTCGAGGCGCCCCGCGCCCTGCTGGGCGCCAGCTACACGCGCATGCCCGCGAACCCGACGGTGCGGCAGCGGGTCGTGCATTACTACAAGTGGTTCATACGGAACGTGTATCCGAGCGTGCACGCGGCCTACGGCTTCGCCATCATCGCGTTCAACCTCGCGTACCTCTTCGACAACTCCATATACCACAACCCCTTCATGTGGCTCATCGGCACGCGCGTGCGCCGGATGAACGCCGCCGACTTCCAGGCTATCGAGGCACTCGGGAGGCCGAAGGCGGGCGGTCCACCTGGGACGACGAGCCTGTTCAACCCGCGCACGATGGGGCCGAAGCTGTTGGGGAGCCTGTCTGTGCTGTTGCCCACGAGTATATTTGCGCTCAAGTTCCTCGAGTGGTGGTACGCGTCGGACTTTGCGAAACAGCTGTCGCGGAAGGCGACCGAGAACCTCGAGTTGCCGCCGCCTATCGTGTCGGGCTTGTCTGCGCTGGGTCTGAAAGCACCGCGGAAGCAGAAACAAAGCAACGAGGGCGAAAAGGACACCCGGACCCCGCAGGCGGAAGATGCACCGATTGCCACTCCTTCGCTGCTCCCGATACTCACCGTGTCCGCGCCGGAAGATTCGGAGCTTTGCCCCATTTGCGAGGACGACATCACGACTGCCACGGCGTGCCAGACGGGCATTGTCTACTGCTACGTCTGTATACACAAGTGGCTCGAGGGCATGCATCCCCGACAGGAAAAGTTCATGGCTGATAGGGCTGGCAAGTGGGAGAGTGGGCATGGTAGGTGCGCCGTCACGGGGCGACGGGTCCTGGGCGGCACCGAGGGCTTGAGACGAATCATGGTATGATTAAGGCATTCAAGCGACCATGTCGGCATATGGCATTGGTAATACTGGGCAAGATCGTGGAGTTGTGGCGGCTGCATTGACGAACACCACTGGTCTTGTGCACGCATTGAGGTATCGTAACCTGCAGGATGAACAGCATACGTCTCGGGAGAGCCTACCGAGGTAATCTGATCGGTTGTCTGAACCGTCAGGAGGACAAATCATCAGGTCCCGGTATGCCATCAGCGAACGACAGCGGGTCGCGAGAAAATCGTGCAGGATCACTCCGCGCCCCAAAATTCACATGGCTTACACCCTTGAGGCGATCCAGATCTCTGGGAGATAAGCTTAGCTCGTGGGCCGCCTTCGCATGTATCGTACAGCGCCGCGAACAATCTCGAACGTGCACCATGTTGCACGCTGTCCACCCTCGAGTATGGAACAACATACCTCGAATGCAGGGACCGGTCGAAAACCAGTTTTGGGCCCTTTATCACAAATTGAGGCTGACGTCTGGACTGTCTCTATGCGCTTCGTGCTCGGTCCAGACCAACGGCTCACCGCTGTCGTGTTGCACCGCGGTCTGATTATCCGGAGCGAACCCTAGCAAATAGAGATATAGTGCCTCACTCGCGTGCTATTTTTCGCAACCCAATCTCAGGGTCCAAGTGTCTTTCCATTGTACTGGTGGGTCGTCTGATTTTCCCGGGACCAGGTAGCGAGTGGCCGTCATTTTAGCCATATTAGCCACCGTGTTATACCGCTGACGCTGCTGATGGATGACATCTCTGAGCTATGAAAGTGGCGAACGCGGAGAATGCCCGCCGATTGGGGACCATCACGACATCTTCTAGAGTCGAATCGCGCAGGAAACATATGGTATAACCGGCCCAGAGCTTCTGGGCTGCTCTCGTGATGGTGGTGTCGATATTGGCCCAAACGCAGTGGTACAGGGAAGAGGTCTTGTACTAGGTGCATCACATAGGACAGGATCCTATATAAGGGCGTTCCGTTCCCATCATGACGTGGTTGAAAGAGAGGCTCCATTAGCAGACTGGCTACCTAACAAGACTCACACTGCGAAATCAATACGTCTATATCACCACCTATACTATCAACCTCTTGTCAAATCTCGTATACTCGTTTCAACCGCCAGCAACCCCAAAAGATTCATCCAGCTCAATCCACATCAACCTTCACGATGCACACACCAACCAGCAAAGCCCTCTTCCGCCCCCTCTTCACCACCCTCCTCCTCCCCAGCACAGCCCTCGCGGTGTCCCTGACCACCCTGTCTCCAAGGGATACACCCGCCGCGTTGCCGCGCGTGGCATCGATCTCATACTCGGGCAATGGGTGTCCGTCGTCAGCGCCCGAAGTCGACAAGCTCGGCTCATGGAGCGACCTCGCGTTCCAGATGAATGCGTTCGATGCCCAGATCCCCGGCGGCACTACTAGTAGTACCAACTGCGAGGTCCACGTCCAGGCTATTGGTTGCAGCGCGGGCTGGCAGGTCGGCGTCAAGGACGTTTATGTGAAGGGGCACCTCGTACTCGACCCGGGGGCCGAGCTGGACTACTATGTCACGAGCTTCTGGAGCGAGGATGCTGGCGCGGATGTGAGCTTTTTCTTTCTTTGCTGCTTCTCTCTCTCTCTCTCTCTCTCATATCTCTCCTATCTCTCTTCTCTCTCTCACGCACATATACGCCCTGTCTCTTTCCGTCTTGTTCATGTTCCCTACCTTTCACACTCCCATCTAAACACATCTTCCGAGTCTGAAGCATCTCCACCACACCCGCACAAAACAAAGCAAAAGACCACCAAACTGACCCCATTTCACCCCCAGGTCACCGTCTCCGGCTCCGTCCCCAACACCGGCATGACCCGCCTGGACGAGGACGTGACGGCGCACACGTCGATTCCCGAAGACCAGGTTGTGTGGTCGCAGTGCAGCGGCACCGACGGCGCTTTGGGCCTGTTAAACGTCAACTTCCGCGTCGCGCTGCTCGCCGACGGCGACCAGTACGGCTACTTTGGCAAGGACGCGGACACGACTGCTACTGAGAGCTACGGGTACGTGTGGAGGCGGTGCTAGATCGGTCATCTGAGGGAGGGGGGGAGAGAGGGAGGGAGAGAGAAGGGGAGGTGAGGAGGAAGGAAAGGCGAGGAGGTACGTGGTATACCCAAAAAGTAGGAGGAGGCGCTCTGTGCGATTGCGCCGACCGCAGTCTGGCGCCGTGGAGATCGGGCCTACAGGTTCTATATTCCTCTTTGGTGGCTTCAGCGAGCACCTTCCGCTTATTTGAAACGTTCTTAAACAAGTCTTCGACAAAAGTCGAGTATATTGGCTGTTCATGCAGACTTGGATATCTGAGAGCAATAGCGATTGCTCTGGCCGATCTGGGAGCCATCTCGTCCGTGAACTCTTTACTCTTCATCAAGTGAAGGGCCGGAGCGTTAGCGGAAAGAGATACAGCTATCACATTTGGAGCTATTATTCAGTGTGCATGAAACCCCCCATACCGCAGAGTGCCACCTACCCAATGGACGGCAGGCAAAGCATGCTCTCAATGAACGCCATCTCCTCTCCCGCCGCCGCAGGCTTCACCGGCCCCCTACCATCCGCAGGAGTCGATATGTACAAAGTCCAGCCCACCGACGGCGTGTACTTTCAGAAGACCTTGGCAGGTAGGCAGTATAGGAATGCCAGAAGCCAGATGATCCATTCCAGAACTGCTGCCAGCATGACACTCCCGACAATGCCAACAAATATTATGTCCTTGGACTTGTACGCATTTGCCCGTGACAATGGTACGTCGACGACATGGGCATCTCTCGTGTCATCCGAGTATTAACACGCTGGCCTTGCATCACATCACAGGCCTTCCATTCTCGAAATGGCTCAGCACTGTTCACCCCAAGCGACACATTCCGCAGAACACAGCCTCCCTCTCTTGCGGCAATGCCGTACTACTTTCACTCGTCTACATCGGCAGTATGCTCCCTCCAGCTTGCCTACTTACACAAGAAGAGGGCGCGAGTACTGACTGGCATGTGTGTGTCATCCAGGTCCCGTAGCCTTCTACGCCATAACCTCCCTCCTGACCGTCGCCCGTCGCCCTCCTCCAATGCTACTCCCTCTCCATCGGCTGCGTGCTCTGGCGGCGGATCCACCGACCCTCCACCCTCAACCCTCCCCCCAGCCCAGTTCTCGCTCGGCCGCTTCGGCATACCGCTCAACGCCGCGGCGGTCCTGTACTCGATCTGGGCCTTTCTCTGGAGCTTCTGGCCGCAGGCTTACCCGGCCACTGCGTCCGGGTACAAATGGGCCTCGCCTATTTTTGGGGTTACGCTCGCCGGCTCCTTGGTTTATTTTGTTGTTAGAACCAGACACACTTATGTCGGTCCTGTGACTGAAGTCGAGGGGCGGAAGCTGCATGCTAGGTAGACTGTGACTACTCAATTTAGCGAACGCAATGTAAGCAGGGGGAAAAGTACGGCTTGCCAAAGCGATGAAGGCACTGGTCTGTGTGTCGTATCAGACGCCACGAGAAGCCGCGCTACCTGTAGTCTCGACAAGTTCTCCTGCACAGACTCAAGCGTCACTGCGTGCGTCAACCAGTGATGAAATGTTTGCAATGTACGCACGGACAAGAAGATTTCGCGTGCAAAGATGGATTTGAACTTGCGCCATAAAAAAGTCACTGGATATCTGTGTACAGATATATGGACTGTTCGAACGCAAAGTATACACTACTCTGTCCATCGTCCCCTACGACCATGATCCCGTCGCCGAAAGCCCGCCAATAACCACCGTAACGTAAGTACGGATGGGCTAGATGAGGCAACAACACCACCATTCTAGGTTTCACCATCGTAATTCACATCGTCGTACGAGAAAGCATATCCCTTCCCATCCACCTCGTTCTGATGTACAAGAGCCGAGTAACTACCAGTTCGTTGGGGCACCCAGATAGTAACTAGCTGGTGGAAGAGAGGCCGGGCTTCGTGTTGCCTCCCGTCATCATCAGAGTCGTGCGGTTGAATGCTGCGCACAGCCGAGAGCCGATAGCACGGTGGACGTCATTGTCGTCAGCCTCGATGGCGGAGGTAGGGCCCTGATTTGCGGCCGAAGATGTTACCAGCAGTCGGCTTAGTGTTTTCGCTGTTGTCGCCCTCGCAAGCGAGCAGATCGCCTTGGACCGTGCATGCGACGTTGGCAGCTGCGGCTTCTGTGTTCGTGGTGCATTCCGTCCAGACGGAGTCGATGTATGCTGTGAAGTAGTCGCTGAAAGCATCAGGGATGCTGGCAATCGTTGCTTGTATATGCTAGTAAACTCGGTCATGGCACCTCCCTCGGGCACTAGGATTTTTTTCATGTATACTGACAATACTCGTAAAGGTAGAGCCACCAAATTTTTCCAACAGTCAGTTTATAAAGCTACTAATTCTTAGAAGAAAACCGGTCCCCTTTTCCCTTCGCCATGCAAGTATACCTTCAACTAATTGACAAGCTCAAACACACCAGACACCAACTCACTAACCCCCACCGCTTCCAAAGCCTCCACTGTCGCTAGTAGTGATTGAGACTCCTAGTTCTTCTCTGTCTTGGCCTGCGAGATGAGCTTGCGACCAATCTGAATCGTCTCGTCCATTCCCTGTTGGCGTAGCCAGAACCTGGAAAAGAGTTAGCAAGAGTATGGAAATGTAGTCGGAGGACAATGCGTACGATTGTTCGGGAGTTCTGCCACCACCCGTAGATTCCTTGCGGGCCTCTGCCTCCAGAGCCTCACGGGTGATTTTCTCCCCCTTCTGAGCCGTGGGTGGGACTGGTCTATCCGTAGCCTCAGGGCCGAGACTGTCCTCCAGGAGACGCTTTCGCATGGTAAACCGTTCAGCTCTCTCCTTCTGGAGACCCGGGCTGTCGATTTGGCTCAAAGCGTGTCGAACAAGGGCCTGTGCGCCAAGGTAGAAGTGTTCTGCCAGCAGGATGCATAGAAGAAGACCCCAAACATTGACATTTGATGGGTCACCACCGGGCCCCTCAGCGTCGCCGCTGAAGAGGAATACTATAGCCGAGCTCACCATAGTTCCGAACCATGACAAGAACCCAAGAGCCTCCAGCCAAGGGCCAATGGAGTCAGCTCGCCAAGGGATGGGACGTTGACTGCTGACCGCAATCTTCAACGCATCTGATCGTAGCTCAACCCAGTTGTTGATCAAGAATGACAGTGGCGTCAGCGGCCAGATGGCTGAAAAGAGAGCTAGGTAACCGAACTGGACAACCATCTCGCGGTAATCTCCAGCGACATCGTACACATCGAGCTCTGCTTCGTTCCGAACTCTTTTGAGGAATGCACGCTCTTCGGGGGCATCTTGAGATGCCGCCGCCTGATTGTCCTTCTTGGTCATCTTTGACTCTACCTTCTCAACCTCCTTGAAAGCCTTGCGCTTCACGTAAGGCACGACGACTTCAAGGGCGAGGTTGACGATCTGAGCGGTTACAGTGAAATAGATGATCTGCTTTTTCAAGCGGTCGGGGTTGATTTCGAAGCCTTGGGTGATGATTACCTTCTCGCTGGACAGTTTCTCGGCCGTGATCTTGAAAATATCGAGATATGGCACCATGAGGTTTCCAAACGGCATATACACGAAAGCCGAGAGCAGCAGTGGAGTATATGAGGTGATGAAATTGATGATGAAGATCTTGCGGATGAGAGCTGCTTGGTGGGCTGCGAACGCGTTAGCTACGTATGTTACATTTGTATGCATGTGTACATACCATCGTTAGTCTCGTAATTCTCCGCCTCGGTGAGCTTCTCGGCAAAGTTGCCAAGGACAGTTGACAGCATCGGTGTGAATGCCGTGAGAATGACGGTTGGTGTGAAGGTCTTCGCACCAGTCAGTCTGCACCGTGGAACCAGAAGGGGTGTAAAGTACATACCAGGTAGGACTTGAAAGGTCCATTGTAGACCTCTGAGATGAATATCTCGATACCGAAGCAGAACACATAGAGTGCGCCGAGAATCGACACGCAGGCCAGTGCGAATGGAACCTGCAGTAGCTGGGTTTGCAGTCTCTTGATGGGCGAGTAAACCTTGGTGGGCTCACCGGTGACAGGATCGGCGGCTTCGTGGTCCCACTGGAACTGGGTACGAGGATGTTGAATGCGCGATACTCCACGAACACCCCATTGAACAGCCAGATCGACCTCCTTCTTCTTCCACCACTCGAAGAAGATAACCGACCATAACGAGTTCACAATGGCGTATGTCCACGAGTATCGTCCCAGAATGAGCCAAGCAGCAAACCCAAAGGAGGCCGGAAACAAGAGGAAGGCGAAGTAAGACTGTAGGAAGGCGAAGTAGAAAGCCACCCTCTCGCCAAACCTGTTGCGAATGCGGTTCAGGTCCTGGTCGTTTAGATAGTATTTGGTACTCCACTCCTTGATCCAGGACGAGTTGAATTTGTGGTCATGGAGAGGGAAGATGGAGACAACCTGCTCCCACTGACCGGTCTTTGGTGTGATGCCGGCGCCGCCCTCGTTCTTGGGCTTCGTCATCAGCAGGTAGACAGTGCGCAAGCGTTCCGCCTCGCTAACCGGCTCGCTTTCGAACGCCTTGTCCAAGTCCTTCTCCAGAGATGTGGCCCGCACGCCGTACAGCCAATCCTGGACACGCTCGCGGTAGATATGAGTATTTAGGTACTTGTCGGAGGCGACCTTGACGAAAACCAGCACGGAAGACTCGTCACCATTTCGAACCTCAGATGCGAGACCAACTTTGGTGAGAGCCTCAATCAGCTGGGTGAAGCCAGCCTCGGTCTGAGCTTTATCGGCGGCGATCTTGTAGTGTATCACATAGTCGACGTTCATGTTGGTTTTGAACTCTGGGCGATCGAGGCCATCAGAGGCGTAGAGGGCCTTGAGGCTCGCCATTTTCCTGTCCGCGAGGTGATGGGGCAGAGGCAGGGGAGGGAGTGTGTGAGAGGGAAGTAGGTATAGGCAGGTCGTGAGAGGTGCAGGTCTCACGAGGGATATATCAGGTCAGATAGGTAGGCGAGGTAGCATGGCAGGTTGTCAGGTTGTCAGGTTGTCAGGTTGTCAGCCCTGGCCTGCGTCAGGTTTGTGGGAAATGGGAAAGTTGGACAGCTGAATTGACTTCAAGGTCCAGAATCACAGATTCACAGGCAAGCTGCATGATCAACGTCATGCCGCGTTGTCAATCGATCCATGACACAGGACTTGGCACGTGCGCACCTTGTCGCATGCACAGGCCCGAGATCTTGGAAAATGCCAAGATTCCCCGCCCCGCCGGCCCCCAAACCCCCCTGAATTCGCCAGTGTTCTGGGCCCCTGAGTCTTGACGCGACGAGGTCCGTCCGTCCTTCCATTCCACCGCGCCCTACCTGCTGCCTAAGCACGCTAGGGACCCCTACAACACAACAAAAGAGTGCTGAGCCTTAACTGCACCTTACAGGGGGCGGCCAGTGGGGTCAAACGAATTGAGAGGAAGACTCCAGATGTCCCGTCACCTCAGCAGCACACGAGACTACTTCGAGGTATCACAACTCACAGTCATCCTAGATAATCAGACTTTTGCTTCCTGTACTGTTTTTCTTGCCGTTATTCAGCCAGATTGATCTGGCACGTTCCAGTTTCGACGTATGACACTAGAGTCAACACCAGTCTCAGCTTGCCAAGTTGCGACGTCATCAAGCATGGGGCTACTGGTCAAGCTCGGCCTCCGCCGCCCCAGCAAATGGGAACGCCATACGCTGCTCGACTGGTTCCTGGACTCACCTCTCCAGGCTCTGGTCTATCATCTGTATCTCGTCATCCTCTGGCTAAGAGGCAACCCCGTCAGACCGCCCCGTAACAGACCACCCATCAAGGTCGTCTGTTTGTCGGACACCCACGACTCCATCGTACAGCGTGTCCCCGATGGGCTTGTATCCAGGAAGCCCCAGCACACACAGCGTGTCCCCGATGGTGACCTGCTCATCCACTGCGGTGACCTGACCAGCGATGGCACCGCAGCCTCCATCCAGAAGCAGATCGACTGGCTCGTCTCCCTGCCGCACCAGCACAAGGTCCTCGTCTGCGGCAACCACGACAGCTGGTTCGACATCAACGCCAGGAAGGAGGAAGATATTCTGGGTCAACGGTCCGTGAATCTGAAGTCGGTGCATTATCTCGAGCGCAAGTCTATCACGCTTGCGTTCAAGGGTGGCCGGAGGCTGAATATCTATGGCGCCCCTGACCTTCCCCAGTGTGGAGGCTCCGACAATGCGTAAGCTCCAGTGTCCCCAAAGCGAATATGACGGAGTTACTGACAACCTGTAGCTTTCAATACACGTCCCATCAGAACCCATGGGCTGGATCAATCCCCATGGATACCGATATACTTATCACGCATACTCCACCAGTAAGCACCAATTTCAATGCACCAGATGTGTATCAGCTGACAGGTATCATAGCAACATCACCTTGACCTCTCCCTTGGCTGTCCCAGCCTACTGCAAGAGATCTGGCAGAAGAAGCCGAAGGCCCACATTTTCGGGCACGTTCACTGGGGTAGGGGCACGCAAGCCGTCTTCTGGGATGACTGCCAGAAGTCCTACGAGAAGGTCATGTCACGTAGGAAGCGGGGACCCATCTGGGATGTACTCCCAAACCGAGGCTGGATCGACGTGTTCAAAGTGCTGTTCCATGGAGTTATGGGCATCTTATGGCAGTGGTTTTGGCTCGGTGGCGTGAGCAGCGGGAGCGTCATGATCAATGCTGCTGTGCAGCATGGTAATTCAGGGGAGCTGACGAAGAAGACCCCGATCACCATTGAGATTTGAGATTCGATGTCAATAGTTAGCCTGCGGGAGTTCATACTTATCGTAACTTAGTATGGAGGGTCCAGCTTCCGCCCGCTTGCATGATCATAAAGCATGCTTGTACACTGAACCCTCATCAGTCTCCGTACACCACCCTTCTATCAAACCACGGTATATTCATAGAATCAGAATAAGCACACTGGAATAAGCATGAAAAGTAGCTTATTAGCCTAGGGCTGCTTATTCATGTATGCTTATTCCAGTATTTCAAGGATTGCAATGGGTGATCTGCAATATCATCAACATGCGGGTAGGAGACTTATGAGGGCTGAGTGTAGCACGGCACGACACAATCTCGCGTGAAGGCCCGTGCCAGGTCGGCGAGTACAGGTTGGTGTTCAAAGTCAATGATTTAACCTGGTTATCTATAACAAGAACAATTACCCTGTACCTGCTCCTCCAGTTCTGATTTGGGATAGGGGCACGGCTTGCTTTACCCTGATGGAAATCCATCCATGTATGTTTGCGAACTTGCACCATCAGTGAACGAATAATAAGGGTGGTCCTGGTTTCTGCTTGTGGCATTACATTCACTTGCCTGATAGGCAACGTGAAGTTTCACTTGATTATACATATAGCATTCATTTGCAGTGATATCGACACGTATCCCATGGTATCACTGATGGCCAGTCAACTTGTTCATATATACAGCGTAATACCAGCTGCTCCTACTGCTTCCCCAGCATAACGCGGGAACGCGATCAGTCAAATGACCACTAGCATGCACTCAAATCGTCAGTATTCAATCAATAGGTCAAAGTGAAAACATATATGCAAGGTTCTAGAAGCGAGAACAGCTATCCTATATATTTTCGACGCGATCTTGTATCGTGTATTCGTAGAGTCCATTATCCATTTGTGATCCTTATCCAAACAAAAAAGACAGATCGTACAGCGCTCGCTCAGCCAACACCGGGACATAGAAAAGACCTAAGAATCCAAAGAAGAACTCAGCGAGTAGATAGATAGATAAACGTTATACTATACCAGATCCTCCTCACACCATCACCAAAACCCCAAACAGCCCGACCCACAGTCCCAGCCCCCAGCCCATGGCCGTCGCGACGCCCATCGTCGGCGCCCCCGCAAGGACGGGAACAGAGCTAGGGCTCAACGTAGTGCCGTTCTGGCTCTGGCTCAGGGCTGCAAGGGTGACGTTGCTGACCGGCACGACGGTGGCCACGGCGTCGGGGACGGTGAGCGCGACGGTGCTCGCGCCGCCCGGCCCGCACGCGTCGCACGTCTGGGTGCATGTCGTCATCGGCACGGCCGCGAGCGCAGCGTCTGGGGTAGTCGTCGTTGCATTGTTGTTGCTGGGCGCGGCGGTGATGGAAGGCGCGGCGGTGGCGGTGGCGGTGGCGCACTCTTCATAGGTTACGGTAGTGCAGTATTGCAGTACGATGAGCTCCGCTGGGTTGGTGGCGCAGACGGTCGTGTAGGTGACGGTAATGGCGCTGGTGACCGTCACGTTGGCCGCGGGCGTGGTGGATGGCAGGGGCTCGCCGCCGCCCATAGCGGGCGCGCCAGGCGGTGTTGCATCCACCCTGAGATCGCCGTAGACGGTGAGGAGGATTTTGGACGGGGTTGCGCGGCGGTCGTGGTGCCGGACGGAGAGGGTGAAGTTGCCCTGGAGCGTGCCGTTCACGGTCGAGTTTGACGGGGTGTAGTCGAGCAGACCGCCACAGAACTCGCGGGGGTTGCCTAGGCAGAGGATATCACACAGGTCATTATCCACGGCGCTTGCGTCGCCGAGAATGTCGGCACAGTAGCAGTCCCTGTGGTTGATGTTAGTCATCGGTCCTCTTCTTCGAAAGCAAAGGGGACACATACTCTCCAGAGACACCGGCGAACTTTCGTCCTGCACAGTTGGTCACGCAAGCCTCGTTGTCCATGGTTGCGAACGAAGCAACCGGGGTGAAGGACTGGTAGCCAGCACTAGAACCGAAGCAGCCCAAGAGCGTATACCCATAGAGCATAGATGGGTCGATGAGCCCCCCACTGGTCTTGGTTGGTTCTGCAGTAGTCATGACTTGGGTAATAGTCGAGCGAGTAACCGTCCGCGTGACACTTGGTGTAAAAGTGCCATTGGAGCCGGGGACTGTTCCATTCAAGCTCGGCAGGCTGGTGGCACTGGACGGGGCAGACGTGATGTTTGGGAAGACAGGGGGAATGGTAGGGTCGGTTGCGGCAGCGCCCAATTGGTAGATATCTATGTAGTTGATATCCCAGAACGCAGACTTGGAGTTCCCGGGGTTGGCCGCAACGTATTCGGTACAGGTGGGAGCAAGTTGGTTGCACTGGTCGGCTTTGCCCCAGACGTTACCAGCGTAGTCGCCGCAAAAGTTCTGCAGTCAAACGTAAGCCGAAAAGCAACCATTTCGTCGTACCACTACTTACAGTGTTGATGACGAGGCTCAGGTTGAAGAAATACAAGTCGGCATCGCAACCGGGTCCACCAAACACAGCCTGCGGAGGACCCCAAGACGCGGGATCAGGCTTGACGACAGGAGCATATGTGATGTCGTCCGGGATTGTTGAGCGAGGGAAGTGCCATATTTTCAGGTCTTCCGAGTCCCATTCCAGGGCGTAGACACCACCACCCTCGGCGTTGAACGCATCGCCGTACGAAGCCGAATCAGAGGTCGGAGAAGCATAGTTGCCAGCCGATATTTCCAGGCTAAGACCGAATGTCAGTCCAAAGTTTCGGATCTGCATTGTGCGAACTGGACTTACAGAGGGTGAGCAATCGGTCGGTCCTTGGGCCCCAGTGAAACTAGTGTTCGGGCTTTGGCAATTAGCCAATGTGTGTGCAGAGAACAAGTTTCTTTGCGCGGTATTGGCGCCTTCAATGATATCCAACTCTCCTCCCACTGGCCAATTCACACCTTCCTGGTTGTTGAAAGCCCAGACTGTTTTGGAACGTGTTAGCCTCGGCATGCGGTCGTCTTATAGGGGACAACTAACAGGCAGGCCAAGTGCCGCAAGCCGAGCCGGGCATGTGAGCAAAGTCGGCAATGAACAGTCCGTGGGTGAAGTCGTCGTTGCTGGTCAATCTTACACTGGGCCGTCCCTTATCGCTTGTGGAATATGTGTTGACTGAATCGACTCCGAGTCTTACTCGGTTGAACTCGTCGATAGACACCAGGTTGCTGGCCACGGCAGCTTCCCTGCTCTGGTAACTGCGATGAAGTCAACTTGACCATTCGAACCCTCTATTCCCAGGATGTACTTACTCGACAAACCCATTACTTGAATCGCTCCCTGTAAAGAAACTGAAGCTATCAAGAAGCCCCTGCCCAGCATAATGTGTGGTAAGAGAGTACGACATTATTAGAACGACAAGGAAGAGAACAATACAGAAATACGTCTAAAGAGTGACTTGAAGAGTTAAAAGAGTGGAAGAGACAAAGTCTCGGTAATGAGTGACTGAGCTGATAACAGCGAGATGGCAAAGAGCTTGGCAATCTACAGAGGTTGAAGTGGAGGGGGAGGCTATGCGCCGATATTTGAAGCATCATTTACAAAGGCCCCGCCGAACTGGAGGGACATACCAGTGCCGGTATGTTGATAGCAAGTCAGAGAATGCTAATAAGACCTAGAGTTGCTGTGAGGTTCATGCCGGCGCGGGTGAGACAGGCGCGCCCTGGCAACCCGGGGCTAGCTCTCGCGACGTGAAGACTCGCCACGCTCACCAGTACGTGCAGTTGTAAGAGCGCCGCGAATCTCGGCGTCAAAGGTCAAAACTGGCGGCGTCATTGGTACGGTCCTCGACGCTCAACCAGACAAAGTTGACAACCTCGAAAATGGCCTCTACAATAAGAGAGCGATTGTCCCCCAAAGTGCTGAGTAAGCTGGGGGGAAATCCTGCAATAATAAATCGACACGATGCGCTAAACGCGGCTTCCATTCCAGAAAGGCCCGACGAAATCCGTCACGACTCGTTAGCCCTTATCGAGAAGATCTGGCCCCTGATGGAGCTTGCAGGCTGATGTGGTGGGGGCAATCAGATCTCATATCTCAATGTGATATCCAGGGACGCGTTTTCTTGGTAATATACCATAAACCAGGTCACAGCCGCGCGTGGCTCTCTGGCTACATGTTCCTGAGACTTTACCGGCTGTCCCTCAGAGCGGTGCCAAAGAATGTGAGACGATTGATTGCCTTGGCCTACTCACGGGTTCTGTGAATGCCTTCTGGTACCTGCGAAGCAGACCCATGCTGTCAGGTCATGCTGTCAGGTCAAGTTGAGGTTTCTGGAGGTCTGAATTGTCTGGCAGTTATGATGCAAAGAAAAGAAAGCCGGGGTGGGCTGGGTGGATGGGGTAAAGGGGGGCCCGATTGACATGTGAAATGGGGTATGGATCAATACAACCAGAGCGTGACTTCACTGGCTTGGTCACGGGATATCAAGTTAATAAGGTAGGAAATCTGAAATCACCACTCGAAGAAAAGAAAAGGATGAAGCATCTCGCTCCATTTGCGATGTAGCCGATGGTCTCTGCCTTCTCAAGGGCATCATCAATTCAATGGGAAACGGATGGTCACCCTTGAGGTAAGGTAATTGAAGAGGTGATCAAAGAATGAATGAGGCTTCACCGAGCAGACCAGGTCTGGTTCCCCCAGGTTTTATTCCCGTCAGCCACAGAGCGCTAGCCGCATGGCCCATGGGGCAGCCGATGAGGCTAAATGTTTACCTCGGCATCGGATTTCTCTATTGGTGGGGACCGATACACTTCCAATGATCACTTGCAGCGCTGGCCCGCTGGCGATCTCCGGACCTGCTGCCGATGAACGCAGCCGAGCACCAAGGTATGTAGCAGGCCAGTCCAGTATTCGCTCATCAATGTTGCGGGCCAACGGACACCACCTGAACCACCCTTGATTCAAGTACTAAGCAACTGAAACGGCGCCCGTTACTCGCCTCTCGGCCCTTTCTGACGGATACCACCCACTGTGCCGCGGCTTCTTCCACCTGGTCGTTGGAGCCCGTCCAGTGTCTCATCCATCACTTGACCTCGAGGCGTGCCGTCCATACCTGCTTGTTCCCTTGTCCTCCATACAATAATATTATTGGGATGTTGAGTTCTTTGGTCAAGAGTCGGGCACAGGCTACCGCTCTCAGGACAGCAGTGAGACAACTTCAACAGCCAAAGGTATGTCTGCGCAACCACCTCCCACTTATGCACTTGCATCGCATATTGACTCTTGTCCCGCCAGACGATCCTAATGGCACCGGCCGCGAAACGGAGTAACAGCTCCCTGCCGGCAGGCTATGCCGAGGACAAGTCGAAAGGACCGATGCTTCGATTCGAAGAGTCGCTACCCCGATTACCAGTGCCCACCCTCCAAGAGACCGCCGCCCGCTACGTAAAGAGCCTCCACCCGCTGCTGAGCCCGGTCGAATATGCCTCGAGCAAGAAGGCCGTCGAGGACTTCGTCAAGCCCGGCGGGGTCGGCGAGAAGCTACAGAAGAAGCTGCTAGCAAAGCGGGAGGACCCCAACACCAAGAATTGGATTTACGAGTGGTGGAACGACGCCGCCTACCTCAGCTACCGGGATCCGGTCGTCCCGTACGTTAGCTACTTCTACTCGCACCGCGACGACCGCCGGCGGCGGGACCCCGCGAAGCGAGCTGCTGCCCTCACGACGGCGGCCCTGGAGTTCAAGAAGGAGGTCGATGCCGGGACACTGGAGCCCGAGTACATGAAGAAGCTGCCGATCTCCATGGACAGCTACCAATGGATGTTCAACGCGAGCCGAGTTGCGGCCAAGCCGGCAGACCACCCGGTCAAGTTCGACCACAAGAGCCATAAGTATCTGATCGCGATTCGGAAAAACCAGTTCTTCAAGATCAACCACGAGGTGGATGGGCAGCCGCTCAACACCACGGAGCTCGAGGCGCAGTTCGCGAGGGTTTATGAGCTCGCCCAGCGGGTTCCTTCAGTAGGCGTGCTCACGAGTGAGAACAGAGACGTCTGGACAGATGCGCGCAAGGTCCTGCTAGACGCCTCGCCCAAGAACAAGGCGGCGCTCGAGGCCATCGAGGCGAGCTCGTTCGTCGTATGCCTGGACGACGCATCACCCGTAACCCTGGAGGAGCGGGCGCACCAGTACTGGCACGGCGACGGCCAGAACCGGTGGTTCGACAAGCCGCTCCAATTCATCGTGAACGACAACGGCACGTCCGGGTTCATGGGCGAGCACAGCATAATGGACGGCACGCCGACGCACCGGCTCAACGACTACGTCAACGACGTCATCTTCAACAACAAGCTGGACTTCAGCAACCCGGCGGCGCGGTCCAGCCTGTCCGACCCCGTGGCCGTCAACTTCGGAATCACCAAGGAGGTGCAGGGCGAGATCGACCGCGCGACCAGGGACTTCGATACCGTCATCGGGCAGCACGAGCTCGCGGTGCAGGCGTACCAGGGCTACGGTAAGGGCCTCATCAAGAAGTTCAAGTGCTCGCCCGACGCCTACGTGCAGATGATCATCCAGCTGGCCTACTACAAGATGTACGGCAAGAACCGCCCCACCTACGAGTCGGCCGCGACGCGGCGCTTCCAGCAAGGCCGCACCGAGACCTGCCGGACCGTGTCGGACGAGAGCGTCGCCTTCTGCAGCTCGATGGCCGACCCGAGCGTCTCCGACCAGGACCGCGAAGCCCTGTTCCGCAAGGCCGTCGCCGCCCACATCGAATACATCGGCGCCGCGTCCGACGGCAAGGGCGTCGACCGCCACCTATTCGGCCTCAAGAAGCTGCTCGAGCCCGGCGAGGACGTCCCCGCCATCTACACGGACCCGGCCTTCGCCTACAGCAGCTCCTGGTACCTGTCCACGAGCCAGCTGAGCTCCGAGTTCTTCAACGGCTACGGGTGGAGCCAGGTCATCGACGCCGGGTTCGGTATTGCGTACATGATCAACGAGAACAGGTAAGTTTTTCTATTTTTTGATGGTGCTCTTTGTCAATCGCCAGCCAGGTGAAAAGCATAGGTTTTATTTAGTTCGGCCACTAACGATGAACGATTCACAGCATTAGTTTCAACATCGTCTCCAAGGGCCTCGGCAGTCAGAAGATGAGCTACTACCTGAATGAAGCCGCAGGCGACATCCGCGACATACTGCTGCCGGGTCTGGAGGCGCCCAAGTCAAAGCTATAAAACAGCCAGCCAGCTGAGAAACCGAGACTGTTATTTTGGATGCTCTGCACTCTCCATGATGAGGGGCCCGAGTAAGATTCATCTGTACACGGCAGCTCACGATTGCTGTTCTTGTTGGCGTTTGCTATGCTGGCGTAGATCCACAATGATTTCCTGCCTGCTGTTCACCATCAGGTAGATCTATATATAACGCATTCGAACCGGCGCTGGTGGTGCTATGCAGTCCGCGCGAAAGATGCAAGAGTCAAAATCATGATCATCACACGAGATCTAAAACACCATGCTTGCTGTGCATGTTGAAAACCTTGTGATGAATGCTTTAGTTGATGTAACAATGCGGATGCTATACTAACTCATACAATGCGAAAAGGGGCCGTGATTGGGGAGTGAGTGGTTGGACTCAGGAACCAACTCCGAACACCGCTAGCGGTTCCGCTGCAGCGCAAACAATTGCTCTCTTCAAGACGTGCCTCACTGCTTGCTATTAGAAGGCCAAAACACCATCCGATGCTGCATTAGAGTAGGTACCCGTAGTATCCAGCTTCGACCGCCTGTTATAATTTACACCTGTCTGGTGAAACGTTTGCTCCTGGAACTTGCCACAGTCAGTCTTGCATAGGCGGCCTAGCCAGCATGATCGACGATCTCGTTCACCATATCGCCCTTCTTCTCATCGTAGTAGGAGCAGATCTGGAACGGCAGGGGCATCTCCTTGTAGTCGTCGTCGGGCCCCTCGATGACGTTGACGTTGACGCTGGAGGACTTGCTGGTGAAGATGCGCGTCGACTTGCTCTCCTTGCTCAGGTACACCTGGGCGCCGTCGAGCTGGTCCAGGAGCACCGTCGGCAGCTGGCCCATGACCTGCAGCGCGAAGTTGGACGACTTGACCACGTCGACGGTGGACACCAGGGAGTCGATGACGAGCGACAGACGCTGCGTGTTCTCGATCGTGACGGCGTTGGCCTTGCCCTTGAGGATTATTGTGGTCTGGCTGCACTTGCTGATCAGGACCGAGTGTGACATTGACACTTCGATCTCGATGGGCTCCGAGTGTTTCTCATAGTTTTCCTAACCCGACCGTTAGTGTGTGTCTTGTTCCTATGAGTCAAGGGTCGTTCTCACGATCGTCCACTTGTTACCATCAAGTTCCTTCTTCGGCGGCTTCTTAACCCGCATACTTTCAGGCTTGGGCTTTTTGCCAGGCAAGGGGCTCTTCCCCCGAACCGATGAATCGCCTGTTACAGTAGATGCTGTCCTCAACGACGGGTTCTTATGTGTCATTTCCGACTTGTCGACCTTTCGAAGGCTCTTCGTAATATCGCTGCCCTTGTTCAGCTCACTGAACACCGCGCCTAGACCGCTGTCGGACTTAGGGGCTGGAGCTTGCTCATTGATCTGTAGGACGGGCGGCGGGCCGGGAGGTGGTGGCGGCGGCGGAGGAGGACCACCTGCGGCAGCTGGAGGTGCAGGGGGAGGCGGAGCGGCAGAGGAGCCAGACGCTGGTGTCGACTTGGCGACCTCAGCTGCCGGTTGTCCCATCGCGTTCCAGGGTATGCCATTGGGGAAGTATTGTTTGACATATTCAGCAAGATCACGGAATACTTGGTAGAATGACTGGATCCATTCGACTTGATCGGGGTCCCTTTACATCAAGTCAGCATAGCACTTATGTATGAGTTTGGGCAGTTCCTCGTCATACTTGTCCTTGTGTTCCTTTAACACTCGGTTCCCAAAAAACTGTGCGGAGCCCAGAGATTCCTCGACGTGCTTGAACGGCCTGTTGTCCACCGTGACCCAGGCGAGTACCATAATACCCTCCGAGACGGCGCTCAGCTGGGAGAAGACCGGCGAGCCGCGGTTGGACTCCTTGATGCTTCCGACGGCCATCAGGGCCTCGTTGATGGGCTTCAGGAGGTCTTGGTACACGGCCATCTCGGAGCCAGCAATGTCGGGCTTCTTGGCTTTAGTAGCTATCAACAAGAACCTGCGCTGCTGCTTGAAGCCCTCGAGAACCTTGGCAGCCTGCTCAGCGACCAGGCCGCCCAGCTTGTTGCTTGCCTTGACATATTTATCCACGGATTGGCTGATGAAGGCGTCGAACTCTTCGACGGACTCGGGGAGGGTTTCTTGGGGCGTCTGTTTCGGAGCTGGAGAGGGAGTCGAGGACGAGACAGGCGGCAGTGGTGCAGGGCTGGCGGCGCCAGACTGGCCCAGTGGCGTCGGGATGGTATGCGCCAGAGCAGGAACGGCGTGGGGGAGCTCTATTGTCGACGACGCGATGTCTTCCAGCCGCGTGGTGGCAGCTTCCAGCCTGGAGAGCAAGTCAGCGGACTGCTTCTTGCGCTCGGGGGGCACCAGAATAATGGGCATTGCGACAACGAGTGTGCTGAGGCCGTGAGACGTGGCTGGGTTCCCATTGCCGGCGACTTACCGCTTGATCAAAGTCACCAGATTATGCATGTTGTTTTGCGCCATTCTGACGGTTGTTGACTGTAGGAAGGCGCAGTTCGGGTTGATGGTTACGAGTGGAATCGACGCTGGGTTTACAATCAGAGCTTGGAGTCAGGGGAAGGAGAGATAGATCCCCGAAGGCGAAAGACAAGTCGTCTGAGAACTAGCAGACACAAAGATATGTATGTACTAGATAAACTTATTGGATGAATTCGCACTGGCAATGGTCGAGTAAGAAACGTTGATGCCTTACTCTAGGTACCGAGGAGACAGAAAGAAAGCAATGCAGAAGATGACGAGCCACGATGGCCAACATTGAACAAGGCCACCATTTGATGCAGAACAGAAAATGCCTTTGATAGGCGGATCTGAACCCCCTGCATCCACAGCTCCCAATGCTCCATCTGCTTGTTACCCGAGTTGGCCTAGTCCCTGTTGGTGATACCCGACATATTAGAGTAAGATGGCTGGCAGACCATAAATGAGTCGGAATCTGAGGTGAATAGTCGAGAATTATTAGCAGATGATACGAACAATTCCTTGAAGGCCTGCTTCCATCTGCCGTGCACTGCAACCAGCGGTTTGGAGCCATGGCCCATGGGACATTTCGATGTTCCTCTCCTTGATCGTGACCGTTCTGTAAGGTATCCCTACTAGCGCCAGGGCAGCTACAGCAGGGGAACAAAGCAGCAAACCACCAGAAACACCGCTGACCAAATAACCTCCCGAGTCATAAAGAGCCGTGGCAATCATCAATCATCGCAGGGCTGCCAGAAAGACGAGGCTGCATATCTTGAATGACAGGTAGTGGTGTTGTATCATTGATGCAGTTCATGAATGCCCAACCTCATCTTTCACTCCGTCCACTAAAAGTACCTAACTTGGAACGTGCAGCCGTTGCCACTAAGTACTACCGCTGCCGCCGCCACCGAGCCGTAGCTCTATCTCATCAGTCTTGTTCCTGATCTCGTCTTGGATGTCCATTTCACCTGTTCCTGAACAGGAAATTCACAACTCACAGACCGGTCTCGCACAACTCCCACCTGAGGCGGTCTGGGTGACCAGAAGCACCCAAGCCTGTACACGCCGCACATGGCCCAACACCATCCATCGTGAAATACTCACAGAGCCGCGACCGACATCATGGATGTCGCCGACGAAGCTAATTCCCAGGGCGACGAGACGGCTGTGGAATGTGAGCCGCGGGGCATTGATTTTGTCACGCTCGGCATGTTTATCATCGGTAAGGTGCCTCTTCTCATATCGTGCCCCTCCAGTTGTAGCCTTCCCTTGTTTCAATCTGCCGATCTGCAATCCTTCGTGAGAATTGGCAGAGCCGCATTACCAAGGTGTCATACATCGACTCCGTCCATGACTGGAGTTAGGTATCATGTAGGCGGCTGTATACCCTATTTCTCGGGGCCCGTTTTATATGTTCTCTTACACTATGAGCCTCGAGTCCATAAATCAGACAGGAGACTTCCGCTGACATGACCACCTCAAGATGACATCGAGTATCTACCGCCCACACCGCCAGTTAAGGACATTTTGGGCGGTGCCGGCACGTATTCCGCTCTCGGCGCCCGGCTTTTCTCACCCCCACCGCTCTCAGATTCGGTCGGGTGGATCATCGACAAGGGCTCCGACTTCCCGCCAGCGCTAGAGGACCTCGTCTCCACATGGCAGACCTCCGTCGAGCTCCGCGACACCCCCGATCGCCTGACCACGCGCGGCTGGAACGGCTACGACGAGCACCAGAACCGCGCCTTCCGGTACACGACCCCGAAGCAGCGCCTCACCGCCGCGGACCTCACCCCGGAGCTGCTGACCTCTAGGTCTTTCCACCTCATCTGCTCGCCCACAAGATGTAGGGAGCTCGTGACCGAGATCAAGAGCAAGCGGAGCGGCCTGTCCACCCCGGGCGGAGGAAATCTCCCCAAGGCCATCTTCATCTGGGAGCCCGTGCCCGACCTTTGCACGACGGACGAGCTCCTGAACTGCACCAACACGCTTCCGCTCATCGATGTCATCAGCCCCAACCACTCCGAGCTGGCCGGCTTCATGGGGGACTCGGGCCTGGACCCCGACACAGGTGAGATCAGCACCCGAGCGATCGAGCGTGCCTGCGAGCAGCTCCTCGGTTCGATGCCTCTGCAGTCCTTCGCCATCGTCGTGCGCGCTGCCGAGAAGGGCTGCTACCTGGCACGCAACGGCGGACGCAAGCGCAAGCACAACAACCACAAGCGGCCTGCCACTACTACAGCCCCGCGCAAGAAGCCCTCCGCTCTGCTCCATGGCGGTCTCCAGCACGACACGGACATGGAAGCCCTGTTCGCCGGCCTGCTCCAAGATCCAGAGGGCAGCATCGCGCGCGAGGAAATCGAGGTCGACCCGGGCGTCGAGCGCTGGATCCCGGCCTACCACACGGAGGCGGAGAAAGTCGTTGACCCCACAGGCGGCGGGAACACGTTCCTGGGCGGACTGGCCGTGGCGCTTGCTAGGGGCAAGAGTCTGGAAGAGGCGGCGGCTTGGGGCAGCGTCGCGGCCAGCTTCGCCATCGAGCAGGTCGGCACGCCGGTGCTGGGCGCGGATGACGAGGGCAACGAGCTGTGTAATGGCGTCCGGGTCGATCGGCGATTCGAGGAATTCAAGAACCGGCTGGCGTTCAGCTGATTCTCAAGGGCAAGGCTATCTCAAACGAGCAGGATGCACAGGTTAAACGTGGCAAGATTTGCAAAAAGTACGACTGGTCATGGTTCGGCATGGTAATAGATAGGTTTTCTCGGTCTCTCCCTGTTTACTGTGCGCGGCACTGGATTGACTATCTGGGTTTCCTAGCCGGCAGAGGCATTGACTAGACTACCTCCAGTTGAGTGGATAGAGAATCAGTAATGGAGGGATAATGTAGCATGTTGCGTCGAGATTGATTGCTAGACATGTCGCCACGACCTCAACATTGCCAACCTCTCCCTACGATACTACTGCAAGTGGACTGCTTCCTCATCTGACGAGGAGGCCTGAGTGATGTGACTGACGTGAACAGGGCCGCCCCCTTTCCACACAACACAAATCTCGAGCAGCTTTAGCATCAGCATCAGTCCATCAGATCGGACAACACACACACCTGCCTCCCAAACCAGCTTACCTATCCACTGTCCAAACGCCGGATAGGCTTTAGCGCATGATAAGAAACATAGAGTGGAGGCCACGAGCGCGAGCAATTGAGAAAATAAATAAAAGGATATGTCCCTCGAGCCGGAATCGAACTATAGGAAGATTAGTTGTGCGTCAGGAGGAGGTTGAGGGAGGAGGTGCACGGACCCGGCGACATTCAGATCACAACAACAGCAATTACAGTCTGACGCCATTAACCAACTAGACGATCAAGGAATGAAGGGCTACGCGATTTTTGGCGTCCATATACCCTTCTGGTTTACGCAACCATTTACAGTCGACCAAGTGAGCTATTGGGAGAGAGAAACAAGTGGACTGTTTCGAATAGCACATGATTGTTGAGGATTTCAAGTTTGTTCATATGCGTAGCTAAATAAATAGTAACAGCAGCAGCGAGCATCCCGCCCGCATATCTATCCGTGGGGACGTCGTATAGCAGCAGCAGCATCGTCGTGGGTATATAGCAAAGTGCAGCGGTGTAGTTAGATACCTGGCAGAAAACAATTCGACACCCAAGTCGAGCCAGCCCGAGGAGATATATGACGTATAAGACGCTCGCAAAGGAAATTTTCAATCATCTTTGCCGCCCAGAACCTTCCGATTATAACCAACCCTCCTTCGTACATCATGTCTCCCAAGAGAGGTGCCCATAACCCTATAACTTTTACAGAAAACCCCGCCACTGCATACAGCGGTGAAGGTCCCTTCATCCTAGATCATATATCCTATATCATATCACGGCAGAGCCGCTGTTGAGCTGGACGCAATTGCCCAGCAGTATCGCGCCTTCGTGCAGCAACTCCCAGCGGGTAGACTCAAAGGTGTCCTTGAGTACGAGGAGCAGAGCGCTGTTGTTGTTGACGTCCTTCATGGACTTCAGATCCTCGGGTGTTTCAATCGATCCAAGTCTCTGTAGGTAACTCCGCATTGCTTCGTGCTTCTCCTGCGCTGTGTTGGGAACCGGGACCTCGGCACAAGGCCCCTCGAGAGCGAAGCCGTAGCACCAAACGACCAGTGCTGCAAAGTACAGCACCCATGGGCGATTTAGCAGGACATCGTCTCTCGCATTATACGCGGCACCGCCCGACTGGCCGTAGCGGTGGGATGTCGATGTGGTGCTGTGATCGAGTAGAGCAAAACATAAGAATTTCACAGCATAGAAGGTGGCATCGCGAGCCTTTGCAGAAGGCGCCCAGAGTTTTTCCATCCTCCTCTGTGCGCTGCTCAGGTCTTGTGCCCCGATCGCCCGGCCGAGCAGACGCTTCGCGCGTGCGAAGATCTGGCAGTCCACGATATCCACGTGCATGGCCATGTGTGCGAGGTGATGTAGCACAGTCCGGCTCTCGAATACCACCTTGGCTTCATTCCTCTTGTCGTAGCTGTACGGGTCGACCACCGAGTCGGAACGTTGTAGTGACTTATCGAAGTCAGTCTTCCAAGAGTCGAACGCTTTGGTAAGGGTGGACCGCCACTTGTCGCGTCCACCGAGTAAGCGTTGCGCATCACCCAGGGAGCTGAGCTGGAGATCTCTCTGGTTCATGTGCCAACTGACACTTAACAAGCCGGCCATGAGAATCTGCCTGCCAAAAGCGCTCGTCTGCACCTCGTCCCCGGCCAGTGTCCGCTTGAGCCCTTCGAGGAAGGAGATAGGCTTGATGCCGTTGGACATGAGGTTCGCGTCGATCCTCGCAACCTCGGCGCCGCTCGTGGCCTTCCACAGCTGCTCGTCACATGGCAGCGGTAGGCGCATCTCGTGCGCCACCATGACAGTCGAATGTCCAAACATAGTAGCATGTATCGAGTCGATGAGGAAGGCCGCAAAGGCAGCACGTCGCGTTGTCTCGTTGGTGATCCAGTGGTTCCACCATTCGTCTGGAGTGTGCGCCAGGCCAGACGTAGACGAATGTCGCGACCCGTTTCCACCAGGTTTGTCCTCTCGCGAAGTCGGCGGCGAGTCCATCGCAGACTTTCCAATCAAGGACCGGCCTCTTCGCATGAGCGTGATCGTCGTGGCGTGATGAATATGGGCCCGCTCATGAAGCTCCCTTGTCGAGTACATCTTCTCATAGAGTTCCAGAAGCAACAAAGTTTGGAAGATCCACAGCTTGGCGGGTGGCCGGAAATTCCGATCCATGAAAACTTCCCATCTCAAATGCCACGCTAGGAAATTGGACAGCTGGGCACCGGCTTTGGTCACCTTTTGGCCATGACTCCTGTCCAGGCAAGCCGCGCCTATAGCCATGACGGCCATCAGCAGGTGGTTTGGTATCTTATCTGGCGAGAATGACGCTTTGTGGAGGATTGGCACCTGGTCACTGAAGTGCAGCCAGTAAGAGCCTATGTATTGCTGCATCATCTTGCGACTCAACATGTGGTTCTCATCGCCCCTATCGCCTTCGAGAATAGTATCTCTCTGGCGTTCGACTGGGGCGTGATCGCTTTCATGGAATCTATCCTTGATGAAGTCGAATATTTCCTGGCTCTTCTCTTCAGACAGTAGAGACTCTGGAAGATTCGTGTCGAGGAGATTCGTGACCGACATGACCTGCTGTGGTTGATTCGATGGCGGAAAGTACCCGACAGACACACCATCAGTCCCGTAGTACGGCATGCTATACTGATGTTGATAATCACCATAACTAGGTTCGCATTAGCTTCGGTCCTCTTGGCTTGAGCAACGTAGACACATACTTCGAATACCGGTTCTGCGGCAATATGTGGCCTACAGTAGGGGACCCATCGGGGGCTGTGGTATTAAACAGGTAGGCGACAAAATCCTCCGGAATCGATATATATGGCGACTTATTCAAGACACCATCGTTGCCGAATACCGGAATAGTGGCCTGTGAAGTCATCTGGTCCAGGAGCAGCATGTCATCAGATGCTTGGGGATGCGCATGGTCACTGTACTCGCCCGAGGTCGGAGGCGCATACGGCTGACCAGACTCCTGGGGCATACCAGAGGCGGACGTCGTTGCAAAATCTGACGGGGGCAGAGTAAACGGAGGGAAATTGTTTGGGGCAGTATAAGGCATGGTCGAGGCAGACTGGGGGGTGTTAGCAGGTTGGCTGTGATAGCTACCATGTTGGGTCGACACCGGCGACAGGACCCCGTAGGATCCCACGTTGGTCTGTATGTGCGGCCGTGGATGCCCTGCCGGGGATTGGTGCGGATGTCGCGCACCTTGGGAGCCGTAGCCCTGCTCGTGATGTATGTATCCATCAGGTCCATTTGGGGGGCCGGCATGAGGAAACCCGGTTGGGGGCGTGTTTGTTATGGGCGTATACGGGGTACCAACGGTATCTTTTGGAGACTGATACTGAGGGTGAGCTCCATATTCTTGGCAAGAGTTGTGCCCAGGTCTATGGTAACTGGGGGACGTTGACGTCGAGCCCGGGGTAGGGTATGGAGATCTTACGTTGTCGATAGGTGAACTCTGACTGAGCAAGGAATCTTTCCGACTCAGCGCGGAACCTTTGGCGGTATGGCGGTCCTTGTGGCGGTTGCACAAGTCGAGTCGGACAAAGGTCCGGTTGCAGTCTTGGAAGTCGCATACGTAGTATCGCTTCGGCGAGTGGTTCAGCTGATGACGGTAGCTGTCATGCCGTCAGTACAGTCGGCTGCGTATCGGATATTCACCAAGCTCACAGATGCTCAGCCCTGGAATAACTCTTGCCACAACCCTCAGTAGGGCACTCGAATTTCTTGTCCAGACCTTTGCGACTTCGCCGCCTCTTTTTCACCGGGCCGTCCGAGTTGGACGAATTGCCATTCTTGTTATCATCATCGCCTCCGTGATCACTTTCATTGCCCTCACTGTCCTTGGCTCCCATTCGGCTCCGTTGACGGCCTCGCTCCATGTCATCCTCCTGCTTGACATGCTGCGGTGGTGTTGGCTCTTGGAACTGAGTCATGATTGGCGTCGGTCGCGCAGCGGGCAGGGATGGTTTGATATCTCGGGACAGCACCGTAAGAACAGAAGTCATGTTCCTTCAAGTGTCATGATAGTGGGGTGAAGGCCCTGATACTCGAGCTTCGGACCTTTTCTCGTGGGCGACACACTCGCAGTCACCCGAGATTACCGCTGAGCCAGTGGCGTGGCTATCGACCCGACCGACTGTGTTGGACCAAGCGACAAGCCGACCAAGGGCATCGACGTAGCACGATCCGGGGAAGTACTGTACGCCGGTCACAGCGGGCCTCTTGAGCCTTGGGTGCGACCACTGCAGCGCGGGCGAATAGGAGCAGCCTAGTGTCCCGAGCGACTCGGCTGCGATGGCGCCCACGTTGACGATGATATGAAGCCCTAGTCCTCAAAGCAACCTCACCGGAACCAGATGGTGGGTGTGGTCACCACATGACCGGTGAACCGGGGATAATCTGAGCCCGACCACTGTTTCAGACGAGCAGTCGACGTGTATATACTCAAGCCTGGGGAGAAGAGGGTTTGTCAGCTGAGAGGTCAAAGATGGTTGTTGATAACTGTCGGTTTTGTGCTGTACCGCGCATCACGGTAGATGAACGTGCTATCATTAAGTGGCGGGCCAAGGTCTTAGGTAGCGTGCGTGTGTCTGGGTCTGGGTCTGGGGCGGGGGAAGGTGAGAAGAAGGGGCCACGAACATTGAACGGGCTGACGGGAGCGGGAGAGCTAATCACTGATCAGCTACAGAAGCGGAGGTGGAGACTGGGCAGCGTCCTGAACCCTGCTCCCCTGACAGCCGGGCCAACATAGCGTCTCTCGGTCCCTCGGGCTGGACTCAGGTCGAGTCCCATTGGTCCTTGGACTCTGGAGTGGACTCTGGAGCATGGGGGAAGCCCCTCTAGCCCCTGAAGCTGCAAGTCGATGCGAGAAGGACTTGGTAAAGCCGGGGGCAAGGCTTCTGACTGGGTACTGGCACGACTGGGAAGGCTATTGTCGGAGGAGGCAGTAAAACAGGAAGGAAGATGAGGATTCCGTACGACTCAAGGTGTACTGTACACGCCGACAATGTGAAAACTGCAGGAATGGCACTTGCTCGGGGCTGCTTGAATGTCACACACGTGGTGAGACTGCTAACGAACCCGTGGGACAGTCCTCTTCAATTGAAGCGAACAGCGCGTGAAGAGGGTAACCGTCAGTAGCCTGACGAGACAGAGGCGAGGGAGCCAGACTCAAGCTTCCACTGTCCATGTTGCAACCGCACTGTAGCTATGCGACTCCAAGCGTTACGTACCCCGTGATGATGATCCGCAGCAATATAGCAGAACGCCTTTCGCGAGTTTGGCGACTTGGAACAGGGTGGGTAAGCCAGCACTGGATGGGCTATCAGGGAATTAAGTCTTCGAGTCGAGCAGAAATACAAAGAGTTGCACTCACGGTTATGAATCAAGGCGGCTGAGAGAGGAACCCCAAACGTCGATGTACGGCCCGTTTCAGCGGCCCGATGCGATGTTCGATGGGTCAAAAGGCTCGATAAACCTCAGAACTTGGGCGAGGGGATGGATTGTGGAATGGGGTCGTGGGACGTGGGACGTGTGGGAGAACGAGCGTCGAGAAGAGTTCCCGAGGTGGGGGTCTCGACAGTTCTTAATACTTATGGAGGGTTATGGATCAGCCGATGAGGCAGTAAGGTCGGGACGGCGGGAATACCCACATAATCCAAGATTACATGTGTATTGTACTTACCTTATTCTTATGCAAGTACCTCCAGGCCTGGCAGGCCACTTGGCTACCTCTACTTATTATTGTGGCAGCCTGGGATGGGTGGGCACGACGATCAGAAATATTCTGACACCTCTCCAAATAATAGTAATAACAAGGTTGAAGCCAGGTGAAGTTGGACAGGTTGGTTACCTGAGTCGTTACGTGGCTGCCACCCCATACCTACCACAGTCAAGAGCGCTCAGTTAAGGGCCGCGGCGACATGCCACAACCGAGGTAATAAGTAGTCTACTCTTGCCGGTTCATAGGTCGGTGAGTGCGGCAACGAGGTAAGACGGGCCTTGGACTCCGTTGAGGTGGCCTGCTAAGACCGCACTCGATATTGTCCATGCGAGTTCATTCGCTGCTCTTCGATATTCAGAGGGGAATGAGAACAGAGGCGTCCCGAATCCTTCTTGGTATTTTATGATTGATTGATGCGTTCGGTCGGTGGAAGGCGGGAATCGCGACGTCGTTGCAGGCCTCGACATAACAATAGTTCGAATCCTGTCTCATCGCCCCTCCAGTCGGAGGCAGTCGAGCGCCCCATGGGTGGGAGATGATGAACTGAAGGATGGGGTAACATGGATGTTCGCGGCCCCTCACGGGTAACAAGAGTTGTTACCATGCACTCCGTGTAACAGGTGCTGCTTGGGACCTTGTGAACCCAGCTATAGCAGGCTGGGTATTGTGTGAATGCAAGGTACTGCCTTGCGGTCCCCAGTCCAACTGCAACATGCCATGTTCTGTTCTGAACTCTGCCCATCAATTCTGCCCCTGGCCATTGGCATGTATTTCCCCGGAGTGAGGATCGGCTAGGCGTCAGAAGACTATTCCAAAACTTGACATTCGGTGGTAACGAGTATTGTCATTCCCCGTACGTAAGTATGTAGCAGAGGTCGACGTGCCGGACCACGCCGACAACAACGGAGATGTTCCGCGCAAGTGGCTGAGCCATCAGATACGTGACAGAGGGAAGCAGGATATTACTATCCGTCCTCCAGAGACGAAGGAAACGATAGATGTCTACAGTATGGTGCAGCGAGCTAAAGTCGTCTTTTGACAAGGCACAAGCTTGGAGAAAGTGTATGGGTCGGTTGGTGAAGCTAATGGTACTACGGGGTATTTCTGCCGGGAGAGGTCCACATAGGACTAACTTTAGTCTCTTGTTCAATGTGCCTCTCTCATGCGAGGTCATCGTCAAATACGGTCAGGTCTCTGACTGAGCCTGTACTGAATCCTGATACACCCTGTCGAGTATCAAAAGCAGCAAACTGCCTCGTGAAAACATGGAGAGACGACGCTCTGCGGCACGGACATCTTAAGATGAGGCGATATCACAGACTCAGGAACGTCAAGCACGTCTGTTCATGTGCCTGCTGGATGACGTCCCTTGAGCCTTGAGGCTTGCGCTAGAGGAATGCGAGCCCAAGCTGAACCTCCTTGTGGAAATCAACGTTGGGCGCAGAAGAGGCGCCACAATGGCAATGTCTTTTCCACGACGGCTATGTTACCGTCACCAACCCGCGGGAGGGGAGTGCCGTGGGCTCGGTACCAAGCAGGGTCCACGCCCGCCTGGCCCGGGGGTTGGTCGTTCCCAACGTGGGAAACCGGCGTGCTACGGCTGACCAGACTTGGGGAGTAACTTCGTGCCTACTGCCGCCGGCATCGCCTACCTAGCCTGCGACATTTTATTCGCCCTGGTCGCTCTTCACCATCATTTGCCACTCCCACGGGGCCATGTTTGAGGGACGACGGCTTGAAGCCGCTCGGAATACCGTGGGATTGGGGCTACGTATGGCAGGATTGCTGTCAAGGCGTGTCTCGTGAGAACGGAACACTGTACTGATTGGCTGGGCGCAACCCGCGAACTACATACGCAGCGCATCAATCATCATGAGATGTGCCGAATCGGTTGGCTTCCATCGATCCATTGAGCCCGTACTGCCGTTCTCATGCAGAGTGTCCAGCCCCACATCAACTGCGCAGACACTGCGCTTTTTTTTTAAAATCGCCTTTTAACAAAGAAAGCTATAACTTTACCACGTTGAAAGATATAAAAGAAATTTGTATACAGTAAATGTAAAGGTAATAAATAATAAAGCACTTATCACAAAGTACCACCAAATTTTAAAGTAGTTTATTATAAAGTTATTCAATATATCTATAATATTATATGTTTAAAGTAATGTTTCATTTTTATCTTTATTTTATAACTAGTATAGTTAAAAACACGATTTTAAAAAATATTCTACTTTCTTTATATGACCTTTGTACGCTTAATTATTATTATTTCTATAAAACGCGTCATATTATTACCTCAAATAGCCAGAACATCAACTTAATAGCGACGACGACAAAAGTACGCTTTGCAACTACCACGCTTCCAAATTAACGTCGCAAGTATTCATCCAGGCATGCACTAATAAGTACGATCTAGGGCTATTAGTACATATACATATGGACATGTGAGACATTAAACCGGTAATGATAACTTCAAAAAACGTACTTTTGTCGTTCGTCGCATGCCAGCTCAGAATTGTGTGTGTGTGTGTGTGTGTGTGCAAAATGCTTAGTCAGGCTGGACACTCTGCTTGAGAACGGCAACATTGCATCGGTGCTGCAATTCCACGGGGTTGCCAGGCAGCTCCAGATCCCCAGAGACGTCCTCGACGTCGTATTCGTCCGCGCAGGGCACCCGGCCTGGAACCCCGCAGGCGTTCGGGTGTCAGGCGAGACACTCGAAAGCTGCTTGTAATGGCGTGTGTCACCACCACGTTGAATGCTTCTGGAAGTCTGGGGGAGAAGCCTCGGAAGCGTCGGAGTTGTCCACTCAGCTTCATCAAAGGAGCGCCAGAACGTGCCAGGAACAGCCAAGCCTGGTCAGCCTCCCCCCCATGATCCATCGCTCTGGACGCTGGCTGGCCCGTCAGCCTGGCAGCTGATCAAGCGACGACGCAGTGGTTTGTCGCAGGGCCTGGGAACGGAAGAAAAAGAAAGCAAGATGCAGGCAATCTTCAGCCACAAGTCACTCCTTGCAGGGGACCCCGTTATGCACGTCGACGAAACCGGCTCAACCGAGAAAGGCAAGTGGTCGCACAGGAGGACGGAAAACTGGAGTGCATGACAGACAGCTCAGCACACCAGGATCCGTTGGTGTAGGAGATATAACTCAGGGCACACGTGCTTCCCTCTCGTCATCGCCTGTCACCTGTGTCAGAAGAGGACGCGAGCGATCTGCCGAAGAAGAGGAAAAGGGGGAGAGCAAGACGGCCCAGTCCACCTGCATCCCATTGTTACCCACCGCGCGTAACTCTGATACGATCTCAAAGACACCATGAGGAATAGCACCTACTGTAACCAGGCCCCAAGGCCCATTGCAGGCAGCATCGCATCAGCATCAGGTCCGTCTGCGGTTCCATCGCATACGCCTGCTCTTCAGAGTAATAAGGTGTGGCTCCAAGGCTATCACTTCCAGACCTGCAGGAACGATCGCAGGGAAGACCTTACGTGCACGAACAACCTGCAGTAAACAGCTGTTCTCGTCCTGAACCAGGTATACTTCGGGCAAGTGCTCTGAATGAGGCTCGATGATCGACGACTAGCCAGACCGTATTCGAAGCTGATCGCATGATATATCTCCGGGGCTGCGCCCAACGTCACGCTCGTCAGCGGTCGGTCAGCGACGAAGAACCGGAGCCCGGCTCGACGTCTCGTGTGTTTCTAGAAGAATTACTGCAACCTGGGTCCACCACCAGATGTGCCAAGTCGCCTTAGTCCGTCGGGGAGACGACGGGTGATCGAATCTGCATCTGCCGCAGCGACGAGACGGAGGCGGCCGTCCATATTCGTATGTATCGCCGGGTTCAACATCGCGCAGGTCCGCTATCGGTCATGGAACCTGCCTGCGCTGATTCTCTACCGGTCACCACAAGTCCCCGACGGACATACTATGCCATGCGAGATTTAGATCAGAGTGAACGCTACAGGCTATGAGTTTATCCCGACCTGACCCAGCCTCGATGTGATCAAAGTGCATAGCAGTGGCTCGAGATTGGAGGATAATTGTCGGGCTTTTGGCAGTGCTTTTGTCCCTCCTTTTTTGGGCCAAAGGATCAAGATAAGGTCGTCCCAACGGGCCTCTTTCGCATGTAATCCAGACGGCATGTCCAAACGGCATGTCTAGACGGCATGTCTAGCTACGTTATTAACTCAATGAAACCAACAACACATTCAATATGTAGTCATTGCACTGCGAATTGTGTATTCGCCGGACTGCAATGCCAGGGTGACAGATGCTGACCTAATTTCCATTCAGGGGCTTGTATTAGATATCATAGTACACCATACCACGTAAATCACATGGCATGAGATGTAGCGAGTCAGCAATATCACATGAGAGCCACATTTTAACGAGTCCATAATCTACCCTGTGTGATTTTCCCTAGAAATCTTGATCTTGGCTATGAAGGAACCGCTTGCAGCCCACGCGTCGATTCACCATCCAACAATGTTATACTGCATTGACAGTAGTATTCCACATCCCCCGGCCTGTAAAAGCAGATGAATACTACCTAAGGGCCACTCCCCGGCTTGAGGGGGTTCGCTCCACATGTCTTACAGCATGTGGCTGCTGATAAGTCATCCACGCTCGACATCCCAGCCCTGGCGGCCAACATTCAAACACGGTGTCAGACTTAGATCAAGCATGAATGAACATCTAGTCATTGAATGTGCGGGTCTCCTTCTCAGTCGTACGACAAGCAGGCCCCCTCCTAGAATCGGTCTTTGAGCACCACCCAACAGTCGAAAGAGCCCCAGTGTATCAGGCATGCCTCGGCAGGGCCTGCACAGATTACTACTGTTACCAGTGAGCTATCCCGTATGGCATGGCTCATACTTACGGCCAATCATATGTGTTCTACTCACCGATGGGAACACCCTCCACCGCCGGCTGGGTGGACCGATATCGCGGCAAGAACCCAAGGGTTTGAGAGGGACGGAAGCTTCGGTGTATACCCCTACGGGCGAGAGGTCACAGTGATCAAAACGCTGATGCCAAGGCTGCTTGAGTCTTAGCAGTTCGCAGTAATGCGGCTGGAGTGCGATGGTGAGGCCTTCTGATGGCAGCATGGGATGGCCTTTCGGCCGGCCGCCGGCTAAGCTTAGATCCGGAGGCATGATGTCTGACAGATCGAATACGGACCAGTTGTTCGTAGATACAGATGAGCTGGTCTTTTATACATATGCAGCTGCTCCCACACCACAGATTACCCGACCTGGAAGCCCTCGGCCAGGTCAGAGGGGCGTTGTCGGAGGCTATGGTAAGGGGAACAGTCCTCAGCATGCTATGGCCGCCCCGAAGATCCGACAGAGATGGATATGTTATATGACTGAAGGGATGTATCGGTCATCTTCCACATTAGCTTTTATGTTCTAGGTAGGTCTTCCAAGAAGCATGCGAATGTAAACGCGAGCGTCAAGCCTCCGCTTCGTCTCCACTCGCAGCGAGAATGGGAACCCAGCTACGGCGACGCCGTCGCTATCAAGAGGTAAGACAATCACCTGGTTATGACTCTTATAAATTACTCTAGGTATTCTCCAAGACCATACGCATAAGCACCGAACTCCTCATCTAAACCATCAGGGCGCCTCATTGCGTGTACCCGGAGCAAATTTAAAGCAGCCACATCACAAACCTTAAGTCAGCCCCCCTATTTCTCGCACCTTGACAATCGTGCAAGGCATATATAGTTCAGTTTAGCATGTTTAATTGGTAGCCGGGTCGGTACGGCCTAGCGAGATATTCTCACAAACTATTCTTACAAGGTATCCTTAGGCGCAGCGGTTCGATTCCCCTAGCGGCTGAAACATTCTTTTTGTACACGTTCTCCCACGATGACAACCCCGGCGGCCAACGCATAGCCACGCGAGAACACAGCTTCTAGAGCTCCTAGAAGCTAGATATAGAGTATTCTTAGCATTACCTATGTGAATGGGATAGGTATCTCAATCATTTCTCGAAGTTTCGGTGGCATTGCCTAAGAATGGACAAACGAAGTTCCAAGGCGCCCTTCACGCTCTCGACTGGCACTCGCTTCACTATGAAGCTGCCCAGATATGGGCAGTACATTTGCATGAACGACATCTACATCCTATATAGCAAGAAGGAATTTAAAGAGAGCATATCCCATAGTAACTCGATTTCAAGCCTTACCAACCGCCGACCCATCCCACAGACTGGTATGTACATCCGCGAAGCGACGAAGCGGCCAAACCCACTCCAAACCAACACCACCAAGCCCGACGCCATAACATGTAGACCGCCTGTCAAAGTCGTCATCCAGTATATGTGAGTTAATAAGCAGTAAACATACCGGCCAGGGTCGTGACAACATCCAAGAACGACCCTCGAAGTGATACGTACATACAAAGATCAACTCATGCCTCCAGCACCTCGACCAGCCAGCCATATGCGTCAACCAGCGTCACCCCATCAGCTGATCTCGTCCCTCCATACTGCTAAGATGAAATGAATATGGGCTGTAGCTCAGAACTGACAGAGTCGCACAGCATTTACGACCATGTCCATAAACGTGATGTCGTTGCCCGATAAGCAAACACCGCGACCTCGTGATCAGCCCCACGAGAAAACCCCAGACCAAAGCTTCGACGACATTTGATATCGGTGTATAGCAACTTCTTCCCGCCCACGGTCGTGACGAGCCTGGGCTACCATGACTTGGCTGTCCCATCTCGCACGTCAGGGGATCGTCTGTACCCGCCGTCAAGCGACCGCGATACATTCACCTGGGCCACTTATCATCACCCATCCCTTCCTTCCTTGCCGCCTCGACCTCAGGCGGCCGATACACGTGGTCATGGACATACCCCCTTTTCCCACTCCCCATTCCTCATTCCCATTCCCACTGTCATTCCGCTACCACTCCCAAGCCACCACAACCTCCATTATCACACGCAATGCCGCCCCAATAACCTAGACTACCCTTCTGTCCTTCCATCCGCTCCCCCAAAACGCCAAAGACCTCAGCCACCACCCAGACACCGCAAGCACAAGCACAAGCACAAGCACAAGCACGAGCAACCCGGCAGGCTGACAGAAGCAACAGCCCCTCGACAGGCCTACCCCGAAGGCCAGCTAAGGCCAACGCCAATGCCGAGTCCCGCAGCAGTCTGCTCCTCCCCTTCTCTCACCTGCCCTGAAGCCTCCAGTGGCACATTCTCTCCCCCATACCCCACCACACGTCGAAACTTAGGAACCAGCTAATCCACGACCTTATCTCATACCGGACTCCATCCGCCACATCAACGGGAAGAGAGCGGAGAGTACTCTAGCTCTAACTCCCAGCTCCAACTCCCTCGCCCTTATCTCCCCTCACCTATCTGCCAACCCCCCTTCTCAACCATCATCCCCTTCCGCACAGTGCCCGTTCCACGACCACGTCCACATCCAGGTAGAAGTACATGGCACCAAGTGCCATACATACCGAGCCCAGACTCCCTCACCTATCCAACACAGGCCCTACTCACCTCCACTCTCCACGTGGCACGGCGTGTCATCCAAGGCAACCAACCTCCCGAAGGTCTAGCTTGTGTGGGTTTTTGTTCTCTCTTTCTCCACGCGAGGGAGCCGGTCCATCCACGCATCCACCAAAATCGAAGGGCCATCAACCAGGGGCAAATGAACAACAAGAACAGCGAGCTCTAGGCCGATACGCCCGAGGCGAGGCCCTCGCGCAGGAAAGTGGCTCGTCCGGTAACTGACTGTCAACTGACAAGTACGTGGTCTACACCACGCGACAACCTGACCCCTTCGACTATACTGGCATATGTATACACCATAAATACGACCCCGACAGGAACACACATCCCATGATATGGTTGGTTGGGTACAGGAAACCTAATCGTTGTTGGATATTGTGAGAAAACTGAGGTTCCAGGACCTCACTTGATCTTTCGTACAAGCAGTAGCTACGATGATTGCTTCACGAAAGGGCACCACCAAATCAGATGCTCAATTGCGATGTTCGGTTCAGTTGTTGACCTCTCGTGTTTGACCTATGGCAATGGCCGAGTCAAGAATGTGGTTATGGGGAAGGTGGCACACGTCCATATTCAGCCGCTAGACGCATCGACTCTTGTACGATTAGCCGTCCGCAATGCACCAACAACTACTCCTGGGTCGGATCCTTCGGCCTTATCAGCACTGTAGCCGTTGGGTCAGGTTTCAGGAATCCCTTTTCGGGAGAAATGAGAGGCCTGCCGAGATGAATGTCATGTCGGACCCATGCGTTATATTACCACTATACAGGCCAATCCACTACTCGATATCCCTTGGCGTGTGCCAGGCTCTTCGGTTTTCATCACCCGGCTTTCTCCGGCATTGTGGCAGACCTCTCTGGCCTGTCGAAATTTGCAAAAGCCGCCAGTCCCCGCAATCCATCTCAGAACGCCGGGAACAAGAATCAAGCCGATCTTCATGTCTGAATGTGGATATAGCGTTTGTTCAATCGTGGTATCATCGCTTTATGTCATGCTGTTCTCCCGCTGAACCGGTTCGAGAAGGACGACATTGTCTAATGGCCATTGAGCTGGCCTTCCACTTGTTGTGGAAGGTTGCTCTCCACGTTATGATACTCAAGAATCTCCGAGTACCTGTTGCCTCGTATTCTTAGTCATTCCCGATTCCATAGCATTCCGGACGGGGATGAAAACTCACATCATGATCTTCCACGTGTCGACGGGCAATTCGGCGTCGTTGAAACTCCAGTCGAACTTCTCCTCGGCCACCGGCTCATCGGTGGGGTCATGGTATGGCGCGAGGTATTCGTGTGCCAGAGCATCGCCGGCTGTTATTCGCTTCTTAGGGTCAAATACAAGCATCCTCTCGAGAAGATCAATGGCTTCCCAACATGTTAGCAAATTCCAGTGGTAAATGAGCCGTCTTCCTGGACCACCAACCTTGCGGATCGGCGTTCTTGAACTTCTTCGTCAGGGGTTGGCGTTCCCGTTTGGGTAGAGACTTGACGAATCTCAGGGTCTGAAAACTGATCAGCACAGTGCAGTTTAGATGGGCAAGACTCCCGAACTCACGTTCTCGCTGGCAATTGTGTTGATAACGTCGTCAGGAGGCGTGCCCAGAAGCTCGGTGATGATAGAGAACTGGTTGACGTGGTCCTTTCCGGGGAACAGAGGCTTGCCCTCCAACATCTCGGCGAAGATGCATCCCGCACTCCAGATATCGACCTCAATGTCGTACTTTTGCCAGGTGAGCATGATCTCCGGGGCTCGGTAGTATCTCGTCGAGACATATCCAGTCATCTGAGGGTCTTGAATTCGGGCAAGACCAAAGTCGCAAATCTTCAGATCACAGTTCTCGTTGACCAGGATGTTGCTGGGCTTCAAGTCGCGATGGACAACACCGGCAGAGTGGACGTATTTCAGGCCCCGCTATTCATCAACATGCCGTCAGTCCTTGTATGGGTCCCACCGCGTCGAGGAGTTGAGTACGAACCATGATCTGGTAGAGGAAATACTGGATGAACTGCTTCTCCAGGGGTCTTGAGGTAAGGAGTCGGTGTAGATCGGTTCCAAGCAGCTCGGTGACGAAGTAACTGTGGCAGAGAGTCAGCTTATGTCAAGGCTTCGGTATGGGACACGTAGATAGGCGCACATATCCTCGAGAGGGGAGATGAAGATGTCGCTGAGAGAGATGACCTTTAAGCGAGGGTCAGCACACTTCCGTCAAAATGGCGCAATCAGCAACGGACATTCTCGTGCCTGAGATGCTTCAGCAGCTTCAGTTCTCGGTATGTTCTCTTGGCCAAGACTGGAGTGCTAAAAGGCTTCATAATCTTCTTTACAGCCACATTCTGATTGGTGAGTTGGTCCCTCGCAGAACTAGAAGGTCGCGAAAGCGGCTTGTCAGTCTCTTCGGTCGACGATGGCGGGGAAGCGAGTGGTTTTGAGGGTGGCAGCTTACCACACCAAGCCGAAGGCTCCCATGCCCACAGGCTGGAGATCCGAGTACCTGTCAATTTGTCAATTTCGCAGACAGGCGGAGGAGGCAGGTCGTTGTCGGCGTACCTGGAGGTGATCTCGAATGTGGTGCCGAAGATCTGGGCGCGTATGAACTCGGCCATGGTGATGATGGTTTAGGGGGTGGGTGGATGGTGGGTTGTGGATGGAGGGACGGATGGATGGCGGGGAGAGGGGAAGTGTGCAAGGAGGAAGATTGCAAGAGGCAGACAGCAGACAGCCAGACAGCAGACAGCAGAAAGCAGAAAGCAGGGCGACGGAGCGATGTATCGAAGTGAGGGGCAGATTCCCAGATACTAGATACCAGATAGCGCGCTTGTCACTCGAACAGCGGTCGCGACAATCGGAACACCCCAGACAGCAGGTTGGAGTAGCAGAAGTAGGTACAGGACAGATGGTATCGTCAGTCGGAACAATGAATGGGAATGTGAAATACCGGTAAAGATGGGGATGTGGGAAAGTTGGGAGAACAGGATTTTCGAGGCCGGGCTGGCTGGCTGGTTGGGCGGTGGACACTGGGATAGGCGCTGGTGGTGGTGCAGGCGTTACTACATAGTGGTAGTAGTGGTGGTGGTCTAGTGGCGATCGCGATCGAGGGATTGGATGAGGTGTTGGCCAGGGCTGCCAGCTGGTCACTGTCAGGACTCAGCACTCATCAGGACCAGCACAGGAACAGGTTGCAAGAGCTGGCAAGCTGGCATTGGATGTACCTATTCTGATCAATTATTAGGTTAGGTTATCATGCGGGTGTACTGGACAGTGCAGTGGGCAGGCCCGGGTATGTCAGTCAGTGTCCGGGTCAAGAAGGCAGGTACATGTAAGACGTATGCGGCATAAGCAGCAGCTGAGGTACTTGTACATGTTAATAAGGCAACCGTGCTCATGTTTGATGGTGGTGCGTGTCAATGTTGCTGTTGGCCGCACGGAACACACGCTGGATTCAACAGGTTTGTTACAGCAGTCGCTCTCACTGGCTGGAGGCGGTCCGGATAACCTCCAGTTCAAAGCTGGACTGGCGATGGTGCTGGCGCTGAGGGGCCGCACGCAGTGCTAATCTGGAGCACGAGGGGGATGTGGGAGGTGGGATGGCGAATAGACTGCCGTGTGGCCCAGGCGCTGCCCCTAAAATGCGCCTCCTCTGCTTGTGCCTGAATAAGTTTCCTTTCCTACAGTATGGAGGTACCTCTACCAAACTTACATGCAAGTTCATCCTTACGTGTAGTGCTAGTCATTGGTAATGGAATACGCCCACAATGGTCACGGTTGCATCAATCCGATGCAGACATTTGATCGAGAAACGAAGTACACAACTGTATTTTTTAGTAGGGACGGGATTCCTAACTGTCTGAGGTTCGTGCGTTCAGTCAACAAGTGGTGCTGCGGGTAGAGTTAAAACATCTAGAACGGCACAAACTTGAGTTGAAAGACCCGTCCCGAAGACTCAGTTTGACTCTTCAGGGCTCACCTGGTGTCTGTTTGCCGGTGTCAGGCAGAGCTCACCTTGGTGATTGTTCGCCTCGTTAGTCCTGACAGAGGCAAGGGTATCTACCTACATGCCCAGAACTGCCAGAGTGTCACAGAGGAAGAGCTGATAGCGAGGCCGTATCCCAGATGTTGCGCGTGGATGGATCAATGCAGATCTCTTCCTCCGGTGCTGAGGTGGTGTGCGGAAGATCTGACCACAGCCGCCAGCCCAACCAGAACGACAGGATCTATGTGCAACGAGGGTCGTCCCGCCGGGCCTGTCAGGGCTATTTACAGAAATATGACCGTCTAAGCTTATCTCATCCCCGTAAAATGTAAGCTCTCCGATGAATGAGGATCATGTACTGCGGAGCCGTCCATGATGTGAGCGCTCCGGCTGAGAAGTTGAGGCGATGGTTCTAAAGACGCTGCGGAGGAGCGATATGAGGGATTCCGATGTCAGATCTGAATCCCTCGAAAATCCGCTAACTGACTTCACCTGTCCTAAATCAGATAACGAGAAAGGTATTAGCAACTTGACATGCTGACATTGATCATCCAATGCTACCTACACTCAAGGGCTGTGATAGTTGGCTGGGCTGACAGAAAAGTCGTGTATCTTTCAATGCCCTACACAGTACACGAGTTGTCAATCTAAGGAATATAGTAGTTTCTTTCATTTGCATACTTTTCAACAGAGGGCTCATATCGTGAAGACTAGAGGCAGCACGTAAGAAGACCTTCCCGTCCATTGCGTCCTTTCTCTTGAATGATGTCACTGCAGGGCAAGCGCGACTTGAAGGCAAAGAAAAAGCCATTACCAGGTAGGTTTCAATTGAGCTTTCCCAGGCCACAGTCATTGGCTGGACCAGATTCCGGCATGGTTTCCGAGAAACCCCCCCTACGCTTGGACTACCTAATCCAAATGAGGTTCGCGAAGCAGCCCGGCGCTATGATCACAATCTGGTCCATGCGCTTCTCTGCACAAGCGACGAGACAAACCGTACCCGACGTCATCGAAGATTCCATCTTGATTCCCGACTCCACCCCCATTTGCTGAGAAGAGGCTCCCGTCGTGAGGGTGTTTCCGTGTTTCCGTGTTTCCTGGTTTCCTGCATCAACTTCAGGTACCCCCACAGTCTACAGTCTGGCGGTCTGCCAGCATGGAAAAGAGTCGAATTACCTCAGCTTGGCGACAACAAGGGCAATTCTTGTGCCAATAGTAATACCCTTCAAAGCCTACCGGGCTAGGGAAACCCGGAGTGTTCGCTCCCACATACACGCAATGCATCAACCGTTGCAAGCTTCATTTCTCAGCTTTCCGGCAAAGTCACACATCTCTAGGCGCATGCTAGAGCCTAGGTGCGGTTGATTGCACCACGTTCGCCAGATTCTTATGTCTAGCCGAGTTTACTATCTCTGGCATGGTGACGCCACTCTATCAACACCGCCAGCCAACACCAATGGAACTTGTAACGAGTTACGACAGTGTATCTGATACGAGTCTAGGATCTAGAGCCTGCGGATAAGGCTGAAGTCGAACCCGGCATCGACATTCGACAAGTGAGATCGGCATTGATGGATAGGAAAGTGCCAGACCTTTAATCGGATTCCGGATTGCCATCCAAGCAGTCCCCAGAAACAGCGTGTTGCACCAACGCACCCGGCACTTCCGAGTCAAATTGGCAATAGATCACCACGGCGCCTTGGCCCTTGAGTAAGATTATGTATAAGCCACCGCGACGGGCATACCGAGGGCGCGGTCAACGGGTTGGTCCCTGAAGATCCCTTGTCCGTCTAGGCTTGAACTTAGATCTCAGATCGAGGGGCTAGCCAATCTTCCCATCCCTTCCCATCCGCTGAGTACCGCCCACCTCGCCAGTAACGTATCTACCACACCACCTATATATCCCTTAGTCAACATTACGATCCCAAAGCTATTATCAACACCCATACCCCGCAGACACGGCGATGGGCAGGGCGGATAAAGTACTCATACTGACAACGACTCCTGATATATGACACGCAAGTTGACGCTGGTATGGCTGATCACCATTCTGTCTCGTTTCACACATACGATGGCCAAGACGCCGTGATTTCCGCCCGCCTACCTCGAAGACACCTTGGCGGCCCGGCCGGTCACAAGCAGGTAATTCCTCAAGTAGAGGTGTATGCGTCACCTCGAAAACACTGATCCAGCTGATCAACCTCACCAGGGTAGGACAGAAGCACTGATCTGAAATGGACAACCTCACGGGGATGAGCTCCAAGCCCCCAACTGACAAATCCATCACATAACTCGCAAGCTACAGCTCAAGGCAAAGACTGTCTGTGTCGATGTGCAAATCCTGACCTGCGTATCTTTCCACGCCCTCACCCGTTGTTCTCTTACAGACGTAGTGAGAATCCAAGTAGGTACATATTCAGACCCCCAAGTTCAACGGTATCAGTGGGGAGGTGGCCACATACAACTCCCTACATTTGACGGATTACCTCGCTACTGGGATTCGTCAAGTCTTTGAAGCCAACCACGGCCCGGCTACTCTGCTACAAAGGCCTCGTGAGAGAAGCAACCACATCCATAACTGGCTTGACAACCCTGGGTATAAGCTGGCATGACCAGTTGGAAACATGTAAGGCAGTCTGGTGATTCCCTGCCAACGCCCCCTCTTGTCCGAGAGGGCTTGCAAGCTCAAATGGAAGCGATTTAGCTTCAAACCTGACAAGGAGACTTACCTCAGAGGACCCTCCAATTGGGAGCTGTACAGACAGGCTTCGTTCCTCGCCTTGTACGATATCGGCTGGGAGGACGAGATGAAGCTCACGGAGCGCGATAATGTTCATCTTGCGAAGCACATCATCGAAACTTGCAAACCAGACCCGATGATACAGGTCTCTGGCATGAAAGATGGCTTCAAGATGATGAGAACGTTCGCGAAGACCTTTTCCAATAGACAACAACACTATCACGCTCATGCCATGTGCATCGGTTCATATATATTGCTCCCATATACAGGGTACCGTCTCGCCCTTCCTGTACACATACATACTTTATCCAGTAGGATACGATCGATCTATACACATACATATATACACACCTATGTCTGTCCAGCTTCGCAAGCTTTCAGTTCTCACACTCGCCAGTGGGATTACCACGAGGTACTCGACACGACACCAATCCCCAACTCCCTTCATGAACGCGCAGATGCCCACTTGACCGGCGTCCTCGCCAAGCGTGAACAACATCGGCGTCGGAATGTACACGGGACAGACGGACAGACGGATGGACGGACGGACGCGAAGGGGCCTCGCAGCAGATCCCTGAGTCCGTGTAGTGATTCCTGCCGTCACTATCAAGCTATTGCCTCGTCTCGTCCGTCTCGTCATGTACCGTCTCGTCTCGTCAACGACCTCATCATCACCATCTGTCCTGTCTACTGTAGAACATCTCACAGCACGGCGTCATTACACGCCAGTAAGTGGTAGCAAGATGACTATCTGCTAACACCATCTCTAGGTATGGAGAGAGACAACGGGCATCTACAACCTCCACCGTCTGAAATGTCGTGCTCAGCCGGCCAATGCTTTTCCATTACCTTTTCCAGAGGTGACGATAGGGCATCTAGGTTAAGTGGTCGGTCACTCATCCGGTTATGTGAGCCTCGGACTTTCTGCCTTGGTTGGACCTGATACCAACCATGTAATCAGACCACAGGCTCGACTACCGTAGTCGTGTACCTATAGAGGGTAGGTTTCCACCCGGAGGCAACCATCATGTTGCTCGATGGACACCGTGACCGCGTAAAGACGTATAGTCGAGAGTGTGTTGATACTGGAATTGCTGCTCATTACCGATGCTCTCATAAAGTGACTGATTCACGAACCCCAAGCCAAACAAAGAAAAATGAGCCCAGCTTCTCGCGCCGTGGACAAGCACACCACGCTAGCAGGCTTGCCGTCTGATTTATCTGTCTTGCTCTCTCCCTCTCTCCCTGTCTGTGTGTATCTCTCTTCTCAAGCCCCTTTCTAGAGCACAACTCTATCTAGTCTAACTCTTCAACGTCTGCCTCTCTATCACATCTATCAGCAGACCCTCTTACTTACACGGCCAGGGGCTCAACGTTCCAAATGCCCTCGGCATACTCGTTGATGCACCGGTCCGAGCTGAAGAAGCCCATTCTAGCAACGCTGCGGATGGTCTTGGTGATCCATCCCTCCTGGTTGCGGTACTCGTCGTCTACCATCTTCTGGGTATCGATGTACGACTGGAAATCGTCCGACACAAGGTAGTAATCGCCGTGGTCGCGAACGGCAGAGATCATGGCGCCGAAATCGTTGGTGTCGCCGAAAGTACCACTCTGGATAGCGTTGAATACCTCGGTCAGACCAGCGCCTACTGAGTGCTGGCCATAATTGTGGGAATGACGAAGGTCCTCGACATCTTCGGATAGGGTGCCGAAGAGGAAGATGTTCTCTTGGCCAATCTCGCGAGTAATCTCAATCTGATACTTGTTAGTATATGTTCTCGTAGAATTCAACGGAGAGTTCGGCCTACGTTGGCACCATCGCAGGTTCCGATGATGAGACCGCCGTTCAACACGAATTTCATGTTGCTGGTTCCGGATGCCCTATCACAACGTTAGTAGGTAAGGGGCCAGTTGACCCCGACGGCAGACTTACTCTGTGCCGGCAGTGGAGATATGCTCGCTGAGATCCGAGGCAGGAGTGATTATCTCCGCCTTGCTGACATTGTAGTCTTCCAAGAAGATGACCTTCAACAGATCACCAATTTCCGGGTCCTTGTTGACAACAGCTCCGACGTTGTTGACGAGATGAATGATTTGCTTGGCCATCCAGTAGCCTGGAGCAGCTTTTCCACCAAATATGGAAACGCGAGGCAGCTGCTTCTTTCTCTCCTCGGGGCTCATTTGCTTCAGCTTTAGGTACCGGTAGATGACACCGAATATGTTGAGCTGCTGCCGCTTGTACTCGTGGATTCTCTTGACCTGAATGTCGAACAAAGCTTCCGGGTTGACAGTTATATCCATGGTAGACTTGATGTAATTCGCAAGGCGGACCTTGTTGGCATACTTGATCTCGGCCCACTCCTTTCTGAACTCCTTGTCATCGACAAAGTTCTCAATCTTGTTGAGCAGGGTGAGATCCTTCAAGAAACCGTAGCCGCCAGTCTTCTTCGCAATCAGTTCTGAGAGACGGGGATTGGCCTGGTGTAACCATCTTCGCGGGGTGATGCCGTTTGTGACGTTGGTGAACTTGTCAGCACCGAAGATGGTAACAAAGTCCTTGAAGATTGTCGTTTGAATAAGATCCGAGTGGAGTTCGGCAACACCGTTGACCTTGTGAGAACCGACGACTGCCAAGTATGCCATGCGGACCATCTTTGTCTGAGACTCTTCGATAATGGAGACCCGGCTTAACATATCCCGATCGCCGGGATACTTCTTTTCGACGGCCTGGAGGAAGAAGAGGTTGATGTCGTAGATAATCTGAAGGTGTCGAGGCAACAGATGCTGTACCAAGCCAACGGGCCACTTCTCAAGTGCTTCGGGAAGGACAGTGTGGTTGGTATAACCGAACTATACAGCATTAGTACTGCCAGACTACGAGCCGCTGAGGCGTACTTACTGTTGCTGTAACGATGTTCCATGCCTCGTCCCACTCAAGACCTTCCACGTCTATCAGAATGCGCTGAAGCTCGACAATGGCCAATGTTGGGTGAGTGTCGTTGAGTTGAATGGCGACCTGGTCGGGAAACTCGCTCCACGCGCGCTTAGTCTTCTTGAACCGGCGGACTATGTCGTATAGTGATGCAGCAACCCAGAAATATTGTTGCTTGAGACGCAACTCCTTTCCACGGTCCAGGTTGTCATTGGGGTACAAGACCGCGCTGATGGTCTCGGCTCTCTGCTGATCAGCTACTGAGCTTTCGTACTCTCCATTGTTGAACTTCTGGAAGTCGAATTCACCACTGGCGGCTTTGCTCGACCACAGTCGCATGTTGTTGGTGGATGGGGTGTCGTAGCCAGGGATTGGCACGTCGTAGGCAACGGCCGTGACGTCCTCGCCTCCTTCCCAATGGGCAATCGTCTTGCCATTCTCATCCTGGGACTTGCGAACATGTCCATAGAATTGGATCTGCATCCCTCATCAGTCACAGTGCTTAGAGTTGCTCTCCACTTGTGGCAACAACTCACATTGACAGTGACATCATGTCTTGGGAACTCCCAAGGGTTGAAGTCAAGCCAGTAATCGGGCACCTCGACTTGGTAGCCATCAATTATCTCCTGCTTGAAGATACCATATCGATATCTCAGGCCGTAGCCCCAGGCGGGGAAGTTCAAGGAGGCCATGCTGTCGAGGAAGCAGGCAGCAAGTCGTCCGAGACCACCATTGCCAAGCGCAGCGTCGTGCTCCTGACCGATAATGTCCTCAATGCGGAAACCAAGCTCTTCAAGACCCTCTGCATCGAAATTAGTTTGAGCTACCCATAAACGCTCAGAGATATCACACCTTTCGCGATGCTCTTGGCGCCAACGTTCAGCATCGCATTGTCAAAGGCACGGCCCATCAAGAACTCCAGACTGAGGTAGTAGACACGCTTGGTATCAGTAAAGGTCTGACGCTGTTGAGTCTTGTTCCACTCCTTGACTAGACGATCACGGAATGCTAGACTAGCGGCGGCGTATGCAGCCGTCTCGTCGCAGTTGAACATGCTGCGAGCCAGGGTAGTCTCGACATGGCGAACGACCTCCTTTTCGAACTCGTCCTTATTCTTGAAGCCCTCGAATTCGTTCTTTGTCCATGCCTCACGTTGAGGTTCGGGAATGGAAGCTGCAAAGAACAGAAGACAGGTCAGCGACGGGTCGACATATCACAGTGTCGCGTGGGATTCCTAGTTGTATATAAAGGGCGTGTATTGTGTATGTGTAAACGGCCTCGACATACCCTCAACGCTCTTGATCTCGCCAGCACCGAAACCGGTGAAAGTGCGCTTGTGCTTCGGGCGAGAGATGCCGGCGGGCCCGACGGAGCCGACAATGTCGATGATGGGAGCACTCGTGGACGGGCGTCGCTGCCGGGTAGGCAGGCGCTGCTCGGTGGAAGAAGCCATCTTGGGGTATCACAGCGGGAAATAGGACGCGAGCGAAGAGTTTAGAGGCAACAGAAGGGATTCGAAGTGAGACTTGGTCGACTGCAGCTATCGACGTTAACACTATTTAAACCAACTGGATATCACCGGATTGCGCAACGGTTGGCATGACAGCATACGCACGTTGGTGGGTAGTAACTTGTAAGCGAAGCTCTTCGCTGGCGGCAAGCTGCAGGTCACAGGTGGTGGTTGGAATGAGGTGAGGTGAGGGGGCGGGGTCGTCGAGAGGAAGCTGGCGGTCGCGGGCCGAGGGCTGGGAGCTGGAAGCTGGAAGCTGGGGAGAGCTATGTTCCCTTTCGAACGACGATCAGGGGGCACTCCAAGGTTGGTTGACTTCCTCGACCACGGGGAGTCTCGTCTCCTGAAGAAAGAGGACGGGATGGGAAATGATGAAGAGAAGCTACCTAATTTCATGTAAGTATATGGGGTAGGGAGGGGCTCGGTTGACACACTCGAGAAGCCGAGGAGAACGAGAAAGAGTACGTGTGAGGAAGAAGGTGTATTAGTCTATTTATTCTGTCCCGGGCGCTCTCAGTGATCACGCAAGGCAGGGCCGTTCCTCGGAAGGTGGGATGGGACATGGGACAACACACGAGGAGGAAGCAGATGCCGGAGTGGAAGGCAACATGAGATATCAGAGGCGAGGTAGCTGGAGCTTAGCCAAATCGGAAGACAGACAGAGGATCGCGATGCAAGCTGCACTTTCCTTCATGCCTGCCTTTCACCTACATACCTGCCTGCTGCCTGCCTGCAGAGCGCCAGGCTCCTCTTCAGCCCACACCACCCGGTGCAAACAGTCCCGTGGATATCTACCTTCCATGTTATTAATGTAATAATGATGGCATCAATACCTGATTCCATACCGCTGACCAGACCGAGTGAGACAAGCAATTCATCCAAGGGCAGCTTGCTGAGTTGCATGTGCTAACCTCGTAATATCAGGTGAAGAGGTCGGGACTGGTAGATGTACCCGCCGCCGCCGGTAACTGGCGGCTATGCCGGCCCCGGGGGGAGCAGGAAATGCGGGGTGTGGTGGCCTGAGCTGTATGCAGCTAATGCTAGTATGCAGTAGGTAGACGCCGGTTCACGGTATTCCAACGGTAACTTTAAAAATAAACCCACATACCGTAAAACTAAACCCTCTTAACCGCATTCAGAAGCCATTTCGACCATTTAATTGGCTACGCACCGCCTACCACATTGCAAGTACTTCAGTTTGCGTGCGTTTCGCACCAAACCAAAGGTACCTATCATGAAATCGCCGGGTAACGACGTGACTTCGCCGGTTAGCGACGTGGTTAGGGTCAGGGTTAGCCGGGGGCTTGGGGGGCGGTGCGAGCCCCTCATCTGTGAATGTGTTCTTTGTGCGCGCGTGGTAGTGATGGTGGTGGTGATGGTGGTAATGGTAATGGGAGGATTAGTGGGTCTGATAGTGGATGCATACACTCTGATTGGCTGATTCAGGGGGTTTAGTATTACGAAACGGGGGGTCTAGTTTTAAAGTTACTGTCCATAGTCTTACCGCCTGCAGAGTCGTGACTCTTGGCCTTCTCCAGTATAAACTTACCTAGCTGACAGGAAGGGGAGCTTCCATGTCTGGGGACACCCCCTATTAAAAGAAATGGATGGATGACAATCAATGTTGAGGAGAAACATCATCAATACAGGCATCTGGAAGAGCTCACTGGGAAACTAAAGTATAATTCCGTCTTGTGATAACTTCAATGCCATATAAGAGTCCCGTAAAAGTCCGAGTCACCGCTCACAGCCGTTTTAAGGCACGTTGAATATACCCATATATTTGTGGTATCGTGATCCACTTTCCCCACAGTCGCGCGGCGGCAACCAGAGCCACTTTTCTGACCTGATCTCCCATGGCATGTTGTCCAAGCCCGTCCCAATTATCTATCATCACGGTGAGTTTCGGCGGCGTGCGGCGGTCAGTCCTTCCTTGCATCTACATACTCGCTACCAGCCTCCTTGTTCTTCTGCTCTCTTCCTCTGGCGCTTACATACCATCAATGACGAAAGGCCCTCCTCTTCCGTAAGTCTAGGATCCAGGACCATGACGACCTGCACATACTCGCATGTCAAGTCAAGGCGGCCAAGATCGAGAGGGTCACTGGTATGAACTTGCATCCACAGATTTGTTGATAGATATATTCTGTTATCCACAGACTTGTCAGCCTGCCGCACCACGATGCGAACATACATTGCTGTTGAGGTCTCACCCCAAAACGTCTAACAGGACCCGAGCAAGACCCAAGCTATCAGCTGCTGTTGCTTTTCAAATCGCTTAAACGACTATGCGCCAGGTTTTCGCTCCATGGCGAGCCCAAGATCGGCTGAAGGACGCCGAGAAGACTTCCGGGCGTCGCGCAACTTCTTTCAGTATGACACCGTCATCGTCCAGACCCCCACATCCAGTGTCGCTGTCCTTTTCGATCCCGTTCTGTATAACCACGCCGTCCCGTTATGCGTATAAGATATTCAAGCTTGTGAAGCAACCGAGCCCCGAACGCCTTGCCAAGAAAGAGTCGCAATAGTCCCGCCCGAACTCCCGCCCGATGCAGAGAGGTCTTGCCTTCAGCCGTGCCTCGTATTAGGGTATGAGATAAGCCCCTGAAGCGCCATGGACAATGGGAACAGCCGAAATCACAAAATGCCAGAATCCTTAAGCGCATTGTTGAGGATCGTCTCCTTTACCGCCGCAAACACCAAACGAATATTCGACGTGTCTGTTGCTTGGGTTAAGCTGCACATACTGGTTAGTATCCAGAAAACTGCCAGGTCTGTTTGGACCAGGGGACGTACTGGGGGTAAAGGTTCAGATGAGCTCTGTTAACCTGATTGAATCTCCACAGCAGGTATTTCGCGGCCTTGTTGACATCGTTGCCGCCAGAGTAGTCGGGGAAGTAGTTCCCTAAAGGTGATCTCGGGAGTTTGACTTTGAATATGTCGACTTTGTTCAAGAACAGAATGATGCTTGTCCTCATGAACCACCTCGAGTTCACCACAGAGTCGAAGAGCAGTAGACTCTCCATCATCCGGTTCTGCCAAAGTCTTAGCCGCAGTTCAGTCCCCATATCATCAAGTAACCTACCTGGCTGCTTTCCTCGAGTAGTACTTGATCGTACTCGCTCAACGCCACACAAAATATGATGGACGTGACGTTCTCGAAGCAATGGATCCATTTCTTTCGTTCACTTCGCTGGCCACCAACATCGAACATGCTGAAAGCATACTGGTCAGTATATGATATCCGGCAGCCCAGTTCTATGTAGCTTACTGAATGCTGAGCGCCCCCATCTGAAATCGAGTCTCATAGATACCCGTGGTTTTCGTCCGCGCGCGGAGAACATCCATTTCGTTCGGCAGGTAATCCGGAGCGCAAAGCCGCGGCACTTCATCGAAGAAGCTGTAAGGACGGTAAATAGTGTGACCGACCTGATGACAGAGGGGAGTACATACTACCCAGCGGAGTCCATCAAGTAGAACTCGGTGGAGTGCTGCATCAGCCGCTCTATGCAAGGGTCGTTCCATAATGCCTGAACCGCAGCGCCAACTTTGGGTTCGATATACGCCGCCGGACCTGCTTCAACTGTGTAATCAAGCAGGTAGGCACACTGCTCTTTTGTCTCTTTGCTACTCGGCTCGATATTGAATTGGTCCATTGCGACAATGACTGCCTTGGCGCACTCAATCAAGTTCTTGAAGACTGTCGCCCTGTAATTGTACAACTCGTCCTCCGAGTAACCTTTGAGATGAATAATCTTCATCTGCTTGACGATAGTTGACTTCCCACTTTCGCCGGAACCTATGGACCGATTATCAGCATTGTGGTCTGTAGCGTACCAAAAGACGGGCCGGCCGAATCTCACCAAGCAATAGTATCTTGCATTCTCGGCGCAGTCTCTTGGAGTCCTCGTCTAGTGCTCGGTCGATTGCTTGACTTCGTTTCTTTTGCTCCTCCTCCTCCTTGTTCGAACTCATACAAGCCCCCATGGCGAATAGAGGTTACGGGTCTGATGCGACCCGCAAGCAAGATGGACAGTCGACGGCGGAGTACGTTCGTATACGATGGTGGTAGAGGCTTGCGCAGGTGTTTCGGACCGACGGCTATAGGCACATGGCTTGAGTTGTGCCTCGATGTTCGTCGGTTATGTTCCCGAAGCTGGTGTGGAAACCTTTGGTGCTGGGTTCGGCAGAATCGGGGTGGCTAGCTTCAAGCTCGGTTTCGAAGGACGTGTAAGAAGCCAGCTTCGCGATCGCTTTGTTCGTGGTAGGCGGCTCGACTGCAGTCGATCATCTGCTTGACAGCTGGAGGTAAAGCTTCCTTCCTGGTGGGTGTCTCTGAGAGAACAGACTGTTCAGTTGCGGCCAAGGAGGATGACGAATGACGAAATGGACAAGAGGGCAAGCAGGCAAGCGGAGAGGGAAGGATGCGCAGTGGGTTGCGAAGGCGAACTAGTCCGCTAGTGACCAGAGGTGTCAAGGTGAGGCGAGGTGGGCGAGGTAGGTTGAACGCAACGACGGTCGATGCTACTAACAGCTGGAGGACAATAGACCACATTAGACCACAGCCGGTCGGGCTGGGGCAGCTGCGAGTCTGCAACGGTGCGCGAATCGAAACCCAATTTAGAGGCACGGGGCATGTAGGGGCATGCATGGACATGTGTAGGTATTGATGGATGCGGTGAGGACGGTGAGCCTGGTCTCTGGTCTAGGTAGAAGTTGTCACTTGACGATTGTGTGACGACGAGTGATTGAGCGGGCGCACAATGTCGTGTTCTGGACAACGGGAGAACGGCACAACGGGACAGCGAGTTCAAGAGGATTGATGGGCTGTGATAGACGGATTTGCGCAAGGTGACAGAGCAAATGCAGCCGGGGGTGGGGGTTGCCTCATGGGCGTGGGATCATGTGGAAATAGTAGCCACTGATAGAGCCCACTGAACAGAAGGACAATGATAGAGACAACACCGGCATGAAGTATGGGTGGATGGATGCGCGCATGGGTGGCAGGCGGCGTTGAAGACAAGACTGACAGGTATGTATTTCAGCACCTACCATTCATGACAATTGAGGCACAGAGAGACCTCTCCTTAGGTTTGATATTGGTTCGGCTTGTGAGTTGTGACGCAGTTGAATTGGAGAATGACCTCGACGAAGATGGGTGTCAGTACGGGCGGATTGAGCAATGAACGTTGAATGAATCCATTCAAGGCTCCAACCTCAAGCTTGGAGTCATCCATTCGCAATGGAACTCGAGCAGAGTATCTCATTGGCTGTAGCTCGCCGGCAGAGCTGGAGACCCTGTAGCCACTTGTAGCCCGTGGGAGCCCTGTAGGCTGTAAGCTAGGTTCTAAGGTACCAGCACACCTTCAATTGGAAACCCAGGTGGAAGGGGCGGGTGGATGTACCGGTACTTGTGCTTCGATGCAGCTGGTCGAAGTTGAAGAGCCAAGAGCCAAGCCTTCGAAGTCTGGCTCGTCTGGTCCATGCCGATGGGACCCACCTCGTGTCGGCCTTTACCGCAGATAACAGATAACAGCTTACCGGTAATAAAAGACTGGAGTTGAGGATGCCCCGACATCCCGACCACTCACCCACCAGGACTGTATCAATTGGTACGGGTTCAAATCTTGATAGCAACACATCAAATTATACTGCCCATCAAAGCACACCATGCACCCCCGGTACCGATTTTTCTTCGTGTCGTTCTGTCAGAGAGTCAGCAGTGAGTGCTTGGCATGTGGTGAGTATGGCGTTTGGCATGTGGCATATGGCATGTGGCATACAGCCTACAGGACCTTGCCCATCCTGTGTCTTACCTACTGCACTGTTTTCTGCATCAAAAAGGGACGGCTTCCCCAACTCGAGCAAAAGAGGCAGCTGTGCATAACCTCACAGAGCCACGAGCAACTACCATTGGATGCTGTCCACGTGCAGCAGCGGCTGGAACTCCTCATTCAACACAACTATGCAGATGCAGATGCAACCTTGTACCTACCTGTCTGTCTCAACTCCTATTAACCACACCCACCATGCAGGCCTGAGCAACTGCATACGGAAATATGCCCTGGATTCCTTGTACGGTAGGTCTGACATCTTCCAGCTTCAAACGATGGATGCCTTGGATGTCCCATACGACTCACGAAATACGGGGTCAAGGTGAGTCTTTGTCTATTTCAGGCCATGTCGCCGCTTTTATTAGGCTTCAAATCTCACCTGGAACTGTTTGCAGAGATGTGACCGGGCAGACCGGCAGGTCCTTTCCTGCGCTAGAAATCCACCTCTCAACTGTTCCATTGCGACATCATTGGGCATTACTTTGTTACTGTTCTGGTCTAATAATAACCTCGCACTTATAAAGTTACCAGGAATCCTCATCAATCGGTACACTCCATCCATCAATCCATCCGTCCATCCGCCTCTTCTAATAAAAAACAGGCACATGCGGCATGCCCGTGATCTTGGGAAGGGCGTTAACCCAGCTCAACTATACCGCGCCTAAACCCGGGCTGCCGGGTATCTTCGAACTGTTCACCCCCTGCGCTGAGATATTGCGGATCTAGCCATCAGTGCGCCCACGTGTCGAGATATACGATCCTTGCAAGTATCGGTACCGCCCTATCTGTCATCTGATCCGTGATCACTCGCGTGGCTGTAGGTTCCGATTCCGAGATCCGCAATCTTCATTGTCCATTGTTCGTCCCTCATCTCAGTTCAACTGAACTTGGTTCTTTGCCCAGAACGGTACACAAAGCTATCACATCTTCATGTCCGTAGAACAGAGTGCGAATCAGGATTCAGGGGTCTACTCAGTGAGTCAGTCAGTGCTCACCTGGTCCGTTTGGCTTGTAACCCCTGCAATCCCAACAATCCTTCTGGTAATCCCTCATCCCACGAGGCCATCTGCCGCCATCGCTGCATGTCAGCATTGTTAAAACCTTGGCTGACGTGGACTGGACTCTTATTAGGTAATATGGCTTCTTCAGGTTCTTCTGTGCAAACCCCCTCCATCCTGTCACGAGCCGTGATGCTTTTCCCGAGCAAACCTTCTGGCGCGGGAAATCGGCTTCAAGATGCAACACTATGCCATGCATACATACCCCGAGATAGGTTGGTCGGTCGAGAGCAACTATCGCCGAGCTTCCTCTTCCGTCACGCCGGCTACCATCGCATTGGTATCCCACCACAGGAGAGGCTTGCCGGCTTGCGAGAAATGACATGGCACCACTCACTGAAAAGGAGCATGGACCCGGAGGCGTCACGAACAAGCCCCCCCACGAGTTGGAGCTTCGGTGCAGGTTTCTGGAAGATTTCCAATGCGCCTGCATGTGTCATCGGGTTTTGGCTTTATCCTCCTTCCAAGTGCGGTAATAGTCTGGAAGAATTCCAGATCGGACCCTCTGCAGCTGCCAGTCCTCTTCATTTCCTACACGTGGCCTCCATGTCTCATACTTCTTCTCTTATTACTTAATCATTCGTCTCTTGTCCCTTTCATTCTCCCTTTCGCCCTGGCTGACATCCAAACGTCATCAGATTTTCCTAGGACAGCGGACGGCTTGGATGATGGTATGTTCTATCCCTTTGACTGCTCGTGCGCACCAGTTTGTAGAGTACCTTACGGTAAAGATGCCCCTAGCTACACCAGATGGGCCTTTTCCAGTGATCTACACCAATCACGAGTGGTATAATGTCACAATACGGGGCTTGATTGGTTGGTTTGGTGGCCTCAACAGATCTCATGAGGCCTAGCAAAACCTGAAAGTACTGTACTTGAAATTTGGTGAGGTAGTGCGCACGAGCAGTCAAGGGAATATATCCCCAAGTTCTGGCATGCTCACAACTACGTAGATAAAACCAGAATATATCAATACACCCAACGCGCAAACGCCAGGACGATGAAAGACAGAGATTGAAGTTGACGTCTGTCATGTATGGATGTAGTCGAGGCGACTGCTGGAGGCTACACGTGACATGGTGATATGGGGGAGTTCGTAGCCACGGCAGCCCGCCGCACCGCTGAATAGGGGCAAGCTAATCAACCAAACAACGATATCAAAGTAAACTAAAAGACCAAGGACCAGGGGCCCTCCCTAACCGGAACATGTCTCGGAACGCTCATATAGTCAGACCGTTACGACCTCAGTACCAGACCATCAGCAAGATCGAGGTAGCCCAGCCGCATCAAGCAGGTTCTCCAGTGCCCGCAACAGCTTCTCGTCCTCATACCTGCGAATATCAGTCAGCTCAGCTCACCACCACCACCACCACACGCCCATCCATCCAGAACCCGGAACCCAGAACCCGGAACTCAGAACCTAGAAAAATAGAAAACAGAGGGACGACCTACCTCCTCCCAACAAGCTGCAGCGAAACCGGCGCATCCCTGTAGCCCGCAGCGCCATGCTCCTTCCACAAGGCCCAATTATACGCATCCGCCTCGCTCAGGGGCGTGTAGTCCTCAGGATACGCATGTGATTGTGCCCCCTCAGCCTGCTGTCCATCACCATCCTTCTCAACACTAATAGCGTCGCCGCCGACGGGAAATACAACCGCCGGGTAGTCGAGCAGGTTCCACTGCGACGTGTAGCCCCAGTACCGGGCGGTCTCGAGCTTGGGCGCGACGCCGGGTCCGGCCGGACACAGTATCACGTCGACCTCGGATGTGTTGTTGTCGTCTGCTGTAGTGGCGTTGGCGTTCCACAGCTCGGCGTACTTGGCTTTATACGCGTCGCGCTCCTGGATGGCCTTCCAGAGGCTCGGGATGGTGTGCGCGCGGACGTGCGGGTTGTCCCTGATGATCCATTTGGACAGGGGGCGCCAGGGCTCGCCTGAGGCGTCGATGGCGGCGGCTTCCTCGGCGCCGCCGTCGCAGAAGTATAGTTTGGCCTGCCGGGATCAATCAATCACTACGGTCGTGGTCTTGGGCTATTGGACAGCGTCGTTGGGATGGATGTCGAGAATGGGCAAAGGTGCAGCAGCGGGTTGAGGAAGGGGAAAGGCGGAGGGGAGGGAAGACTCACGATAATCTCCCACGCAAGATCGTGCCTCCAAGGCTTCCACTCCACGACCTCGACCGCCTCGCTCGCCCTCAGCTTCTCCACCACGTCCGCCAGGGCCCTCACGACGGGCGGATGGGGCCTGACGACGCCATCATCCCAAACAACAGCCACCCGCAGCTTCCTCCCCCGAGACTCCGGTTCCCCATCCACGTCCCTCCACCCGAGCGGAACCAACGTCGGGTCCCGCAGCCACGGCTTCCTGTCCAGAATGGCCTTCGTAAAGAGCCGCAGGCCCTCGACGCTGGTTGACAGGGGCCCCGGGGTGGGGCGGATGTGCTCGGCGCCCGCCATGGTGACGGCCAGGCCCTCGACCGGCAGACGCAGCGACGTGGGCTTGAAGCCGAACACGCCGTTATTGGCGGCGGGCGACCGGATGGACCCGCCTATGTCGGTGCCGATGCCGAGGACGGAGCCCCGGAGGCCCAGGAGCGCGCCCTCGCCGCCGGAAGAGCCGCCGGAGGTCAGGGTCGAGTTGTAGGGGTTAATTGTGGTGCTGGCACATTTGTATCAGTTCCCTCCAAGTCCGCATAATTCTGTGCTGTGATATAGACCAATGCGCTTGCGTGCAGATGTAGATACTCACCCATACAGGTTGTTGCTCGTCTCAAGGTGCATCAGCGTCTGCGGCTGCGTGGTCCGGACGTAGAACACAGCACCGGCCTCCCACAGACATCGCAAGATGAGCGCGTCTTCGTCAGCGACATTCCCGACCCAGCCCACAAACCCGGCATTCAGGTCCAACCCTTTCATACCGACGTGCTCCTTGACGCTGATAGGGACCCCGTGCAGAGGGCCCATCGGCTTCTTGTGTGTGGCAAGGTACGCGTTGAGTTCGGCTGCTCTCTTGAGCGCGCGCTCTGGCAATATCTCCGTAACGCAGTTGACCAGTTTCTGCGCCATGGCGGCCCGGCGCAGGAAGGCATTGACGACGGTGGTGGAGCTCCATTCGCCCGAGGCGATCTTGGCCGCGAGGTCTTCGACTGCGGTCCCGGTGATGCCGAGCTCTTCTTCCGTGAGCAGAGACCCGGGTATGCTCGTCGTGTTCAGCGGTATGTCGTCCGTGAGCAGCTTGGGCAGCGGTGGGCACAGCTGGTCTAACGTGGCGTCTCGGTGTCGTTGACGGTCTGCGGCTACCTCCTGCCAGGTCGCGCCGCTCGCAGTCGTCACTGAAGCGGGAGCCATCGTGCAGGTTAGGTAGTGGGCAGGAATCTGAACTTCGGAAAGCTGCGATTTGCACACGAAGGCTCGATTCCTAATTCCAAGTTGCGAAGGGCTGAAGGCAACGGAAGAGGTTGTATGTTGTCTTATCAGTCGTCCACACGCGGGGCACGATACGTGATACATGCAGGTGCTCAGCGTTGTGACCGTGTTCTGCAACTGCCGATAAGAGGGGGTTTGGAATGGTAGTTCCTTACCTAGTTCCTTCTGCACTACGCCACGAGATCGACATTCAAGCAACCGATGATTGAAAAGCATACTCTGAAGAGGGTGATTTGGGGTAATACTACCTCCTCCTATAATAGCATGAGATCAGTGACGGGGGCGTATGCAGGCGGCTAAGTCGGGAGAGGAGGGGGGCACACATTAATGATGAGAGAGCCGTTGCATGTATCTGCTGGTGGTGATGAACGAGGCCTGTGGCAAGCAAGTCGTGATGATGTTATATTGAAGGCTGACGAAATGTTAACTCGTCGCTTTTCCCGCAGCCTTGTATCTCGCTGTGCGGCTAGTCACCTGCCCATGTCAACATCTCCCTTCTACCTGATAACATACAGCTCTGGAAACAACCGTGGTGATTCTCGCTATGTGTGTACTCAAGACGCAATGAATACCTCCATCCATAGAATATGACTTTCTCGTGTTCGGGCAACCATCCATCATCACGCCTTCCACTCTGGGTCCGCGTCCATGTCTGCTCGACAAGCCTCCATGTTCTCGCGGGTGATGTAAGCAAGAACCTTCTTCTTTCTGAGTCGCTGGGTCGCGAACCCGCCCCAACCTCCCTGCAAAGCGTGCATGGCTTTGGGCTGGACCAACTTCTCGCAGAAGTACGCGTAGAGACGGACCTCGTCAGCAGTGATGTCTAGCCATCCCGCCGAAGTACCAGCACATTCCCGATGGCATGCTGCCGTTTCGTTTGCGGTACACGACCCCAGTCATGCTTTCTGGCACCATCCATCTCCATCAACATGGATGCCGCCGTCCCATTGTTGTTCGGCGCGCCCACAGGTTCCTGGCCAAGAGTAACGAATTCCCAATTGACCACATGATCCCACATCTCTGGCTTGGGATATCTGGCCAGCTTGAGGGGCATGCCAAGTATCAACGAGATAGGCGAGTCAACGAACAGGAGTGGGCCGGACGGAGCGCCTTCCCAGACTGACTTTGAGACGGCCATCGAAACCACTCTGTTTGTCCCTTCTTTCATCTGACCAAGGCAGCTGATCTGGCACTCCACCACCTCTCCCGCCTTCTTCTGCGGGCTATCGCCAAAACCTAAAGGTCGGGCGAAGCCTATGGACTGACGACCGTGATAGCAGAAAAAGTCCAGGACGTGTCGGTAATCTGCGAGATCCACATGGCGCCACTCCCCCTCGTCACTGCGAAGGGGATTGGGGCGCTCATCCCAACCCATGGTGAGGCAGGGGCCTGGCCATGCAGAGAATAGAAAACCCGTGTTGTCAACGGCCCTGACGACGCTCAAGTTCGTATCAGAACCGAAGTTCGTACCAGAACCGCCTTGAGCTGTGTACAACAGAGCCACTAGGGAGGGAAGAGTGACCTGTCGTCTCTTGTTGTCCCTTATTGTGATTTTGTCGGGGAAGGTTTTGCCAGGTCCGAAGCTTTGCGAGGGATCGAACCAAATGAATTTAGGATTGGGGGAGTCCTTAGGGAAGAAGATAGCGCGGAAATGTTGGTTCTTCGAAGGTCGATCGCACAGGGCCCGGGACTGGCCACAGAGTAGCTCGTGGGATGCCTCGTCCTGGCGTTTACACTCCGTGGAGCAGTAGCAATAGCTCCCACACTTTGTGCAAGCCTCGGCCTCCCTGGTCGCGCAGATCACGCAAGTTTTCCGCGCCATGACTTTCCCTCTGCAGACGTCAGTGGGTAAAGACGGTGTAGATCGATACTGAGAGGTAAGCTTGGGAGTTGGAGGTTACGAGAGGTAAAATGTACAGGTTGAGAGTAGAACAGTTGACCTGGTTGTGTGCTTGCTGGGTGGTTTCGCAATCGTCTATGTTGCTTTTCGAGATAGATAAGAAGCAATGAGGCATATGGTGGAAGTGTGTTGGATGAAGTTGGTGAAGAAAGACAAACTCGAATCGGTTCAGAGAGCTCACAACATGTTCTGGGTAAGATCGTAGATGAGAACCGGTTGCAAGGCAAGGGCATACGACGTCACAAGTGTCTGAGCCGTCTCCCATCTCGACTTCCTGTCGGCTTCACAGTGGAAGCAGGAACCACCACGCGTTGGAAGGCACCGAACCGTGCTGTCTGATTCACGGAATGTACTATCTTCTGGAATTGATCACTTGCCGGTTTCCTGCGCACAGGTAGTGTGCCCTGTTCTGAGAGGACGCACTTGACTGGATGCGTAGTTCAACGGGCTCGTCCAAGTAGTTGGCATTCTTGAGGCGACTTGGAAGACTGTTGCGACTGGGTGTCATGATTCCATTGCTAGCGGCCAGACCAGAACTATTGACTCGGGTTGTTTTGGTTGAAGTTCATGCTATAACCGCCCGTCTTCTCATCTTTGACCATATTGAAATTCTGGGTACTGAGGCCGAAGGGTTTCAATATCCCGTTACCAAGCTGAAAAATCACTGTTAGCGGAAGTTCCACTGTTTGCTGACCATGAGGGAACAAGAGAAGGAATCCCGTCATATAGGGGTCGGGGCTTGAGAACCTACATCCTTCAACTTCCCCCACATCTCTGACATCTCCGTCTCCTGGGCTGCTTTCACCCTCGGCGGCAGAGCCCTCAGCTGTGCCCGGACCAACCTCTCGTCCGGGCCGCTCAAATTATCCGTGGCAGAAAGGATCTTGTAGTCCTCCTCGGCCCCAGAGAGGTTCGACCAGCCTCCGAGCTCACTTCTTGCTCTGGCGCGGCGCATCAGGGCTTTCGCCCGTATTCTGCGTATGTCGTCCTGGCGCTTCCGTCTGGCGGTCTCGGCAGCGGTCTCTTCCTTCACAGCAGGTGCGCTGTTTTGTGCTCCTGAGCTGATGATCTCTTCCTCGGCCTCATCCTCACCCTCTTCAGCGGCGTCTGGCCCCTTAACCTTCTCGTTCCCGGTCTCCTGTTCCTTGGACTCTGCTTTCTCCAGCCGACTCAATCCATCGAGAGATTCGGTGGCGGTCTTGATGGCCTCCTTGTACTGTTCCAGCTTGAGGTGGCACGCAGCGATGTTGGACTTCAGAACGGCGAGCTCGTAGTCGAGGTAATGCGGACATATTGAGCTAGCCTCTTCATATTTGTTGATGGCATTTTCGTATTTGGCTGACGAGAACAGGGCATTTGCTTCGGATTTCTTTTCGTTTGACTCGCCCAGAAGGCTCTGTGCGTACATATACGAGGTCAGCTGGTGCGTCGGTCGCTGTCGAGATGCAGTAGGTGGATTTGTTTACATGCCGCTTCTTCCTCGGGTGGAAATCTCTCGGGCGCTATCGACTCTTCCGGATCCTCGACGGGCTCGCTCGAGTTCGTGGGATCAGAAGCGCATTTGCCCTTTTCTTGGGGCTTTGATGATTCGGGCATGGTGTTGCTGAAGGTTCGCCAACTATCTAGGTCAAGTTGTAATCTGATGGCTGGCTGCTTGATTGGTAACGAGGACAGAGGTTTGGGAGATCGAATCTCCAAAAACCCCAAACGCCGTTCGACCGTCTTAAGGCTCTAGCCAGTGCTACCCTGGAATATAAATGCGGGGTACTGGGCTTACCCCTGGATCTACCCCTCCAAGACCCCTCCGGAGTCCTAAAGACCCCTCCCTAAATTTAGTTCACGAAGGTAGCCCGTTGATCACAGGACTTTCGTACACGGCACGGCAGGGTAAACGTGGAGGACGACTGGATCACGGGTCTATCACTCACGATGGCACCTCGGACAGAGCAAGTCCATCTCCCAAGCTCGGAAAGACCAGCAGACCACGACTCAGACTGACAGCCAGTCCCCTCCTCCAGCTTCCCACCCGTCCGGGCATGCCTCTTCGACATGGACGGCCTCCTCCTCGACACCGAAGACATCTACACCGCCTGCGCCAACACGGTGCTCGCCAAGTACGGCCGGCCCAGCCTGCCGTGGTCCATCAAAGCGAAGCTCCAGGGCCGTCCCGCGCCCGCCGCCGAGGTCATCTTCCACGAGTGGGCGCAGCTGCCTATCTCTGACGCCGACTACCTCGCCCAGTTCTCCGCTCTGAAGGTGCAGCACTTCCCGCAGGCGAAGCCGCTGCCCGGTGTCGAGAGGTTGCTGGGCGATCTGGGCAGGACGCGCTGGTGGGAGAAGGCGGCTGGTGGTAAGGACGACGAGAAAGGGGGTCATAGAGTACATCTCGCGCTCGCGACAAGCAGCAACTCCCAGATGTTCGCCGTCAAGACGGCCGCCTGGGAAGAGCTCCTCTCCGTCTTCCCCCCGCACCGGCGCGTGCTAGGCGACGACGCGCGAGTAGCGCCTGGCCGCGGGAAGCCCCTGCCCGACATCTACCTCGTGGCGCTCAACAGCATCAACGACAGCCTACCGCCAGGCGAGCCGCTCATCGCGCCCGAGGAGTGTCTGGTGTTCGAGGACAGCGTGCCGGGCGTTGAGGCCGGACGGCGGGCGGGGATGCGGGTCGCCTGGTGTCCGCACCCGATGCTCAAGAAGGAGTATGAGGGCCGTGACAAGGATATTTTGGCTGGGCGCATGGGCGAGGCGGGCGAGGAGGTCGATGTGCATCAGCTTGGGAACCATGATGACGGGTGGGCGGATTACTATCTCGATTTGACGGATTTTCCGTATGATAAGTATGGAATGGTGATCCCACCCGCTGAGGTGGAGCTGGATCCGTCTATGAAGGAGGATGTGAGTGCAGAGGTTATAGCGCAGGGCGCATAATCATCATGCCGCCTTAAGGTAGGTATTATGTTCTGGAGACTCATTCAGGGGTGAGCCTCCTACAGAGATAGATACCATCCCCCCCCACATCTCGTACACCCCCACATCTCGTACAGCAAAACCCCACCACCACCACCAAAACACCCCCTTATTCACCCACATGTAAAAGAAGTCATTCAGGTCAGAGAAATCCAGCAAAATTATCATTCGAGAGCGATGAAGCTGATCATTTGTAATATCTAGTGGGCGCCCGAATGAATCGGCCCGAACGGGTCTGCCTAGGTTCCTGTATGGCCTCCGAAGCGGCCTCTTTAGCCGAGTCTTCGTCTTCTGCTTCTTCTTCCTTGTCATCATCAACCACAACTTCTGGTACATCCGCGGAGGTACAAGGGGTGATGGTACCACCCGTACTTAGTACCTCCATAACTGTTCTAAACTTCTTGTTAGGATTAGTGATCTTCTGCCGCTTTTTTGGCCGTAACCGCTCCAGTTCAGCCTTTAGGGCCTTGATCTTCCTGTCCTTGATAACAAGGTCGGTTTCCTTAGCCTCGAACGCAGTGGCTATCTTCCTGTATTTTAGCCGGGTGCCAGGGGACTTATTTTTGCCGAAATTCATGATCTGGCGGCTCATATTAGGGGTCTGTTGGTCCTCTGGTTCAGAGCTTCCAGGGGTCTCAGGCTCAGGGGTCTTCTGCTTCTCTTCCGGATTTCTGGGTGCGCTAAGCACTTCCTATGGCTGATAAAATAACATCCAGTCATTCTGAAACCAGAGAGGATATTTGCCTTAGTAAAAGCAGCAGTTCTGGCCTGGCTATAGCACCAAATAAAGTTGATCTTGTCAACAGGTGAGGCATCCGTCAGAGAATTTAGCTGAGAAAGGAATTTCTGGTAGTGAGCCTTCAGGACGTTATAGGGCCCGTTATCTAGGGGTTGCATGCCGTGACTAGTATGCGCAGGGAAGAAACAGAGCAATATGTTGGCAAAATAACAGATGGTTAGGAATTCGTCCACACAATACTTGTTAGCCCTTATTAATTAAGAAAGAAATAAAGGAAATCTATATAAAATAAGAAAAATTATATATGTACGGAGGTATGGCTACCATGGCCATCTAGTATTAAAAAATAGGCTCAGCCTGATCTTTTCATTACTCTTGTCTACTTGCGGGATGAAGACATCTTCTAGCCACTGACAGGCTATGTTATTCGAAGTCCAGCCGTTTTTTGAGCATATATAATGCCAATCAGCGGTCTTTCGAAACTCTTTGATGAACCACTAGGCCTGGAGGTCCTTCCCCTTGAAGATAATACCTGGTTTGAGGATTTTTCTAGTTGTAAAGATGGCTTTGATAAAGGAGGTCTAGCTACAACTTTGAGGGCTTTTTAAGAAGGCCTTCTTAGTAACAGAACTACCTAAAACCAAAAAATTGATGCCTATAAAGTTAATTGGAATTTCTACAGATTTAAAGGGTTAGTTATAGTTACCAAAACCCGCCATGATGCCGTCCTTATCGATATTATACGTGTTTTCTGGCTTGACCCAGCCGTAATCCTCTAGGATTTCAAAGAACTAGTTAACTGCCTTTAGCATGAAGCCCTTAAAGCGTGCTGATTCCATCCTTTTGCCAACTTTGGTCTTTATTTGGGGGTTGCAGCGCTTGAAGCCGGTTATAAAGTGGTTTCCAAGGGGGCCTGAATCTCCGTTCTTTTTCAACACCTTTACGATGATCTCACGCACCAGGGAGTACAAAAGGGCTAGTCCTAGCTTCTCCTGACACAAAATCCAGTTAATTATAGTGCTTTCTTGAGCAGGGTAGAGTCTCTATTGATGTATATGACCTTCGCCTTTTGAGGGCTTGTCATTAGTCGGTCAGAGAGCATTGTAACAGGGTCGCCGTGTTTTTGAGCGCTTTTTTGCAGCGAGAGGCCTTCATCCGTGATATCTAAGATGGCATTCGCCATCTGATCCTCCATATACGGTTTGGGAGGCATTCTAGGCGGCTATACGATGCTGCGGTGCGTACAAAACAAGGCATCAGACGAGGCTCCAGCACCTAAAAATCTCTATTCGGGATAGGAAACGCGGGGTAATAGACAGCCAATCACGTAGGCCGCACGGGATAAATTCTACATTAGATTAAACCTTAAGATCAGGGCTACCTAGAGCACTAAATACATTCTGAATAGCTTCAATATCGGGCTGAAAGCGTATAAGTGAACATATAGGGTTTAGGTGGTGGTGGTGGGGTTTTGCTGTACGAGATGTGGGGGTGTCCGAGATGTAGGGGGGGTGGTAACCTAACCAAGATACCCAGAGGCTCATGGTAGATAGGGATCGTAGACTTGGACTAATATACATCCCAGAGACTGATCTTGCCATCTTTACTTCCCGCCGCTAGCCAATGCGCTTCCTTGGCCAGCTTGATGCGCCTGTCCTTGACGCTGAGGTCGCCCAGCTTATTAGACATGGCTGTCATCGCCGTCTCCTTGCCCTTCGACGCAGTAGTAGTAGCAACAGCAGCTGAGCCCTCCTCACTCTCCCCCCGTCCTTCGGCATTCTGATATTCCTCCGCCTTTCCGCACGCCGTCGTGTTGTTCGCATCCTCCAGCGCAGCAAACGCGACGGCGTAGCACCCGACATCATGCCACTTCAGCACCGCCAGCTCGGCCATGGTCTTGGCCGAGTAGACGCGCACCTTGGAGTCCCAGCCCGCCGTCGCGAAGATCTTGCCGTCGGACCGGATCCGCAGGTCCTGCTGCCCGGCGTGCTTGGTGTTGACCGTCTTGAGCGGCTGCGTCTCGACCGGTAGGACGGTTTTCTTGGGTGGTCTGGTTCCGGATGCGGATGCCGATACATAAGATTCGGATGTAGGTGTAGACGAAGAACCAAAGCCCGCAGACAGGAGTGAGGGATCAGCGCCGCTCTCCTGTCCCATCCCTGCCGTCTTCTCTGTAGTCCTGGTTTCCGTCGTCGTGACGGACACTTCGGGCGCGCCAGCGTTGGGAATGGGATGCTTCGCGATCACGGCGTCGGCGCTAGACGTCAGGAAGTACTCCCTACCCGGCGCCACGTCGAGCGAGATAACCGGCTGGCTGTGCGCCTGCGTCTTGTAGACGACGTCCCACGAGCCGCCGCACCGCCGCTGCGCCACTATCGCGAGCCCGTTCTCGTAGCCGGCGACCAGGACCAGCGATCCGTGGTGGTGCCAGAACAGACGCAGCGCCATGACCATGCCTTTCTGCTCCGCTTTGCTGCCGAGGTGCACGGTGTGCTGCCGTTTCTGGCTCGGGAGCTGGTAGATGTCGACCTAGGTAGGCTTGACGTCAGTATTGTACCTACTAAGGAGACTACCTAGCTGAGAGTATGATGATGTGGTCGCTAGTAAGTAGATGGATGGACTCACTGCTTCTGATGCCAACGTGTTGGGCACGGCGACTAGCAGCTCCTCTTCAGACGCGACATCGGACCGCGCGGCGCATGATGCAAAGGAACAGAAGTTCATGGTGTTGATCTCGAGAATATGCACGACCCACGGCTGCGGACGCTCAGGCGCAGCCTCGTCAAGCGGCAGCGCGATGCTGAGCGCGGCCTCGTCCTCGGCGGTGATCTTCCACACTATGAGGCGGTTGTCTCGGCCTTCTCTGGGGAGGGCAGTGATATCTCAGCATTTGTCCTGCTTGTCTAGCGAAGGCATACCGTAGTTCTTGCAAACACGATATACATGTGACAGTGGGACCAGTGACACGAGATGGGGGATGAGGTGGGGGAGAGACTCGACCTACGTGATGAGCTTGTCGTCACCCCAGTCGGATATACCCAGTATGGCATTCGTGTGAGCGCGCCAGACGGCGCGCGGACGCATGATGGTCAGGTCCCAGAGCACGACAAAGCCGTCTGCGTCGCCCGATGCGAGGCGCTGGTTACGCCTGACGAAGGCCGTTGTGTGCACCTGGGCGCGATGGCCCCGAAGGACCGACTTTGGTTGCGCGGTCGGCTGTTGAGACATGTTGTGCTGCGCTGCTTGTGGGTGGGAGAGATGTCCCCTCATCTATGTCCACCCATGGGGTTGTGCCTTTTCGATGGTTGCTCGGTCCTACTTACAGGCCACGGCACTGTCGTTCGTGTACGGTTGCATGCGACACTCTAGAAGGATGAAGTCGTTGAAAGTCGTCTAAAGTTGCCTTCCTCAACTGTTGATCGATGTTGGTGTTCTCGGTGTTCCATTAATGGTGGGGGACCTTTTAACCTTAGCGAGTCGAGGGCAAATCGGAGTATTTGCTGTTGCTGGCCTTATGCATGGGAACATTATTCTCTGTCACATCTCAACGCCAGCTCGTGTCGTGGTGCATTCGCTTCCTTCTGCTGGGTAAATCATAAGGCATCTGGTAGTCCAGTCTGGGAGGCAAACAATTTCATACTCAGATTGACACCTGGCTTGACTCTTCAGTTGAGACGTACCTTACGCACAATTCATAGGCAGGTTATGTACTAGAGGACCCTCGAGAGCATCGACCATCGTATCGCCGTTTTGGAGGCTAGCAACGACATCCTCCGTGACACCTCCCCGACGCCTTCGCAAGGACCAGTGAATTATGCCTTCAATGCCGGCTACTAGACATGGCTTACACCCAGTTAAAACTCCGCCCAACCATTTTTCTCATGGAGATCAGGGCGGAACACATGACAGATAAATGAATACCGCCCGGGTCAAACTCGTCAGGAAGACATCGCCATCCAAAAGATGGCTTCTCGTGCACTGGACTGCGAATCTGCACCACATACCGCCGAGGGCTCAGGAGAACATGAAGAGGTAGTAATTTCGGGTTTGCTTACTGACTGCATTGACCCCGTTGCCTCGAGGGCAAAACTCTCAGGGGGTTGGAAACTGCATCATAACGGCGTGCTTGGAATATGCCTTGTTCTACCGAATCGTCTGTTGTGACTTGTCGTCGCTCGCGCGGTTCCGTTGGCCTAGTCTACGAGGTCGTAGACGAAACCTTGGACAGGTTGCCGGTGTTGTCAATAGCGATTGTCGTCGAGTCGCTTCCACTATGGCTCCTCAGTCTGGACTGTCGTGACCTCACGGCCACATATACGACGTCCGGAAGAACTGCTCTCCAGTTCTGGAGTAAGGACGGCACTCCAGTCGGTTTCTTCACCAGCAACCATGACGGCTGCCTGCCTCGATAGCATGATGCAAGGTTATCGATTACCCCTCGCCTGATAACGAGTGAATCCTTGTCGCTCGTGAACTCAGCGGTGGCATGGTGGCACCATATGCAAGATTCAGGCAGGTTGCCGCAGTCCGGTTCTCTGGCCAGGTGACACGCTTCATGGTCTAGGTAGATAACCGACGAAAGGTCGGGTGACTGAAGTGTTGCATCGCGGCCATGGGGTCGACAAAAGTCCCGATACCAACACTGAACAGTCATGAGCTTTTGCCAACACCGTCTATCTCCAAGGACATGGCTCCGGCGCTACATAGGCAGCCCCTACTATCGTGAGACCATCGTGGTCTATGAGCCGAGTGGTCGAGGTGACGCAACTCAAAATCAGCAAGTATTGGTGTAACAAGATAAGTCGTGGTGCAGAAGAAGGATGCTGTCGACTTGTCGTGTCAGGCGGACGGGAGCAAACATTGACACGGGCTGAACGGGTGCGGACCAGATCTCGAGGCTCGGAGAAAAAGACGGACGATCTACAAGATGCATCAGGTAGCCGTGGTCACCGTGGCCGGGTCCCCCACAAGGAAGACACAAGAGGAGCACCAATTGGAATCAGAGGTGAAATAATCGGCGCCTCTTTCGGAAGTGTTGCGGGCAAGCTCATCTTGGTGGCTTGAGATATGCAGATTGCCAGATTGCTTGCCCTGGGAATCGGGTCAAGAATCGGGTCAATCTATCGACTGCACCTTGTCGTTCCATCCATGCCCTGTCGAGGCTGTCTGTCGTGGACGGAGGCTTGGCCGCTCGGCTCGCCACGAAGCCGGCTCATGCATGACTCTTTCCCCAGAGTCCTCTGACCGGAAGACCGAGAGTATTCCGGGTCTATCTATTTCCGCACAGCCACCAAGTCCCATAATCAAAGAGCGAGATGTTGTTTCCAATCAAATAGGATGAAACGTAGAACACGGCGTCGTGACGGAGGTGTGCCGTCCTGGCATGGATACAGCTGAGCTTCCAGTTCCAACCATGACGGCAGATGTTGTGTCTTGTCCATCTTCATCCAATTCGCTCAATACATTACCGTTGCCGACCGGGAAACACCAAGACGGTGGAGGTGACATGCCTCAACCGCGTTGCAGTTGTGAGCGTTGATCTGGGGTTGTAGGTAAGGTAACAACGGTGACAGTCGATCAAACAGTGCCAAGCTCCACATCCACAACCTCAACCTCCAATCTTGAGATGCAAAAGACATGGAAGTACTCACTTCTTGTCTTGTCTTGTCTTGTCATATCATTGTCACAACCATGGTCAATCTGAAACAAAACATGGCGTTTGCATCTTCATCTTCACATGTTGTCGGGTACTATTACCATACTGATAGCAACCCTCGTCCGAAGAGTCGAAGACGACGCTGGTGTAGCTTCGCAGAAGCTTGGCAGGGCGAATGCAACTACAACACACCCGACTTCAGCTGCTTGGGTCTTTCTGAAATCTAGGCACCGCCTCAGGGCCTCAGGGCTGCGTGGAGCAAGTCAAGCCGAAGCACATCTCTGACAGGAGAGATTTGATGCTGCCTGGCCCTCGTTGCAAGTTGTGAGTTTTCCGGGTGGACCAACGAACAGACGATTCCCCGGGTGTTGGATGAAGGTGGGGGCAGGGGGGCACCAGAATGAGGAGCAAAGGCTGAAGAAGACAGGGGTCGCCCCAAAGGCCAAAGCTCACTCGTCAGGGCTCCAACGCCATTAATGTGGGCGTCTGCAGTGCCGCAAAGATGAGAAAAGGAAAAGACTGCGAGGAGAAGAAAGAAAAGGAGAAGAGGAAAAGAGGAGAGGCGTTCCGAGAGTCTATGCTAGGTTATTTGATGATGGGCAGAAACGGCCCGCACGCTACCCCGGCAAAGGTTAGCTTACAAGTCACGACTGCTAGTAATATCTGCAAGACGTTGTTTGCTAGCGATGCCATGACTACCAGGGCAGTCTAGAACTTGCATGAACGAGTCACGACTCGCGCTTCCTTCCCCCATCTCCCCATGCTTCCATGTCACGGCCCGGTTGATCATCTGTCACGGGTGTTTCGTTTGCATCACCGACCTGACCAGCCTGGCCTGGGTAAGTAGGTACATGCAGGTAAACCCCGAATGCATTCCAAGGTTCCTTTTCCTTTCAGCAGTGCTAAAGAAGCGGCGCTGGACGTTGGCAACGATTGGACTGTTGGACTGTTGGACTGCCTAGCGAGCGCCACCAACCGATATTATATTTGCTATTTGCTATTTGTTACCACTTCCTTGTCTTGTCGACGCTAGCAGAGACTATCTCGACAGCTCCTCGCCCAGAGCTAGAGCTCATCGTCATACCCGTCATTGTCGACACACCTGACATGGAAGCATTCAGTTCTCGGCCGCCCCCCTGATCGCCCCCTGATCTGCGGCAGTTCTGTAGATCGTTCCGGCTTGCTGAGGGCACACACTGCCAGACATCTCGAGCCTGGCTATATGCGGTTCCCCTTGCCTGATCGATCGTTTGACGACATATCCATCTCTCCGGGCCCAAATTTTATCTCGGACTGTCGCGCGTAACGGCACGCCACAGCTGGCCTAGCTCAGAGCTTCCAATCAGCTGGCTCTCCCTGATTCAGCATCCAAGACGTTCTGGTGCGCTCTCAAGCTTTCTGTACCTGGATCACATCGTCTACTACCACGGTCCGGGGAGAACAGCTTTCAAGACATCCAGCTCCCCCACTCACCGTTGTGCTGTCATGTTCCCGTGTGCCTTCGACAGATCTTCCCTCTCACCTGTGCTTGACCGCGTGACCGTTCAATTCCGGGCAAACGAGCAAACATCTCGAGTTGGTGGCAGCCGAAACTACCACATACTCATCGTTGGCAGCAGCACGGCAGCAGCACGGCAGCAGCAGCTTCCCGTCCGTCCATGCTGGTCGATATTGGACCAGCCGTTCCGTCAACCGCTTTCCCCGGTCCGGGGAGCTACACAGGGGCAATTCGCTGAGCCGATTTTCTCCAGCCTCTTTCTGTCCCGCCCCGGCTTCGAGTCTCAACCGTCTTCTCGGGGGGCAACTCTACCGTAACCCTGGCGGCGTACGCCCCGCCGAACGTCCTCGTGTCGGCCTACGGACTCGGCGCGACCGCGCCTTCGACGCACCATTATGCGGAGCAGCCATCTTCGCCGTACACCGTCGACAGCGGCTTTGGGACTGCAGAGTTCCAACTCCCGCACCCGAAACGGCAGAAGCTATTTGACCCGGCTCCAGCCCACTCAAAGAAGGACGGCTCGGACAGACCTACCAAGGCCGCCGATATGACGGCCTCGGATGCCGTCCCCGCCAAGAGTAGGAGAGTTCGCACGGGGTGCTTGACGTGCCGGGAGAGGCATCTGAAGTGCGACGAGGGCCTGCCGGACTGTAAGAACTGCCAGAAGAGCCATAGAGAGTGCAAGAGGGGCGTGCGGTTGAACTTCATCGACATGACTTGCAAGGAGCCGCCATACATGCCACCAACAGTCGAGTGGGCAGGTGGGTTTACAAGAGCCAGTTGTACTCACTCTGAGTTACAGCTGACATTTTGCACAGTGCAGTTCCAAGATGAGTCGCGGCTAATCGCCTCCGAGTACCGAGGGGGTCTAGGGCGGTATGCGAAGTTTGATACTCAGGCCGTCACGCCGCCACAGGAATCGCATCTCGAAGCTACTCTGCGCCGACAATCCCAGGCTATCGAACGCGCCGAACAGCAGCCCGCAGTTGACGATAGGTCACCGGCCATGATACAGACGCCGCAATCCGTCTACTATAGTGACCGGAGCCAGACACACCCAGAACTTGCCGCCGATGCGCAAATACATTCTCGAAAGAGCAGCGCCGCCTCGTTTATGGCGCCTCTGGGGTCGTCGAGTTCCGGCGGGTACGCGAGCCTGCTTTCGGATCCCTTTGCACCGATGAAGGACGTGAGCAGTCGCGAATCTTCGCACCATGGGTATAAAACCAGCAACGTATCAACGGCTGCCTCTGTGAATGGCTTGACCGGCGTTGGACCGCCGTCGACCATCCGGTGCGGTCCAGGGGGTAACAACACAGGCACAGGTAACGAGACGGGGATGATGACACCGCCAAACGACAAGACAGGAGAACGTGACTATCTCAACTCGCCCGAGGAGCTACGCTTCATGCATGTATTTGTCACCGAGGTGGGCGTCTGGATGGATAGTCTCGACAAAGAGAAGCACTTCTCGCGCTTGATGCCCTACCACGCGCTCAAGTGCCCTATGCTGCTGAACGCACTTCTGGCCTGTGGCGTCAAGCATCTGACTCTCACGCAGCAGTACAGTGATGACAAGGCGCTCTTCTACTACGATACGGCAACGACGCAACTATTGCGCAACCTGCAGAACCCGGAGCGGAACACAGATGAGTGTGCTGCTACCGCTGTTGTCCTCAACGTGTATGAGATTATGAGTGAGAAGCCGACGCAGCGCATGAGCCACATCGCCGGCGCGCGGGCCCTGATCCGCGAGTGCGGATGGAACGCCAGGAGCAAGGGGCTCGGTGCCGCGTGTTTCTGGCTGAACGTGGGTATGGAGCTGCTGTCGTGCCTCGCCTTCAACTGGCAGACGGCCTGGGACCCGGACACGTGGGGGGTGGACATGGACTTCACCACGGACAAGGAGACGGGCAGCGAGGAGATCTGGGTGCACCGCATCTTCTACATCGTGGCCAAAATTGCCAACTTCCGCTTTAGCGTGCCTAAGTTCCAGGAGGCGAGGCCGCACGACGAGGAGATGCGCCATAACGCGAGGAATGACGAGTGGAAACGCCTCAAGAGCTTGTGTGATGAGTGGAACACTGCCTGTCCGAGGCCGATGCACCCGTACGGGTACCTGCATCCGACACAGCAGACGGGGCCTAACAAGTCGCTCTTCCCTAACGTGTGGTATGTCCTGTCCTCTTCAACGAAACCCACCACCAGCGGTGAAATGGGTGTACTAACATGATGAAGGCTTATCAAACGCGCCGCCATCGTCGGTAGGCTGTACTACCACACGGCGGAATGCATACTGGCGCAAGTGAACCCGACGTCTGCGAAGGATTCCCACGAATCGCGTTCAACCCAACAGTACCACGCGCACCAGGTCTGCGGCATCGTCGCGCATACCGAGGACCGCGGCGTGGCATCCGTCTCGATCCGCTCACTGGCCATAGTGGCCGAGATACTAACCGACTACGCCGAGCAGCAGGAGGTGGTCAGGACCCTCGAGCGCATCGACCGCGAGACGGGCTGGAAGCTGGCCGGCGTGGTCAAGAGCCTCAAGAAGATCTGGGGCTGGGGGGAAATGGCGACGACAACGGGTCTCACGGCGCAGATGCTCGGCGGCCCCGGCCCCGGTGGCGTACCTGTAGCTGCAGGCGCTGCCACGCCCGGCATGGGGGTGATGAACGCGATGGGCATGGGCAAGCAGCAGATCGACCGCATGTCCATGGCGCACGCCATGCAGACCACGCAGACGACCACGCCGCCCCAGCAGGTCATGCCGTCTGCCATGGCGCAGCAGCCGCAGCCCGGTGTACAGCAGCAGCAGCCGTTGGCGGCACCTCGGCCGATGCGCGTCAACCCGCTCAGCTTTGCCGACTTTAGCCTGCCGAACCATCCGTACCAGAACTGGTACGAGCCGCCGAGTCGGTCGAACAATTACAACTCGCAGAGTTTTCTGTGATGAGGTCTTGCTTGCCATACCTCGTGTTATCTATGGCGTTGACTTTGCATGTATATTGTCATGGAGCATACGGCGGCAGCGGCCATGGGAGAGTCTGCGCTGCTTGATTCCACCGGCGGCGGCAGGCATTGCCATACATATTCCCTGATCTTGATTTTCGGCGTGTGTACATTGAACTGTCTGGACCTACGGAATATAACCTCGGCGTTGTGGGAAAAGCCGGGACAGCTACTGGCGAACTGCCAGAGGATTAAAGAGGGGGGTGGAACGTGTGATTACATCAAGACAGACGCGGGCGGCGGCAAACAGGTCGGTTCGGAATACAGGCATTAGCGATGGTTTACCTGTATTATGGGGAGTATGGCGTGCGGCGGTCGGAATTCACATGTGTAGAGCATGGACATGGACACGGCGATGGACATGGATATGGAGATGGAGATGGACAGGCATGGCCTGGGCCGACTGGCTGGGCGGTACTGTACAGACATAGATAGCCTGAGGGCATCACGCAGATTTATCACAGAGACTGGCGAGAATTGATATCCATGGCTTGACCATGGCCGAATCGAAATCGAAATCGAAATCGGTATAGCTGGACATTTACTTGGTGCTTGCTGTATGATCAGGGACACAACCGCCTGAAAGAGGAGTAAGGTGCATATTTGTTGCGTGACGAACGTTGCTACTTACTACAGCCGTCTTATGAGGCGGGTTATTATCCACCGCTGGGGCAGAATCATCATCGAGCGTTACTTTCCGTTACACCCATGAGCAAAGTAGGTATCGAGGCTAAGGTAAGGGAGCTTTCTAACAAAGAAACCGGCCTGCTGTTTCTTCTTTTGATAGGTAGTCTAGAATAGGTCAGACTGGGTGGGCCTGCATGTAGATTGAACACACACACACACACGCATATATATATATATACGAGACGAGAGTGCATTGAATGACGCGTGTCATTCTTCTGTATCTAAGTCACGCCGATGACAGATCGTTCGGAGGTAGAGGACATCATCCATGAAAGCTGACAGCATCAGTTTGTCCACCAAGCAAGCAGTAATAGGCGTGGATGTAGGGCTAGTACAATGTCAACTCCCTGTCATATTCATCAGGCTTGCCCTTATTAATGCTGCCAGTATAAGATTGAACGCACCGAAAATTTTGGGGGCAGGACCAAGTTTGGATCGACTGCACCCAGCTGGTGACTGGCTAGGCTAGGCTATCCGATCCCGAAGTACACTGTTCACTCCTCGAGACAAGGAGCTTTAGAGCCTTATTCAAGCTCGCCTGGAGATTGGATAGAGTCATTGACGCGTAGTAGGTAGAAGAACTCGTCTAGTTCATGGCGAACTATCGTGGCGAGGCAGGACCAACTTATGTTGCTTCCGAGGTTCATTCAACCCTTTGTCACAATCTTAATGCCACTGATCGCGCTCTCAGGCCAACTCGAAGCGACAGTCTGCTTGATGTCCACTGCTAAACGTTCCGGAGATTGCGTAGAGCCGTATTGGATCGGCTGACCCAACAGTGACTACCGGGCTTCGTGCTTGAAGCTCGTTGGCCTGTTCCGTTCAGCGAGTTGTCCTCTTTGAGGGGCGGCTGCCGCGTAAAACATACCCGGGCGTTCTGGTATTTGTCGTGAACCACCGCAAGGTGGTTGCACGTCACAAGCACATAGTACGTAGACACTGACGTGGTAGGCTGAAGATGGCCTGCAGTGTCACAGCTTGTCCAAATAATGAGCCCTGAACTTCTTGTTCGCACGATCGGCGGACCGCAGCTGGAACTGTTCGCCATATATCTCGAAGCTGAAGAGTCCCTGGTCTTCCTTGGCTTCTTGCGCTGGGACGTCGATTCGAAATACAGTTCCCTCCTTCGGCACAGTCTTGATCTTGTCATGCTTCGTGATGAATTCGAAGGTGGATTTCGAATCCTTGATAATAATGCCGCGGATGCCGACGCGACTAGGACAGATACTCCTCGCGACCTCGACTTCGGCGCCGTGGAAGTCGGCAGCGCTCAACTTGGCACCCGCACTCTGTCCGCCGGCGTAGACATCGTTTCCAAGTATCTCTCGGATGTACCCAAGCCATAGCTTGTTGAGGGGCTCGTATATGGAGTATTTTTGGCCCGTCTTTGGGACATAGTAGAACCCGAGACTGCGTCGCTGTCGCGCAGATAGGGGTTTTGGTTCCAATGCATTCGCGCGCTTCTGCTTGTCCTTGCGGGCTTTCCGTCTGGCATCTCGCGCGTTGGACGGGGGTGGGGAGCTCGGCTTGAGGAATAGAGGTCGATGTTGGATCTTTTCCGAGTATATTCGATTTGTGCTGTCTGGACTGTGGGCGCGCGACAGCAGGTCATGCGTCAGGGACTGTTTCTCGTCTTTCGGCGCCATGAGGCGTGATGGGCGCTCGAGTGCCACGCAACAGCTGGCAAGAGGTACGGGGGTATCTGCGGGCGCGGTATCTCGCCGTCGAAGTGCAACACGCTGTTGATAGCTAATTTCAAATTTGCATTCGCGAAGAATGGGCGTTCCGACGGTTGACGGTCGACAGATAAAGGGTTCTCTTCAGCTAGGATCTGTCTATTGAAAATAATTGTTGAAAGTTAAGCTTTTGGTTTCTGCAAGGCTGACGATGGCAGCTTCAGCGTTTCCCCGCCATATTCTTTAGTGACTTCAGCGGCTCCGGGGCCCGGGCGACTACCCTAGTGGCTTCCATTCACATGTGCCCGAGACCTCGGCTGAACTTCCGCAGGTGTTGATGACGTGACTCCTTCAACCCTCAACTATTCCAACACTATCGCATCTACAACCCGTCGGACTATGAAGAAACTCGGAGCCAATTGATCAGACCCCATTGTGTCCCTACCGTGATCGCTTCCTAGGGTTATACCAATGATCAATCATGCTTCGCACATGCAACGTCCACTGCTGCCATAACCTCGCTCTAAGCTCATGCGACGGGACTTACACCACACGGAGTACTGAATCGATGATACTTGGCCGTCAACACCATGGCTCAGGATGATGACCCCACGCGCGACTCTGCGCCCGACCTGCAAATCCTTGGAGATCAGATCACCCTTCAGCCAAGAAGCTATGTCGAAGCGCGACGCGATGGCGACCACGAGGAAGCCCTTATGCATAACATGGCTCGCTTCCGCTCCGAGCCTTTGCAGTATGCCACCCATGTTCCGGCTCTATACTTGGTCTAAGTGGCAAGTCGTTAACCTCCCTCGTCACCCAGGTTCCTCCGCGAAGTCTCCCTCTACGTTTCGGGCATGGGCTGGCGAGCCTACGATAAAGTCATCGGACAGCCCATTTTCTATTCCGGTTTCTCCGAACACATGAAGAACTCTGTCGTATCCGCACCCCTGTTGCAGGCTAGAATATCCCACCTGGCCGACAGGCGTCTGGAACTTGAAGAGAAGGAAGGTTGGCTGAGAAAAGACGATAAGGACTTCGCGGGCATGAAGGCACACAGACGGGCGGTTGTCGAGGAGGGGATACAGGCCGTGGCCGAGAAGATGACCAACGATATGATATGCAAGTTTGAGAGCAAAACATTCATCAGGGGAGCCTATTACATGGTCACACAGTTGCTCACACGAGCCTATCATCAAGGTCGGTGGTCCTTCAGTGCTGGTCGTCGCGTCTGGGTGCTGACCTTCCTGTGTAGGCATACATGTTTCGAGCGAAGAGGTGTTACGGCTGAGAAAGGTTGCCGAGGAGGCGGAGAGAAAGAAGCAGAGCATCATCTTTCTGCCCTCACATCGGTCACACGTCGATTACGTCTCAATGCAACTGATTTGTTACCGCTTGGGCTTGGCTTTACCTGTCGTTGTTGCCGGTGATAACTTGAACTTCCCAGTGGTTGGAAACTTTCTACAGCATGCTGGTGAGCAGGCAACCCTCTCAAGATCAACCACGACGTGCTAATAAGTATAGGCGCCATGTGGATTCGACGGTCGTTCGGAAACGACACCCTGTACACGACCCTTGTACAAGCATACATAGACACATTACTCCAGGGAGGTTACAATTTCGAGTGCTTCATAGAAGGCGGTCGGTCACGGACGGGAAAGCTATTGTCTCCCAAGTTTGGTATACTGAGCTTCATCCTCGATAGTCTTCTGTCAGGCCGAGTCGAGGATGCCATAATCTGTCCAGTCAGCACGCAGTACGACAAGGTCATCGAGACCGAAGGTTACGTTACGGAGCTTCTGGGTGTTCCCAAGAAGAAGGAGAATTTGGCCGATTTTCTCAAAGGGTCCTCCGTCTTGTCTTTGAAGTTGGGCCGGGTTGATGTCCGTTTCCACGAACCGTGGAGTTTGCGAGGATACATCGACGAGCAACTGACGAAGCTGACCAAGTCGCCCGAAAGCTTGAGCATGAACACGAAGACAGCAGAGAATGCTGCTATAAAGCAAAAACTGCTGCGTACGATGGGCTACAAGGTTCTTTCCGACATCAACGATGTGTCTGTGGTCATGCCTACAGCTTTGATCGGAACCGTGCTCCTTACCCTCAGGGGTCGCGGTGTGGGCATGTCAGAGCTACTGCGCCGGATCGAATGGTTGACCGCGCGGGTAGGGGCCAAAGGTGGCCGTGTGGCTCATTTCGGTAACGCCCCTCTCGCCGATGTCGTCGAAAGGGGTCTGGATGTGCTTGGGAAAGACCTTGTGGGCAGCATAGAGGGTCTCGCTGAACCGACATATTACGCTGTCGACCGGTTCCAGCTTTCGTTTTATCGCAACATGACCATTCACCTCTTCATTTCCGAGGCGTTGGTCAGTGCCAGCATGTATACACGGGTCAAGCAAGGCGGCGGTCCTGCAAACCAGGAGATATCATACACAGCGCTACGAGACCAGGTGCTGTTCCTTTCGTCGCTCTTCCGTGGGGAGTTCATCTTCCCCAGCGATGGTCTAGCGGTGAACCTGGAAAAGACCCTGATTGGGCTGGAGAACGACCGGGTGATCAAACTCCAGAGAGACGAAAAGGGGACCATCTACAGCATCGGACTGGCGGAGGAGGAGCGCATTGCTGGCAGAGAAAACTACGACTTTTACTGTTTCTTGATTTGGCCGTTTATCGAGTCAAGCTGGCTGAGCGCTGTGTCGCTGATGGGACTCACGCCTCCACTGGGCCACAACGACGATGTCTGGATCGAGGTGGCCAAGGCACAGAACACGGCGCAGTTGGTAGGTGTCTGGTGTACTTATGTGCCACCTGTCAAACTCCACGGCTAACACATATCACAGCTCGGCAAGACGCTCTACCACCAGGGCGACCTCAGCTACTTCGAAGCAGTAAACAAGGAGACACTCAAAAACTCATACACACGGTTCGAGGAGGAAGGCATCATCTACGCCGTTAAACCCAAGGACAAAAAGGCGCCGCCCCGCCTGCGGCTGTCGCCGGAGTGGATGCCGTCCCGCGACCCGAGGTCGGGCGCGCTGCGAGCCGAGGGCAAGCTGTGGGACTTCATCGAGCACATCTCGTCGAGCCGGCGCGAGGGCAAGAACAGACGCGACGGCGCCACAGTCAGCACGCGGGTGCTAAGGCTCGCGGACGTCCTTGGGGGTGGGCTGTATGAAGAGGCGGCCGCGCCGGGGGGCGAGAGTAGGATGGATGTCGGGGTGGCGGAGGAGATGAAGGTCGTGCTGAAGGCGGAGAGGAGGAGGCGGAAGCTGGAGGGGCGGGCGCAATTGTGATGTGGTGCTGGCGTCGGTTGGGATGGGATGCCAACGAGCCACATGCCTTGATCGATGGGCTGGTGGTGAGTCGCGTTCTACCTTGTGGTCGTCACTATACGCAGCAATTATCTTGGCATCATCGTACATAGCAAAGTGCTAAGGGGCCTACCGAAGGGAGCTGTCAAGTCTGCCTTCACAAGTGCATCTGATGTCTCGGCAACGATTCTTGAATCCTTCACGGGAGGTATTGTGAAAAGTTCGCCAGCCACAAGAGTTCTATGCCCGCCACACAAGTAGGTATGAGCACATGCAGGCGCCGGACCCGAGGAGCGGACCGGGGCTTGCTATCGCGGGGTTTTGAACTTTTTGAGCAAAGGAATTGATTGCGCCCTCCTCCACATCCGCAACAACGCTCTCGTCAAGGCAGCAAGGCTGGTGACGGCCAACTGTCATCAATCATTGATCTTTTCTACGCGTACACATCCTGACATGTTCCAAGTGCGTCAGCGGGCCCAGTATTGAAAACTCTTCATGATGCCAGTCGTGGCAATTCCCGGATATTCCCAACACCTTGCTCTCGCCTGCATCGTGCGTGACACTACTGTACGCGGTAGGAACGACGTGGGGTGATCGACTCGACCCCTGTTGGACCTCCAGGCATTGAGGTCTCATTAATTTGTTTCACGGGAGGCTGTTGCTAATAATTCTCATCAGTCTCACACTGGCCTCTGACGACCAAAAAGCGTCACAGTGACAGTGAGTCGTGTGAGCGTAGCAGCCAAATGAACATCATCCGGTGACTGGCCTACAGTATCTACTCATAACAAATACAGCCATGACAGATTACCCCCTCCGGTCGACTACGATCAGGCTTCAGCCATGGAGAACCAAGCCACCATCTTTCCACCGCCCAGCTCACGTCTCCTGACGACGACGAGGCAATTCAAAAGTTGCACACAGTCACACAGCCTCTTCGGCTGAAGAAAGCCTGCAGGCTGTAGCACTTCACTGCGAGCACAGTACACTTTAATAATATGCAGCACTCCTTTGTGCGGACTTCTGGATGACCCGATGACAGGAATCCTTCGCACCACAGTGGAGCAGGACTAACATGGGAAGACAGCGAACCGCTTCCTGCACGTCCTGCATCTACATACTGTAGCGCGCTGTGCCAGATGGGCGAGAACGGTGACAGGTGACTGGGGGAGGGGACCTCACACCGCAAACACTGCCAAACATCGCGATGAGCCAATCACGCTGCCCTGCGAGGTAGTGGGGGGCTGCTGTAGGAAGAGTCGATGGTGCCCTCACATCCCTCACGAGTCACAAGTTCGAAACGGGTCCTGGGAGTTGTCATCTGGCCATTCCGCCATCATGACCGGGGAGAGGCAGTGTCATGGATTGCGGCGACGCCACTCGACGTCGTGCCGGCCGCTTCTAGGCTCTCAGGTCCGCCCAATCAACCCCGGCAATCCGGTCGACGAGGACTGCTATGAGTTGTGACTTGTACAGAAGCCAGGCAAGCTGGGCGAGGTGGACAAACACCGACAACCCTGGGCTGCCCATTGGCCTCGCTGCCTCGCTGCCTCGCTGCCTCGCTGCATTTCAGCCTCCGTGCCGTCTGGTAGCTCAGCCCGTGGGGTTGACCCCCTCTGTCTGTTCCTTCCCATGTCCATCCTTGAGCCCTTGAGCCCTTGATCCCTTGGGCCTTGGCAGTTCTTTGCGTTCCCTCTCTTCTTCACCTCATTACGTCTGGAAATGCCACACTTCTCGTCGTTGCGCGACTTAGTCAGGACTGCGACTGGCCGGCCGCGAGACTCGAGAGCTGAGCCAGTCTGCCGGACTCTATACTCCACCGCCGAGACCCCTCCAGCCGACGGGCAAGCAAGCCATCGCCGTGCAGTTGCGCGTTAACGTGACCACCCCCACCTGCCTCTACCGTTACATACACCGAGCGACGGGCCAGTGCAGCCGCACCTGGGCAGCTCCCCGCCGGAGTCGCTTATAAATATGGCCGACGAAGTCGAGCGGCTTGCCATTGCGCCCTTCAGAGAAATTGTCGATAAAGGCAGGACTGCCGTTGAAAATGCTCAGGGCACGAGCGAAGATGTCTCGGCGCCCATGCTCAAGGCGGCGCAAAACCTCGTTAAAGAAGGCGAGAGAGCATTGAGGAGGATCGAGCCGCTCTGCACCAAAAGCTACGACGAATATGGCGCAACCTTCATTGACGCCATCAAGGAGAACGGTGCGGGCTGCCCCTGCACCCGCGAATTGTCTGAACACGAACTGATTGTAGAACACCAGACGAGATTGCGCAGTATCGATCTGAACTGGAGGACCTGTTGTGGGACTTTGATGACTTCATCGAGGTTGACGAGTTCGATGCCGCCAAGTTTGACGAGCTGCAGAAGTCTTCGCGGAAAGCTGCACCGAAGATCGTTGATATACTGAAGCGGATGAAGCTCGTTGCTACTGCTACTGCTCCGCCATCGGTATCATCACAGCCCTCGAGAGCCGTGTCGACACCACCAGATGAGTCGGCAGCGCACGCGCGCCAGGAACCAAGTGCAACAAGTATAGTTCTCGACCCGCCGCCGTCGGCAACGGATAGGCTGATGGAAGAGGCAGAACGGCAACTGAGTAGCATGATGGGAGCAGTGGCCGGTCCGGACCCAGGTTTTGAGGGAGAATGGGGACCGCATTACCCGTCGCGGCCCACGAACCATCTCGACAGAAGTACTTCACACCATTCGGATACCTCCGAGACACCCTCGGAGCCTCCACCTGAACCACCGTCCGCTGACCCTTGGCAAGTTGGCAGACCACCACCGACGGGCCGGAACGGGCACCCCGCTGCTGGGAATAGATGGGAGCGTCGCCCTCTACTAGCAGAAGACTCGCCGACTATCCCTCAAACATATCCAGTCACTTCACACGGAGAGCCCACTGGTCCTCTGCGCCTTCGGAAATTCGATGAGGGATACCACGACGACCCGGACCAGCGCATGCGTGCTTCTTCGCAGAGCTTGGGAACGGACAGTAGTGAGGGCTCTCGATCTCCGCTACAAAGTCACAGATGGACGAACTCTACGCACAGCTCAAGCGATTCAATGCGACTTCCTGCCCAAGCTCAACGCTCACATAGCGGATTTCCCCGTTCCAACCGATCTCCTTCGCATAGCAACGAAAACCCGGGATGGCCTGGGAAAACGCACGATGCTCCAGCCAGCCAGGCACCCTCAGACACTTCATCCGTACTGGACACTCCATCGATTCCCGAAAACAGCGCCGTCAACACTCAGGGGAACCTTAGCCCAAGAAGCAGTCTATCAAACAACTCAAACTTCCCGTCGCGGACAGCCTCTGTGACCAAACAAAACTCACATGTTCACTCATCGAAACAGCCGTCAACGGAATCCGTCAACAGTTCCGTTTTTGATGTAGTTGATTGCGCAAACCCAACCAGCCCCGTCACCCCAGGACACAGAAACTCGCTTCAGTCCACAACGTCTAGTACCCCCAGCAATACATACTCAACCAGCACACAGCCGCCGGCTTACCCGGGCCATCCACCAGTATATGAGTATTCTGGAGGAGGACCCAACAGATCACCGGGCACAACGATCCGGAACCATTCTTCATCCACTCTCACAGTTCAACCTAACAGGGAGTCATTCCAGTACCATCACGGGCCGGACGAAGGTTTGATACCAGTCGACATGGAGGATCCAATGTTTCGCGAACCCTCGATGCCGTTGCGAGAGCCGGATTGCGGCATAGGGCCCTTCAGCTCTTTTTACAAGCTAAAGGGCTTCTGCAAAGGAGCCGAAGAGGCTATGAGAGGTCAGCTCGGTTTCAAGAAAATCAAGCGACCTGTCGGCGTAAGAAAACCCCCTTATGTGAGCTCAATGCATTGGGTAAATCGTCACTAACGTTAAATAGGGGTTTTCGATGGCACTGGTGGCTAAGTGCAATCATTGTTTGTATGAGCTTGACTACAAATCAGTAGAGCAGGATATGAACAACGAACGTAAGTCTATCTTCAAATTTTCTGTGATATAGCCCACTCGCTTACCTGAGTCACAGCTGGTGCAAGTTTCACTGCGAACGGCATTGGTTTCCGTCTGCGTGTACTCCAGAAGAGCCATCTGCAAGTACGACACGTCGACGAGCAGATGTACGGGTGCATATTCTGCGTCCATGAAAATCGGACCGTTGAAGAAAGCGATGCCACCGTCTTCTTCAACCAGAGACAGCTTTTCGCCCACATGGCGCGGCATCCTCGCCCACTCCCCGATATAGCCGGTGTCACTATTCTAAAGGAGCCGGAACTGACGCCGAACGCGAGGCACAATTTCGACCTGCACTTCCCGCACCCATCGGTCCAGAGCGTCATGACTGGGCTCTCGCGGGAGATCGCCCGGCTCCCGACGGCCGTGGCGACGGAGACCAGGAAGACGCAGAACGGGGTCATGCGCACGCCGCCGGACCGGACACCCGTGCTGCATTTCGCCTTGGGCGCCAAGATCGTCGGCATCGAGTTTCCGCTGAAGTACGAGGGCAAATGGGGTATCGGGTGGCATGACGGGTTGCGTGCAGCCTTTGAGGTCGACGCAGTGCAGATCGATGCGCCTCCGAAAGGCGAGGTCAAGATGCAAGGGACGAGTAATGTACAGGCGGTGGCGCGCTGGAAATGGAGCCAGAAGGGCGATGAGCAGTGGCTGAAGTTCGACAAGGGGGATGTCATCAAGAACATCGCATGTGAGTTTGCCCGCAACCAGCAACCCCCAAACCCCCTTCAAATACAGGGTACCCGCAGGACACACCCATGTTGAGCTTCAAAGGCATGATTCGAGGAACTGACACTCCTCACACAGGGGCTTATGCAGACCACTGGTGCTGGTCGGGCACAACAGCCAAGGGCTGGGGCGTCTTCCCGCAGTCGCATCTCGACCCAAACTCGATCCGAACCACGCAGCCGGGCGACGCGTCTAGCGTCTCGAGCTGGGAGAAGAAGGGGCCGCTGTGGTTCTCGCTCCGCAAGAACAACAATGCCGACCGTAAGCTCGCCTCTCCCGTGGTCGGGAACCCGCCTTCGTCGTTGATCGCGTCCTCCTCGGCCACACGCCCCGTATAGCAGAACATGGATTTACTGGTTTTTTTTTGGCTCCCGTGCTGCAGACACTGACGTGGCCAATCACCACCGCAGCTCATGGCGAGTCTTCTAAGGGACCGCGCACGCATGGCTCAGGCTAGAAGCCTTGGGCCTTATTGTCCTCAACGAAGAGAGGCACGAATCAGGAAGAATTAAGATGGTTGGAAGTGGTGAATGACGCGAATGGGCTGGTGGGATAGGTGCGTGAACGACTGGCGGGCGGGCTGATGGTCAACCTCCATCATGATTTCGTGGTTGCGAATGTATTCGGACGCATATACCCCCTTATTTACAGGCTTCGTACGGTTAACGGCGTGCATCATTCATCCAACATTATAGAAATGGTATGGCGCAGCTAAAGGGCGGCGAGTGGTATTCAATATATACCTATCTATATTCCATTCATAGATATGGCGCGGCGCCCCTGGATTAGAGGCGTAGGTAGCACAGTTGACTTCCGTGAGAAAAGAGTGTTCCAATCTATGTGAGGTGCAAGTACACATAGTTCGATAGTTACATGTGACGTCATCTCGCACCTACGCCCGAGTCTCTGGCACACAGCCGGACGTCAACTGAATATGTGTAGGTAGCTTCACGCAACATCAATCTGTCACCTGACTATGAGTTTCCATTTCCATCACCATCTCATACGAGAGGGATGAGAAGACTACTTTTCACATCCGACTTCCATCTTACCCTAGTACCCTGCACAGCTCGCCATCGCCCCTGCCAACTTCGCCAAACAAGACCGCTCGCCACCACAATGAGCTGGATGGACTCCTGGTCGCGGCCGGGCAAGTCGCAAGCCACGCCCGCGCCGTACTATCTGCTGCCCGGCGGCGAGTCGACGCCGTACTGCCGGTCGTGTGGGCGGGTGGTCAGTTCCCGAAAGGTGAACAATTCGGCCGAGGCCGCAACAAAGAACGACAAGGATAAGGATAATGTAGTGACAGCCACAGCCAAGTACTGCTCGGCGCGCTGTCGGCACAGCAAGCCGCGGAAGCTGGACCGTGATATCGAGGCTGCTTTCGTAAGGCTGCTTTGTGGTGAGGAGGTAGAGGTAGAGCGTGCTGGTGCTGGCGAGAAGGGGGGAGGGGGAGATGGGGATAGAGACGGTGGCATTGGCGGTGAATTGGCGAAGGGCAACCAGCCAGAAGAACACACCACACGCAATGCGAAAACAAAGCCGAAAACAAACCCAAAAGTTAAGGTGGTAAACAACAAGAAGAAAGCAGTCAAAGGCGACCCCCGCATCCTCGTCTCCTGCGACGAAGTAGAAACCGCCGTCTTCGGACCCCGAAACTCCGACCCGGAGAAGACGTTTGGGCGGAAGAAGAACCGCGCCTCGCGTGTCCTGCCGACGTCCTCCGAAAATGAAAACGAGAACGAGACTTCCAACGGGCGTCGTCAGGAGGGCGAGGGCGGAGTAGGCGATGAAGAAGACACCGTCGCCATCCACAGCGGGGACGGCAGCCTCGGCGACTTCGACGTCGACGAAGAAGAAGTAGCTGCCAGACCCGATATTATCGACGGCGACGTCCTGGCCCGGCTTAGTATCAGGAGCGGGACGCGCGTGCGCCCGCCGCAGACGGTCTCGGAGGTGAACGGCAGCGTGGGTGGGGAGAAGGGCCGCGCGGAGCGTATTGAGGAGACCGAGGAGATGGCGAGGAGGAGGGCCGAGGGGCAGCGGTGGGCAAGGCAGCGCGAGATGGTACGGTGTGCGGCGCGCAGGGGGGTTGTGTTTGGGTTTGTTGTTGGGGATGGTGATGGGGGGAAAGGGGGTTGTGATGATGATGGGGGGAAAGGGGGTGATTGGGAGAGAAGGAAGTGCGAGGCGGTCATGCAGGGCAAGGTCGTCGAGCCGAGCTTTGCGAAGGGGGACTGGGCTGTGAGGTGGAGGGAGTGAAAGTATGTGGCCTGAAAGGGTGTCGAGGGCACATCTTTGCAAGCCTTCCCCGCTCAACATCCAGAAGCTCACGACTGGATTGCGTTCTCACATATGAGGAGCCGCCATGCAACGGTCACTATGGAATATGCCCATATGACTCGGGAGTCACCAATCTCCAACTTCGCCAACATACAATGTTCCGATGTTCTGCGCTTGGAAGACGATTCATGGAAGCCTGACTCCCATGGTGATCCCTCTATATGAGAACGCATTCTCTATTAACGCCGATGCAATCAGCAGCGACGCACCACAGTCACAGTGACGGTACCTCGTCTATGGGGAAAAAATATAAAAATGCACCAAGAGAAGTTCAAGTAATTTGAGGGAGCCCGCAACTGAACCCATCTCCGCACACAATCTGACACCAGACACATGAACGAGCATACGTAGCCAAGAAAACTATGGGCTCTGCTACCGATCAATTTGTCCAAACCGGGGACCTCCCATTTTGCTTGGGTGGTCATGTAAGTGACACTGCCATCATCACAAGGCCTCCGCTTACACGCTAGTCGCTCAGTCCTGTCCAACCTTTGCCTCGTTAACAAGCGCTTCAACGAGATACTTTCTACCCATTTCTATAGGGAACTCTGGTTCAGCGGTCGGAACCGCGACTTCCTGCTCGATTCCGAGAAGTTTGACCTACTTCTAGGAAACTATCGCCTAAAATACGTGAGGAACTTGGTCTTTTGCGTTCACGAGGACCTTCCGCGCGGTCAGAGAAACGGCAGAGAAAGAAATACTCCCGATGCAGATCCCGGCACGGAAGATAATGCGAACCCCGGCGTAGAAGACAATGCCGAGCCGGGCACAGAAGACGATGCGGAACCGGGCACAGAAGACGATGCCGAGCTGGGCACAGACAACCATGGCGAACCAGGCACGGACAATACTGGTCAAAATGCTAGCAATGGAGACGACGACAACAACGATGACAACAACGACGACAACAAAGACGACAACAACGATGGCAACAACGATGATAGCGACGATGAGGGAGAATACCCATGTACGTTGCTAATCTGGAAATACGATGCTTAGGTACTCATCGTTTACATCCGACAGGCTTGCGTCTTCAAACCCTAGATGCCTGTATAACCATAAATACGAGGATGCGCACTTTATTTGCCTTGCTCCCCAGCTAGAGAATTTCTCGTGAGTCTTTGTCAAACACCAACGAGCATACGTAGTCTTGCTAACCAAATCGCAAGATGGGAGGGGTTTTCCCTATTCTCCGACACGGTATGGGCTCTGTACCGAAACTGTAGCGAACTGAGGGCGTTCGAGCTACGGAGCAATCAGGTCGACTCTCGAACCGGTCATCACTTGAATGAAGAACGTCAGCCAATCCGAGGCCCGATTTGGGAGCAACCGGTCAATGTTCTCTTCGAAGTCCCCACGTTACCGCCCTTCCGGAATCTTCGGACGCTGCACATTATGCAGATCTGGAGCTACGACTTCAATTTTTGGAGGGAGGTGATCGTTGAGATACTTGTTAACTCGCCGAATTTGACGAGTTTGAGCCTTTCCATCGCCCACAGAGCCCGGTGGTGGGCTATGGGTCCGGATCACCATCAGCTTTCTCCTGAGCACCATCCAGCCTTCTTCCTTCGGGAGCTTTGCCGTCTATACTCGAAGGAGGGAGGCAAGCCGATTCGACTTCGGAAGCTAGACTTGGGGCATTTTATGTTCATCTTACGATCAGCCACGAGGGACCATCAGCTACGCCCAATGATCCCCGACGAATATTCAAATGGCGGTCATCTTGATCTTTTGGTTGATTCGTCACAACTGCAAGAGCTGAAAGTAGACCTGGTAGGTGCTACACGTTTCACGGAGTACCCAGCCGAAGATTTGAGAACCAGGTGGTGGCCCACCGCCCCTGGACATCTCCCAGCATTACGGAAGCTCACCGTGCAGGCGCCGACATTCTGGTTCGTACAGTGGGCAACATATTGTCGACACCACGGCTCGCCACTAGACAGTATGGGCATGATCGAATACGATGACTATCTGGATCGATATGCCAGCGTGTATGCGGACGGTTCCCATGATGAGGCCGAATGGCACGAGCTTCTTTGCTGCGAGCCCAGAGCGCTCTTGTTTCACACTGATTCTGAAAACCGGGGCGTTTGTGAGCGCCTAGCAGCATGCCGGTCCATCAAAGAGCTTGCGTTTCACTCCGTCAAGGCCCGTGTGAATATCAGGTCTCTGGTTGCCGCAATGCCCCAGCTCGAAAGCCTCTGGGTCATGTGGCCTCGAGCATTCCGCGCTTTGACGGCACAGCAACAGAGAATCGCGCATGAGCAACTAGTCCGCGACCTCGCTTCTCTCGGGACGGCATTGAAGTATGTACACTACGACTGTGTGCCTTGGCATATCGAAAGAGATGGCTCGGGGTACTCGTTGCATGGTTGGAGAGGTCGGAGAACAAGGTTGAGCTGCCTGAGACGCTCCAGGCGACAACTACACACCTTGATTGGATTGCTCACCTGCTCGAGTATTGGGTCGACATCGTGAGTCAACCGTGACAGTCTCACCGAGGATTAATAGGATATGCGTTATTTCTGCTTACTTAAAGAGGTCTGGTCTTAATAATATCTTGAACACCTACTTAAGTCGTATTGGGTCCTCATTCGGGAATGCGTACTTTTGGTAAAGAGCATACCGCTATAGAGGTTGCTAGCTCGTGGGACCAGATCGACCCAGCCCCTGTATCGGTATTAACAAACTCCCAAAACAGGTCAGGGGAAATATGTACAGATTCCTATGTGACTTTTTCGGGGATGGATGTTGAAGGAGTTGAAGGAGGTGAAAGGGCCGGAAGACCAATTCTCTGAGGATGTGCTGAAGCCGAACACCTCATCACCTTTTGTCTGACCCAAAAACTCTCAGATCGTCGATGCTTCTCTTCTTGCGCTCCAGTAGGTTCGATATCAAAAGCAACTGCTGTTGTGAGAATTCCATGATCTGCTCTGCTGGATCTCACCAGGTTGCTGCAAGACGGGACGATTGCGCGGCGGTTGAATGAAGAGGCGCCTCATCTGGGTTCTCCTCACGTTCGACTCCTCATCGTCTCGTACCATCTCATGCAGAGCGCTCGCAGACCGAAGACAAACCGATAGACTGACAAATAAACACACAGCGTCGTAGCCCCATGTCATACCATGCCATATCATGCAGAGATGAGCTGTCCAAAGGGCCCCCAAAGGGCCCCCAGTGCGCCCCAAGATCTGCTGGTGCTGATTTCCTTTTCATGCCTCCGTCCCTCGACAGCCATACCACCGGCCCGCGGCAGGTAGTCCTATCAACTATGCCCCCTCATTATCCCTTCGTAGTAGGTCCGAGAGACGAGCAGCACCTCTGTTCCCCATAAGTCCTTTACCTTGAAACCCTCACGAGCATTGCCCCCTTCCTTTGGGTCCAGGCTATCACATTGCGCTTGTTCCGGCATCATGTTCACCAAGCAGATCCTTTTCGTTGTGCTAGGGACTACTGTCAGCTCGCTGGCATCACCAATATCAGCCGCGGCGGCATATGGAGCGCCCATCAGCACCACTGTCGACCTCGGCTACACTATTTACGATGGCACTGCCTTGGCCGCTGGAGTGAATCAGTACCTTGGAATGCGGTATGCTGCTGCTCCTTTGGACGACCTCAGATGGCGTGCACCTGCGGACCCTGCTGTCGACAGGACACCGCAAGACGCCGCTGCGTTTGGCCCGATCTGTCTAGGCACTTCAAATGGCCTTACGAGCACCTACAGCGAAGACTGACTCTTCATCAACGTCACTGAGATCTCGAAGCTTCCAGTCTGGTTGTACATACAAGGAGGCGGCTATGCTCACAACAGCAATGCTAACTACAATGGCACGGAAGTCGTCGTCGCCTCTAACCACAGCGTCATCCTCGTGAACTTCAACTACCGGGTAGGCGCGTTCGGCTTCCTCGCTAGCGAACACATACAACGCGACGGAGATCTGAACGTAGGCTTGCTTGACCAGCGCAAGGCGATGCAATGGGTCCAGCAATACATCCATCTCTTTGGCGGCAATCCGGACCATGTAGTTATACATGGTGCATCTGCGGGAGCCGGTTCCGTCTCATACCACCTCACAGCTTATAATGGTCGAGACGACCACCTCTTCGTGGGCGCGGTCCCTGAGTCGACATTCTGGCCGATTCACCGGACTGTCCCCGAGCTGGAGTATCAGTTTGATCGCTTCGTGGCGAACGTCAGCTGTTCTGCTGCCTCTGATGTAATGCAGTGTTTGAGGTCCAAAAACACCACTGTCCTGCAGTCTTCCGACGTCGCTTCGCCATACCCCGGCCGCGTCAACAACTCGTTATGGTATTTCACGCCTTGCATTGACGGCAACTTCTCGACAGATCTCCTGTACAACCTCTTTGAAGCCGGGAAGGTCGTCAAAGTGCCTACGATGGTTGGCGACGACACCAATGAGGGGAGCGTCTTCGCTACGGACGTCGCGACGAGCGAGGAGTTCCTCGAATTTATGAAGGACAACTACCCCAGACTCACGAGTTCCGAAATCCAGCGTATCAACGCTACGTACCCGTTGATGACCCCCCTTCCAGAGCACAACGCCTGGTTTCCGTCGGCATCCGCCGCTTATGGTGAGAGTAAGTCTTCTTCTGCGGAATATACTCTTTCCTTGGGTTAGGTGTAGTATGTTGACTCGATATCAGGCACGTTTACTTGCCCAGGCAACCAGATCGCCGCGTCCATGGCGAAATACCTGTCACCCGACCAGGTATGGAACTACAGGTACAACGTCGAAGACTATTCGGATGCTGCTGCTGGAGTCGGCACGCGGCACACCGCGGAGACACCAGCCATCTTCGGGCCGCCGAACGGGGGCTGCGACGACTGTTCCTACGACACGTATAATGCGCCCATAGTGCCTGTCGTTATGGATTACTGGATGAGCTTTGTCAAAACTCTCAGTCCGAACGCTGATCGTGATCCGGTCGCTCCGTACTGGCAGCCGTGGGGCGCTCAAGGTGGGAATGGGACTGGGACTGGTAGGAGGCTGAAGTTTGAGTTGAATGATACTGCCATGGAGACGGTGCCGCTTCAGCAGGTCCATCGATGCGATCTATGGCGGAGTTTGGCATCTACGATGGAGCAGTGAGCGGCAAAGTATGATTGGCGACAACGAACGATACCGGAAATCAAGAGAATTACAATATCTGGCGACGCGGACAAAGTCACGGCTGTCGTGGGTGAGATCAAGACTGCATCACATGTGTTCCGGACTTCGCACTGAACCTGTCGATATAGATCTCCGCCCTGAGACCGAGAAGGCTCTTACAAGAGCTCGCTCTGCTATAAACTCTGCCGCATTTTCGGCGATGTTAAATACTGCCGGGTTTGCAATATACGGCGAGGTCTTAGGTGTATGATTTACAAGCGACCAGAATATAAAAGAAATTATCCGTTGTTATTCAGTTAGTTAGTTGAATAATTCTATTTGTACAAACAACTATATGGGCTATCTATCTACGCTTCCGAGTCATCTCCACCCTCACAGCCCTAACCATGAAGCCAGTGAGGGTGTTTCTGCCCATTAAGGGGTTGCTTGCTCTCAGTTAGAAGGCCTACACAGCATACCTTCCCGCAGTCCGCCGAAAATTCTCTCTCAACTCGTGGCCATTTCCAGGCTTCCAGTAACTTACCGTGCGCCTTGCGGCCCAACCCTGCGTATGTCCGTAGCCAAGCTATACTCCGAATCCCACTCGTCTCTCCACCGCACAAACTCTGCCTGGTCGAAGGACTCGGGCCATCCAGCCTCCTCGTAGATGCGACGCATAGCTCAGGACTTGTTCCGCTCTGCGCTCGTCCGTACCTTATGCTCCTCGAGAAGCCGGTCCACGGACTTGGTAGCCATAGGTAGGCCAGCTTGTCGCCATGATTCGTGCTGTAAGTCGTATTGAGAGCGAAGTGACATGAAGCGTACTGTGAACAAAGGAACCATGGATGTACATATACAGGGCTCCACGCCTGATTAGTACTGTAGCTCCCATGCAGAACAACAAGTCTTTTCACCCCCCATATGGTTGGCCTTCTGACACGAAGCTGGTGCGGATTTTCTTGGTTGCGATTGTACTCGGTAGGTCGCTGATGGATGTACATTCCGTTGTCATCAGTCCAGGGCAGCCACTCGAGCTCTTGGATCTTTGAGCCCATCGATGATATCTGCATCATCTGTTGCTGGGTTCGACATCGTCAGGGCTGCTCAAAGGTGGCGGTATAGGAGCGAGGTCAACTCTGCGCAATCTCTTGAATTCTGGAGTGGCCGCCGCAAAGCCCAGCGTCTCATAGACATAACCATACGATAACGCTCGCTGCTGTACGAGTTGCGTTTTTGCAACGACACGGATTCGTAGCGTGAGTTACATTGGAGTCAAAGAATCTACTGACTCAGAGGATCCTCGAGAAGGGGTGGACCCTCTAAGCGCCGCAAACGAGCCCTCGGTCTTGTCTCCGGCGGCTGACGCAATGTGAAACCGGGGCAAGACTGGTTCCGCACGTCTGTCGGCTTAAGGTCAATAATAATAGACGGTCGTTTCACAGCAAAGATACTGTGCAAGAGGTCTTTATTGCCGTCTAAGCGAGCTGGTAAACAGGTATATAATGGACATAAGGCTCAAACTTGCTTTTATACACACACTATCAAAAGCGTCGATTTGTTACTTGCCTTAGTTATTCGTCAGTGTTAAAAGAACGGGGACGGGGAGAGAATAGAAAATGAAAGAGATTACTATGTGCAGTTGTTTTAATTTAAACCAAGGTTTTAAACAACTTAATCTACGTTAACCGAAACCTTTTATTAAGTTAAGTTAATACCATTTACAACTTCGTTATTGCTTAACTAAGTTAAATATATTAACGAGAGGTATTATTTCCGGAAATTAACATTATCGTAAGTTAATATGGGGTAAGGAAAAAAAAAGAGTTTTTTTTTACGTATTAATAATAAATCGGATCAAAATATATCCGCGTAGTAATAATAATAATACATTTCGGAATGATTATTTATATATATTGTAAGATTTTCATATTTATAAAGTTTTTATTTAATCATAATGGTCATAATATTACGATAAAAGATGTTTACTTTTAAAAACCATATAGAAAGAAACTGAAACTTTATTTCCCTCTATATAAGAGTCTTCAATAGTATATTTAGAAGAAATTAAAGTAAGCCATGAGATTAAAATAACTAGAAAAAATAACGAATTTAACTGTATTTTCTTTTTAATTTTAGTGTCACAGAATAGCAATTGACCACCACACCAATTGGCTAAGCTCCCCACAAAAGGATGTGGAATATTCAGGATGGCAACTGAATATTCTATGGTGGTAGATATACCTGACGTTCCACGGGCTCCAGGGCTCTGTCTCATTCGGACATACCTGTACCGTATTAGAACGTCACATTTAGGTTCTAAAGTTATAAAGTCTTTAATAAATCTTTATTTTTTTAAGGTGACCCCTGCTTGCCAACTACACGCTACTACTAGGTACCTGGTAGCACTATTACCACAACACCACACAACCACTAACAGGGGAGTAAATATCCACGATATTTACGTCAATATTAACACCACGATGGCCTCGTCGTTGAGTTGGTTGCTAAGGCTACAGGGGTTCTCGTGGATTGAGTTGATGTAGATATTGACGTTAACTTAATCAACTAGTGGATATCCGTTGAGGTGTTCGGGACCTTGATCTAAACTCATGCGGAAGGTCCGCGAACGTCAACTAGTAAACACGGCAAGTAATACCGAAGGATTTGGGTATAACTTAGAGGTTATTAATATCGACAGACCCACACCCTTCAATCTTCTTACCATTCTTGTCCTTTTCTCCCATCCTACCGGCAATGCCATCATAGTAGGATCAAGCTTTGACATCACACAACTATAAGGAGCTTTTATCGACACGCAACTATTATAATTTTAGTTTCTAGACATCCGCCTGTCCGCATATAACCCTAAATACCCAAAACCTTCGCTAACTTGGGCAACCTATGGCGACGTTCTGTCTCCGCTCGACCCGGGCCGCCCGGCTTCTGCTTGTGGATGAAGCATCCTTTTTGCGGATGAAGTATGCAATGGGCTTATTCGCCCCTCGTCATCTCTACTATTGGTGTGGCACGCCACTGTAGTATGTATTCTTAGCTACATTTAGTAGCCCAGGAGGTGGTTTCGCAGGCGATCTAGGTCAATGGAGGGGGTTATATATTGAGCTCCTCCACCAGGGAGCAGAACCATCCTCGCATATACAGGCCATGATTTGTATATGCGCTGCCCGTGTGTCGTAATCTTCCACCATATATCTTGTCTTTCCATCCGGCTTTACACCCTCCGCACGCCTAGCTGCCCATTTTGTCAGCCATAGCCCACTGCAAACATGCGTTGCTCTTCGGTAAAAGCCGCGGCCGTCGCGCTGCTGAGCATGGGCGGCAGTCTTCTGGGGGCTCATGGTATTCCAACCGGGTCAAATGGCCCGGATGTAGCACCGAACGAGAGCATGCTCGAGAGAGCCCATCGCCCAGCCGATGCCGGCAAGTACCCCGGCCGCGCTTCGCATGCTTCTACCTACGCCCCTTGCTGACCAGCGCGCCCATCAGGACACTTGCCCACCGAGGACCGAGGCCCCAAGTCGCCTGAGGACCCCTTCAAATCCCCCTACACATACACATGGCCGCAGGTGAGAAAAGAGATGGGGGTCGATGCGTACGACATCTTCAGCTCGCAGGACCACAACGGCCTACGCAAGATCGACGCGTTCGGCAAGGACCTGGGGTTGGGCCGGTTCTACGTGTTCGAGGCATTCAATGCCTACGACCAATCCAAGGACAGGCTCAAGTCGCGCGAGCTGTTCATGGGGGCCTGGGTGCACCTGTTCGGGCAGCAGCCGTCGGGGTTTCGGAGCGTCTACTGCTATGAAGTCGACAAAGCCGGTGGCCAGCTCAGCAATCAGATTGATAAGGCCTACGACAAGATGGGCAAGGACGCCAGCAAGAAGGGGACCTTGACGGTGAGGAAAGACGGTACCCTTGACGGTGAAAAGGACGCGTTCGAGGCTATCATGGAGGATAATGCGATCTCGGTGGGCATCAAGAATATGCTGGAGGAATATATGGATGACGATAGGAAGGTCGAGACCATCGTCATCAAGAACCATGGTGGCAAGCATCAATGGGACGTAGAATACCTGTTCTACTGAGCGGATCTTACACGGCAGTGCGGATAGATGAGAACATGACAGCCTCATAGCCGCGGTTCAATTCAGACCCAAGGTCGTTGGCCCACAGCTGAGCCGGAAGGGGTGAATGTCCTGTCAGTGCCTGCAACTCTTGGGTCGAGAGATATCGCAGATCAGTCGCAAACTGTACGTAACGCTTCTGTCGTTTCCGCCAGCGTCAACTCCATGACTGGGGCGCGGGTCTATATATCGCCCATTTTAGGTCCTGGAATAGGACAGTGCAAAGGCAGCCAGACATCCATTGCCCCCATCCACCAGGGCGAGTTTCGTGCCTGGCATGCGAGCGAGCTCCGAGGGCTTTTGGTTTGCCAGCTCGGGGGATGTAGTCGGAGCATGGGTTCCACGATTTCAGTAAGGAGGGTGCTCGACGCGCGGGAGATGGTACCATGGGTGAACACGGCCCTTCAGATCACCTGCTCGACCTCGTGTTCAAGCAGTACCGATATTGCGGCAAATATTGTCCCTAGCTTGGGAACAGCTCGTGCTGGCCTGTCGTACCAACGATCGAGTAGACTATGACCGATACGCTTGCTGTCTTGGGCTGTGCGTATCACCTCCTTGCTGTTGGTTGTCAGGTTTTATACTTGCGCGCGGACGGACTGAGGCTTGGAATCAGGAATATGCCATCTACCTCCGCTACAGCCTTCTTGAGCGAATTGATGCCCTCAAAGTATATTTGAATTAACTTTGCGTCCTGCTGAGCTGAGATAGACTTGGACATTTGTTTACCATGCAGACCAGCCTCGTCGCTCCGAAGGGACTAAAGACAACGCTTGACTCTTCAAATGATGTCGAGACTGGCGGGAGATGCTTCGATTACCTGACTGGAATGCGGATAGGTACATAATAAGAAGCAACTGACCGTGGTGACACAGACTTGCCAAAAACAACTATTTTTCTTGGCGCCTCGCTGTTAGGGCGTAACCTTTTTATCTGCAGTAAAGTAGGCACTTATTTCAGTAATTGACTATCTTTGCCAAGACTCAGCAAAATTTTCTCAGAAGCCGGATGGCACCCTTTCACGACAGGCCCCCAACTACGCCGATGGCCGTCCCAAAGACGACTACCAGCGGTGTACTCAAATCCCCGGTCCCTAAAAAGACATATGGCCCGGCAACTCCGAGCAGGCTCCGTCAGGCGCTGCTCAACGACATCAACAGCAGCCCGTTACAGGTCTCTGAGGCTGACTTCACCATTATTTCCCCTTTGAAAGGAAAATCCCGAAATATTAATAACAACAGCACCACCAGAATGGAACAATCTCAATTGAATGGAATCTCTGCAGACCAAGCCATTAGATGTGATATAGGGAACAAAGCCTCCTCTTCAGAATGCCAGGACCAAGTTGCCAAAATACTGGTTAAAGACAAACACCTTTATAAAGCCAGGATAACAATGTTCCATGAGTGTGCCGCAGCAGTTGACAAGACACTTGAGAAAGCCGGAACCGAACTATACTCTCATATCAAGGAGTTCAGCACTTTCTTCTCTAAATACCTGAACGAGTGGCTGGAAACCCGAGATTCGCCCATAAGAAAGACCAACCCTGGGGGGATAAGGATGGTAAAGTCCACCATGACTTTGGCCCAAGCTGTCTCCTCTAGCCAACGACAGCATCTACGGACAGTCAATACTTCCATAAAAAAAACACAACCTGGCGCCCTTATCGCTGCTAACCAACTAAAAAAGAAACAGGATGATCTCCGGATCTTTGTCCGCATAGATAATAGCCATTTAGAGCCTTATGGGATAAAGTCCATACTAAACATAAGACTTAAGCTCCACCCTCAAGAGCTTAGAGAAGTAACCCGGTGCCCCTCAGGATTTACCTTACACCTAAGGGACAAGCTAACTCAGGCTAAGCTTCTGGCATTCCAAGAAGAAATTGCTGACATTCTCAAGGCACAAAGATTGAGACTCATACAGTCTGGCATCACTACAAGGTCGATGGATACCCAAGGAAGGTCATCAGTACAGAAGGGTTTACAATCGATATTACTGACACTGCTGTTGCTGATGAAGTTAAAGCCCAAACAAGCAACAGACCTCTGAGGTGTATACTCTCAAGGAACACGATTGATTCTGATCCAGAGACCACGTGGGTGATCTCTCTGCCCCGAGCAGCAAAGAAACCATTCATGCTTTTTGCTCACTTAATGACCTCAAGGTATATTCAATATACTCCTAAGGTTCACCAGTGTACAAGCTGCTTTAGATACCATGATAAGAACTACCGACGTGAAAAGCAAGTATGTGCACGCTGCGCCAGCACAGTACAACAGGGGGAGTGCAAAAAAACAATCCCAAAATGTGTCAACTGCAAAGGACCTCATGCTGCCGACTTCGACAAATGCCCTACATGCCCCAAGGTCGTGAAAGGTATCATCCACAAGCACACATGGGAACAAATCCATGAAATAAGGCTAACCGGAGAAAGAGCCAGATCAAAGGCCTTCAATGAAACAGGCAGAAACCAAGCTGGGTCAACACCTAGTAACAATAACAAAGACACCACAATGCAAATCAATACAACAGATACAGCTCATCCCAGAGATGCCGACACCATTGTCGTCAGTCAATGCTAGATACATCAAATAAAACATATTGACACGGGTATCTAATCATCCATTCTGTGAATACAGCAGGAGGACAAAAGAGTGCAGGCCCTACAGAGTTAGCCGTTAATCTGGCTGACTACAAAAGAGAATAAGCAGACATCATTCTGATACAAGAGCTCTGGGTTGGCATACCACCAGGCAGGAGAATGAGAGTAAAGACACACCCCAATTACAATATATACTCCCCAGTGGATTCCTGGGACAGCGACAGTACACGGCCCAGATCTCTCATCTATGTGAGAAAACACCTTCAAGCGGATTAACTTCGGCCCTATGCTACACGAGACATCACCTGGGTCAAGGTACATGGCATTACATTTGCCAGTGTCTACCGGCCATGTGACAACTTACAGGAAATGGATGATATTCTGGAAGTATGGACTCCACCTTTTGGCTGTGTTATAGCTGGAGATTTTAATGCTGGCGACACATCCTGGGACTCGAGCAATCCAGGATATCACGGTGGCGTCATACTGGCACAGACTATGGCAGACCACGGACTGGATCTGATTTCTGAACCAGATGTCCCAACACATGACGATGGAAATGTACTGGATCTGGTGTTCTCAGATGTCCCATGGCTGAAGCCTCAGTCAATGATACACTTCAGTGCACCTCAGATCATAAGACATTACGAGTAGTCATTCTAATTCAGGGAGATCTAGACTGAGTCCCTAAGGCCAATCATTGGATAGTACCAGACAATAAACTACAAGAGCTGGCAGATAATGTACAAACCAGGATTCATAAACTCCCCCGGCTGGGTGTATCCCCTGGCCAGGTGGATGCCTTTATACAAAGCTTGATCAATATGATCCAAGGCTGTATCAGGACAGTGGGCAAGAAGCCCCGCCAATCTAGGCCCACTGCTTGGTGGAATGATGACTGCAAAGCAGCTATTCAGACATACAAGGCCCTTTCTAAACAGACTACAAGCCAAGAAGGGCGGAATTCTACCCGACAGGAATTTTGCCGCGTGGTTCGGAAAGCTAGGAGAGAGTACTGGCAGACTCTAATCAATTCAGCAACTGAGCCAAAAGACCTATACAGAACCGTCTCTTGGCACAAGCTATCAGCAGGATTGCGTTCCCCCCCAATCATCATAGGGGACCAAATCTTTGAGTCACAAGAGAGCAAGGCAAATGCACTACGCTTAGCCACGCTTGAACGAAGTAACATCTCACCCCCCCCCCTGCGGACCACCCCCCCACGGACCACTCCACACCACACCACTCTCATTCAGATGAAGCCATCTACAACCACCACAGTTGCTAAATACACTAAGGCCGTGGTGTTCTAACCATAATACAGCTCCCAGAATCCGATTCCGACCCTAAATCTTCACCAGGGACCTCTTGTGGGACCTTTTCGCCTGTAGCGGAGTCCCTATAGACCCTCCTGTTCCTCAGCTCCATTTTGGCCTCCCTTATGTTAGCCATTGTGACGAATCGTTCCCCTGGTGTTGGTTTGACTGTTTTTCGAGTGGTATTAGCCTTTTTAGCCACTTGAGCCTCAAGCAGCTCACATTTGGCCCGTAGATTTGCAATGGTAGCAGCCTGAACATCCATGGCCTTGCCAGCCTTCCGCACCAACAAGCGCTTAGAGGGCCCCCCAAAGGAAGGGTCCTTTTTTTTGAGTTTTTGAGCACTCTCCCGCAAAGCCCGGCTTCCAGAGGGTGTTGTGACAATGGTTTTAGCTATCATCTCGAGAAAATCTGGTGTTGTGGCTCGCTCGGAAGCCTTAGGGTCCTTCTGGCGTGCCCTGGCCACCCCCTTGTCCTCCAAAATCACATATTTCGACTTCAATGCCTCTGCTCTGTTGCGAGGAACAATCCCAGTCTTTTTCCAGGCAATTCTGATGTTAAGGAGCGTCATTATGTCCTTCCGGGCCTGCTCGTAGCACTCCAAAACCTCCTCCTTAGATGGCCTGAGTCCCAGACGGCCGCTGGGCGTCTCCTGGAGTAAGGTCTTCAACCTTTTCTTCATCAAATTGAAGACTCCCACATCTAACACCTGGACTACATGGGAGCAGTGAGGTTCATAAAAGATCAACCATACTTTGTTTCTCAAGCAGGTGGCTAGGAACTCGTCATTTGTGTGGGAGTCGTGGCCATCACACACCAAAACCACCCATGTGTTGCCGTGGACCTCCTGAATGTGAGGAATAAAGATACGTTGAAGCCATTCTAATACAATGGGATTCGAGGTCCATCCATTGGGCAACGTAATAAACCTCCAGTTAGTGAATTTGCCCTCATTTTGGTTGCTAAATCACTGGGCTTGTACGTTAACCCCCTTGAGAATCACCAGCGGCGGCAAGGTCTCACCAGATCCGCTCACACACTCTAGGGCAGTTATCCATTCACCCTTCTCGACCCCTTTCTTCATAGCCACGTTGCCGGAGGCCTCGGAGACCACCCAATGGGAGTCCCTAACCCCCTTGGCGATTCCCATTTCGTCGACGTTGTACCAGCGTGCTGGCATGAGGTTAACCACGTCAGGGGCGTCACACTGATCGAAAAAAATGTTGATATTTGCCGCTATAGCACCATTTACTCGGTTGTAGTCGATAATACGAGACTTCATTATCTTGACTTCCGGGTTTCGAGACAGGAACTTGGATGCCCAATTTTCCCCTAATTCTCGAGCATCCCCAGTGGCATGGAGCATCCGCTGGGCCATGAGACGGAACTTAGAGACCGCCGGAGAATACCCTAGCCGTGCTTGCCCCAGGGCCCAGCTTGCCAGCTTATGTTCGAGATACAATGAGAGAGCCTGTTGGAGAGCGCTGGTCTCATTCCGCATTGGGGTGCCAGAGATTCGTCGGTTGACGTACGAGCGACTGATTTGCCATTCGAGGGCTGACGAGCGGACTGGAGCTCCGCATTGGATGGCCAAAATGGCGGCTTCAGCTTTTATTTGACGGTCGTAAAATGATATCATGAGATTTAGCAGTGGATAAGGATTCAAATAGTGTGCTTTGTGAAAAAAAAGATGCAAAAGTGATGGTGTAGATGGTGGATCACCATAATCCTGGTGCTTGGTGAATTACGCGTTTGTGGGTCAGAACGCGCTGGTCCGCGGGGGGGTGGTCCGCAGGGGGGTGGGAGATGTTACCCCAGACAACGATATCATCGACCCCTGGTCTGCTCAGATCACACAAGCCAAGCCACACATCCCCCTTGAATACCATGTCGGACTAGAAGAGGCTGAAGGGTGCACTATAGGGACCAAGAGCAACTCCCCAGGAGTAGACACCCTCACAGTACGGATTCTGAAAGCTTGCTGGCCAGTCATTGGAGAGCATATCAGAGCCCTTTTCCAGACCTGTCTACAGATTGGACACTACCCTAAACCATTCAAAATAGCTGAGGTGGTGATGATCCCAAAGCCAGGCAAGAAAGACTACTCTAACCCCAGGGCCTACAGACCAATATCGCTATTATCATGTCTTGGCAAAGGCCTAGAATGACTCATTACAAAAAGAATTGCCTGGTTTGTCATCAAACTCGGAATTCTAGCTCCACAACATTTTAGAGCTCTGCCAAAGCGCTCTGCCGCCGACTTGGTAGCTGCACTCATACACGATATTGAGCAGGCCTTTGACCAAGACCTTGTTGCAACGGTAGTCACAGCAGATGTGACAGGGGCCTTCGACGCTGCCCTAATGAGACGGCTAGTGGTTCGCATGAGAGAACAGGGCTGGCCAGACTTTCTCATAAGATGGGTCCAGTCATTCATGTCTGAACGGTCCGCAAGAGTTCGGTTTGAAGGTATTGTGACTGACATAAAAGCTCTCACTTGTGGGCTACCACAAGGCTCACCAGCTTCTCTAATCCTTTATATGCTGTATACAGAGCCAATCTGTGCCCGACTCGGTATGAAAAAGAGACATTTTGGATATGCAGACGACCTAGCGACTCTCTGTATTGGAAAAAACCTTAAAGAAACAGCCAAAAAGGCTTCTGAAAATCTTTACCTGCTTAATTAATAGGGACATAACAATGCTATTGAATTTGACCCTGACAAAACTGAGATCATATATTTCTCAAGGAAAAAGAACTCAAATAACCCTCCAGTCTGCCACGGGACAATGAACAAAACAGCAAAGGACTCCATGCGATGGCTGGGTGTCTTCCTGGATAGAAAACTAAACTTCAAAGATCACGTTTCCTACTGGGCCAAGAAAGCTAATAAGGTAGCAAATCACCTTCAAGGACTATGCAATACAGCCAAAGGACTTCCGGTAAAGTCAACCAAGAGGGCTGTGAAAGCCTGTGTTATTCCTGTTCTTACACACGGCCTGGAGGCCTGGTACCCAGGAATCGAGAAAGTTGGGAGCTTAGGTGGGACATCAGCATGTCGTATTAAGGGGCTTCTTGGAACAATAGATGCCGTACTACAAACGGCAATCAGGGCTATCTTGCCAGTCTAAAAAACACACCCTGGACATATCCTACACTTTGAATCACAGATTCCTCCAGCACGAATTCTTGCAGAGTCAATAAGAAGACGTCACGGCCTCCGACTCGGACAAGTAGACCAGAGACACCCTCTTGTTGGCAGGCTCCAAATACAAGCTCGCAAAGAACCAACAAGGCTACAAAGGAGCTTCCAACTAATCCCTGACTTCTGGAGACCAACACTTACTAGGCCATCATAAAAAAATCCCCCAATCCATAAAGACAAAGACAAAAAAATAGAGCTCTTTAAGCAATAGCTACAGGAGAGAAACGTGAACACTGACCTTGTCATCTATTCAGATGGATCACAATTGGATGACCAAGGCACAACCCGCACTGGATGGGGTTATACCATCAGGAAAGGCGGCACTACACAAGAAGTATACCGGGAAAAGGGCAGACTTTTCCAAACAGAAATAATAGATGCTGAAGTTCATAGTGCTCTCCAAGGTCTTGCAGCAGCCAGGGCAATTGGACACGGAAAACAGCTATATGTCTGCCTGGACAACACGTCAGTGGTAGATGGGCTCAATGGGACTCCACCCGGGACATCACAGAACATTTTTCTATGATTTCAAGAACTTGCCATAGCACACACTCCTGGAGGGACCGTCAAGTGGATTCCTAGACACAGAGATATTGATGGTAACGAAGTTGCCAACACATTAACAAAAGAGGGTGCCATGCTAGAAACAGACACGACAAATCTTCCTATAATCTCTTGGGTCAAGAGAGATCTTAAAAAAAAGGGCAAGAAAGAGTTTAACCAATAATAAAAAGACCAATCAGAACCTAAATATCAAGAAGTATACTTATATACAGTAACTAAAAAAGACCTTATATCTTTTAAGAGAAATACTTTATACAGACTTTTAGCGGCCAGATCTGGACATAGCGACTTTGCCAGATACTATAAACGCTTTGGGCATACAGACTCGAATGATCACTGCAACTATGGTGGAAAAAAAACACCACAACACATTTTCTTTTGTAAGAGGCTGGGGAAAAACTGGCTACTGCCTAGGTACTCGCCTAGGACAGCTTGTTTACAATACTTAAAGGAGAGGAGCACAGAATGGGCAAAATTCGTGGAGAAGAACAAGTTCTTTTCAACAATCTGCCCCCAATAGATAGCTGTTCTTAAAGGACCAGATGGATGACCCCAAGGTCATACCGCCGCAACAACGGGGATGGGCCCGTGAGTGGGACTGACTGTACTTATTATCTTGAGACCTCCACAACCCTGCGATACAGAGGCTCTGGGAGGCGTGGTTTGCACTACTGAGGAGCTACCCCCCACGTTAAATACAAAACAAACAAACAAACAAAACAACTGACCGTGACGAGACACACACGTGGGCGTCTCCCGGTGATAAGGGTGTTTTCTGGTGGACGCACGAACTGCGTCGCAAGGTTTCGACATGGAGGTTGATACAAAGGGGGCCAACTCAGGGGTTTGGGTTGAGGGGATGGATTGGATACCTATAAAAACGCCAAGACCTCGCAGGGCTTATCAACAGTGACGTCGCGCTGATAAGGACCCCAGCTACGGGGCCTTCACCTTCAACCTTGGATTCCTTTCATCAAATCATCCCACCCGAGAAGGCATCGAACCCAACCAACCGGCACCTACTAACCCCCAAGACTCAACACTGTACAGTCGAACGTCAAAATTGTCCCGCCTTCGAGCTAACGAGCACTCCTCCTGTTGACTATCACTGAGCTGTCGGCTTCACATGCGCTGCCAGCTTGAAACAACCTGGCTCATTATACGGGTATATATTTCGATCGACTTAGTGCGACACTGACCTCCACCCATCATCATGAGCGAACTACTCGCCTACCTCGTGGAAAATGATAAGAATTTTCGAAAGTATGCATTCACGCAGCACGGTTGCGCCAGGGACCATGCCATTCACCCCTAGCTGCCACATAGTCACTGACAACTCAACCACAGAGCCCGTCTGCCAGCCCTCTACTCCGACTTCCGCCCGCAACGAACCCTGAACCCCGATGGCTTCGCCGCCAACGTCGCCGCCTGGAAGCGCGGGCTCTCCCACGCAGCCATAGCGGGCCACGCGCCCTCCAAGTCGCCGACCCGAAACCACATGATCCTCGAGCTCGACGACTCGCTCCTTCGCGCCCTCGAGAGCAAGCAGTACGGCCCTCCCCTCGCACTGGGCACCGTTTTGCAGGAGGCGCTCGCGGCGGGCGAGCTGATGCCCCTACATCAGTTCTTGACGGCAAAACAGAGCATATACTACAAGTCGTGGGCACATGTACCGCTGACGGTGCTGGGCTGGGGACTGCGGCAGGTGGGAATAGTGGGTGGTCCCGGTGACGCCATGCCCAAGGGCCAGTTCGTTGTGCTGGCGAACCTGGAGGATGTAGCAAAGATTTTCGCAGATGCTGCGGCCGATCGGGCGTCGCCGTTCGAGCGCACATTCTCCAAGGAACATTTCCGAAGAACGTTCGAGGCGAGTTTGCTAGAAGGACGAAGGCTGTCCGAGGCGGACTTTGAGGTGCTTGTCAAGTTCCTCTCACGGGACAAGGAAGTGCTGGCTACGGAGGGGACTACGATCAAGATACGGAATTCGGCAGAGACGGAGGGCGCCACGATCTCGGAGGAGGACTCGGCGATCGCGTCGTTGAAGGAGCTGATGGAAGACCTGACGCACCAGACGGAAGTACTGAGCCGGCGGATCGACGAGCTGAGCATCGCAGCCCAGGACGCCGTGCGTAGGAAGAACCGCGTGTCCGCGCTGGCGGCGCTCAAGTCCAAGAAACTGGCCGAGTCGAACCTCGCAACCCGCCACGCCACGCTCAACCAGCTGGAAGAGGTGGCGGCCAAGATCGAGCAGGCGGCCGACAACGTGCAGCTCGTGCGCGTGATGCAGTCGAGCACGGCGGCGCTGCGGAACCTCAATGCGCAGGTGGGCGGGGCCGACAAGGTCGACGCCGTGCTGGACAGCCTGCGCGAGCAGATGGGCGAGGTGGACGAGGTAGGCAACATCATCGCCGAGGCGGGACCGTCGGACGCGATGGACGAGACGGAGGTCGACGACGAGTTCGAGGCTATGCTCGCCGAGGAGCGGAAGAAGGACGAGGAAGCAGAGCGGATCAAGCGCGAGGCGCAGCAGGAGCAGGAGGCAGAGGAGACCAGACGGAAGTTGGCCGAGCTGGAGAAGCTGGCTCCGGTGCCTGTACAGGGTCAGGGTCAGGGGCAGGGGCGGGAACGGGAACGGGAGACGAGACCAGATACGCCCGTTACGGCGACGGCGAGTGGGCTGGAAGAGATGCATATAGACACGACGGCAGATGGTGCAGAGAAGACGCAGGCAGACCAGGTAGCGGCGGAATAGGACGCTCTCTGCATTTGAATTTGCTTAGAGCGGCAGATAGCGCCATCTCAGGAGATCACTGTCGTCCCCGGTCCTAAATCTACCGCCTCGTTCTCTCCATTTGACTGTTTGTGCGGTGGCGTCAAAGCCATCCCCCCCGTCAAATCTATAAACCCAGGTCCCGGAGTTGCGGACTGCGGCAACTCTGTTGTCTTATCTGTCACCATCCCCACGCCCATGCCTGGCTTATCTGTTTCCGTCTCTTCCTTTCCCTCATCACCGGGATTATTAGATTGTTGCTGCTGAGCAGCTTGCACCCGATTCCTCCTCGCGCTCGCGATCAGATCCCTGAACGAGGTATCGTGCTTGGCGGCCCACGCGGCGCCGTCGAAGTCCTTGTCCTTGATCTGGGCGCCCAGGTGCAGCGACCGCGAGCTCGTCGGCGCACGCGTGCCCAGCGTGCGCTCCCACACGTCCAGGTCGTGTAGTAGTTCTGCCTTGCGCCGCGGCCGCAGCGAGTCGCAGTTGGCGTTCCAGATGGTCATCCACTCCTTGTGCCGCTTCTCGAGCATTGGGCGTGAGCCGGTGGTGGCGATGCCGAGGTCGCGCATGCGGTTGCGCAGTTGTTGTTCTTTTAGCATGCTGTAGTTTAGCGCGGGGAGGCGCTCTGGGGGCGGTTTTGAGGTCGAGGGTTGGGGCAAGGAGACGGTTCGTGTGCCGCCTGTCGATGTTAATGTCGTCGCGCGGGAGCTGTGGTGTCGCGAGGGCTGGGGTGGTGGTGGGCGCGGCTGTGGTTCTCCGGGACAAGACGTGTCGAGGTGCTTGTCTACTAGCAGTGGCCGCATGCGCTGCCAGCATATGGGACAGGCGACCAGGCCGTCGTCGGGTTCGTATAGTGTTGGTTCGGAGTCCGGTATGTGGGACTCCTGACGGGCCATCTCGGCCTTCGCTTCCAGGCCCCTCGACTTGCTCAGCCGGGTTGAAGACCGGAGTCGCTTGCTGGAGGGCTGACTGCTGCTGGCCTGCTGCTCATCCTCGATGTCGTCTACCTTCCTCTTGGGTGTTTCCGAGTCTGTGGACGCGGGTGGTCTCGTCGTCGCGAAGTCGAGAACGATGGGGCGGGCCTGGGTGAATGCCGCGACGACCTCTTCCATGGACCAGTTGCTTCGCAGCTTGAACTCCTGCTGGGAGGCGCGACAGAGGGGGCATTTGCTGTCGCTGGAGAGGACGCGCCGGATGCATATCGAGCAGAAGGTGTGGTTGCACGAGGTCAGCATGGGCGTCTTGTAGAAGTCCTTGCAGACCTGGCAGCGCAGCGCGGCCTCGACGGCTGCGAGGCCCGAGAGCGGCGTTGGGAGCCAGTCGGTCGAGTCCGCGACGTTGTCGAAGGGCTCGACGGCTGGGGTTGGGTTGTTCATCTGGATGGTTTGCGCGAGCTCTGGCTCGAGATCGGGTGTAGGTAAATAGGTGGGAGTTTGCTTGATGTAGGTTTGCCCCCAATCTGCATCGACGGCATGTAATCTTTAGTTTAGCCTCACAGCACAGCGCTTCTTTGTCAGCCTTGAGACAAGGAAGAATATGCTCCGATGAGATGGGTCGTTGATCATTGACGACATGCACGCTTTCGCATACTATGTAGTGAGACGCGCTTGCCAATTAAAAGTCCAAAGCGCCCCTGCCACGCCTGCCACTGCCCGCTGGCCGGGCCCCACCACTGACACTACCACTTAACGCGTCGTTGGAACGCGTTGCTCCAAGCCCTTCGCAGACCGACCTCTTTTACACCACTACCTCATATCAAGCTGCCCTGGTGACTGACCGCTGCGTCTGTGAAGACGCACTCGTTCTTATCGGATCCCTAGTTTGAGAATTGGCCTGGTGTATTGGTTTGAGCAATCATGGAAGACTACCGGCAATATCTGGCTCAGAAGATCCTGACCGAGGATCAAGTCGTGAGCTCTCCCCCCTTAGCAAGTCTCACGGAACATCGTGCTAACAGGTCCTCCCAGGTCACATACCGACTGTTGAGTCGTGCTTTGAAGGTCCACGTCAACACCGCAAAGGAGTACGTCTCAAGTTTGATAGGACCCTATTTGGCCGCAAATGCTCACACGAGTCTAGAATGCTCTATGAGTTCCACAAGTGGCAAAATGACAAGCGACCAGGGACGCTCCATGCCACCTATCTGGTGTACGGTACCAAGTTAAAGGTCGAGCAGCAGGATGGAGATGTCGAGATGACCGACTCGCAAACGTCCGAGGACGTCCATGTCCCCTTCTCGGATGAGGTGCCCACACACACGCTCTCTCTTGTCAAGGAGGGGGAACTTCAAGGTCAGCTTGGGTGCTTGCAATTTATTGATTCCCGTGGCTAATCGTCATACAGAGGCATTGGCACTGTACGTTGAGGTCACGTCGATACATGTCTACAGCCTAGCACCACACCCACTCAAGGACCTTCAACTCCTAGCCGACACTGCGAGGCAGGTACTTGAGCTATCGTCTGGGGAAGATGCCAAGGTCTTTGGCGCAATTGCCAACCCGAACGTTCGCAAAAGAGAGCGCCGTGCTGGGTCCAAACCTGCTGCAAGTGCATCTGCCCCCAAGGCCGAGCCCAAACCGCCGATCAAGAAAGAAGTAAAGCCTACTCCAACACCTGATGTGAAGGAAGAAACGAAAGCAGCAACGCCGAAGGGTCCCAGGGAAATGTCGGCGTCTGCGTCTGCACCTGCTAAGAAACCTGCGAACGCTGCTACGCTGAAGCGACAAGGATCATCAAACATTGGACAGATGTTTGCCAAAGCCGCAGCAAACCCCAAACCCAAGAAGCCAGCGGCTAAAGTCCCCGTCTCCAAGTCAGCAGCAACATCCACGCCAGCCAGCGGTGCCGAAGACACTGCCATGTCTGATGATGGCGAGGATGATGCGGAACCGGTGGCAGACGTCAAACAAGAAGAGAGTGGCGTCCGGCAGGCACGAAAGAATCGCCAAGCCGAGCTACAGCGCATGATGGAGGAGAGCGACGATGACGAGCCCGAGAAGGCAGACAGTCTGGCCGAGGAATCCATGGAGGACGAACCGCCCGCGCCGGAGCCAGAGACGAAAACAGAGGAGCCTGCCGAGGTCGTCTCGAGCGCGAGTGGCGGTCGGCGCAGGGGCCGACGTCGCGTCACCCGAAAAAAGCAGATCTTGGACGAGCAGGGCTATCTCGTGACGATCCAGGAGCCGGGCTGGGAGTCGTTCTCGGAGGACGAGGCGCCTCCGCCGCCGAAACCGAAGGCTCAGCCTGTCAAGACGGAGCCGGCTGCGAAGCCCAAGAAGGGGGCGGCCAAGGGCCAGGGAAACATCATGTCCTTCTTTTCGAAGAAATAGGGCGTCCTGCACCGTTCGTAGGAAGTGGCACTGAATGTGATATATATGTAGCTAGCAGAAGTGCAATTGCTCAATCAACAGACTCAGGAGTCGACGGGCTGGGCCTCTGGCCTCTCGTTCCGCAACTGGTCAAACATCTCGCATCGTACACGGCCATGTAAAAATCCAGACATTCTACGAAGAGTTGAACACGGACATGGACCGAGTCCTTGTGAACCTACCGACCTGGGCAAGAATTTTTCACTGCCAGGCTGGCAGACTACTGCGACGACGATGTTCATGAAACAGACAGAAATCTAGATCAGCGAGGGTTAATTCACACAATCCGCCAGCTCGGTGATACGACAGTAACAAACGTCGTTCATCGGCCCCGAATGCGCTCGGGGATCGTCAGGTACCAAAAAGAACGCAAAAACTAAGACAGACGGACAAATCCCAAGTCCGTCTGGTTCGGCCCCAAGGTAAGGCTCGGACTCGGACTCGGACTCGGACTCGGAGACTCCCCCGAGCGCTGTCTTTTGCTCAGAGGATCAGAGGATCCACCCCTTCTCGCGGAGGATTTTTGTGCAGAAATGGAAGCTGGCAGCTCACGCGATCGCTCCATAACTTTATGAAGCCTTATTAGCAGGTCTCCACAGGCATTACCGTAACGCGTGTAAGTTCCACATGTTTGGGGGGTAAATTTAAGGAGACTATAAATCAACTGACCACTTAAATTCCTAAAAGGGTAATAAGGTCAAAGCGCCTACTACTAAGGCTTAAAAAGGCTTAAACAATCTTAATTATAACGCTTTTTAAGATTTAAATACCTTATAATCTTCTATATCACATATTATAAAACTGTTAATAACGTTATATTATGATTAAATGCGTTATGTTATTAATAAGTGCGTTATGATACCTTGATAAGTATTAACTGAAGTAAAAGTAAGTACTTATAAATTAAATAAATAAATATACTTTAAAATTGTTAGATGGAGTGGTGCAAGTGGTGTGACTGCAGATGGTCTGTATGCGGATCAGGTGGATTTGGGGTGGTCCTAGCGCTATGAAAATGGTCGATTAGTGTTGAATACACGGATGTTGATTGATTCTATTGATTGTTTTGCTCTGCGTGCAGAGATTGATCATCTGTCTTCTTGGTGGGTCAGATGCCCTGTGCGTCTCTGCCCCACTGGAGATCTTCCGGTGTCTATCTCCGGCTCTCATTCAACAATTAGCGACCGTTGCCCCACAGCTCTAGCGCTACGCTAGCTGGACGCGTTGCAACTATACTTAAGTGTAAATATGTCTGCAATAGGTAGTTACGGAACCACGAATAAACGTACCACCAATACTTCTGCATACGAATTCTCACAAGAATAAGTACAAGTTAAATATATTAAAAATTATTACGGTTATAAAATACTTATAACGTAACTGACAAGCGGGTTGACATTACAAGCGAGTTGGCACTCGTCATGAACTTTCCAACCAATACGATTCAAACCATCATATCTCCACCAACAACAATGGCACCGCGTTATAACGAATCAGACTTGCAGCTAGCTGTTCAAGCTAAACGACGTGACTCTCATATTCCTATATTTCAGCTTGCGAAACTCTTCAACGTCCCTCGTTTCACTTTGAGCAATAGAGTCAAAGGAATGCCATCACGACGCGACAGCATGCCCAATACTTTGAAACTTATGGTTTCCGAAGAGAATGCCATTTGTTCCTTCATTCTCGACCTGGATGCGCGAGCATTTCCGCCCCGGTACAGTTATGTTGAAGATATGGCGAATCAATTGTTGGCGGCGCAGGGGCTGGACGCGTTGGAAAGAACTGGACGCGGAACTTCATTAAACGTACACCAGGCCTCCGGACGCGTTTTTATCGGGAGATAGACTACCAGAGGGTCTTGAACGAGGATCCAGACGCGTATCGCGCGTGGTTTTGCCAAGTTGCAGCAGCAGTCGCGAAACATGGTATCCAAGACGCAGATATTTATAACTTTGACGAGACTGGGTTTATGATGGGCATTATTGGGTCCGGCATGGTCGTTACAAGCGCCGAAAGACGTGGCAGGCCTAGACAAGCTCAGTAAGGCAACAGGGAATGGTCTACAGCAATCTCTGCTGTTAATGCTGATGGTTGGGTGGTCCCGCTGTTCATCATTCTACAGGGCAAAACCCACCTCGCGTCATGGTATTGCGACACAATATTACCACGCGATTGGAAGGTGGCCGTGTCCGACAACGGGTGGACCACGAATGAGATTGGTTTGGAATGGATTCAGCATTTCGACAAGTATACCAGACCGCGTATGACTGCCGGTAAACGCCTCCTCATCCTAGATGGTCACGAAAGCCACCATTCCTAGGTCTTTGAGGATTATTGTTAGAACAACGGCATTATCACCCTTTGTATGCCTGCCCACTCGTCACACAGGCTCCAGCCTCTAGATGTCAGCTGTTTTAGCCCGCTCAAACAAGCTTACGGTCGCATGATTGAGGATCTCATCCGGCGTCATATAACCCACGTTTCGAAGGAGGACTTCCTTACAGCGTTTTGTGAAGCACACAACGCTGCTATGACGCCAGGAAACATTCGAGCAGGTTTCAGTGCCACTGGGCTTGTTTCTTTTGACCCAGAAAGTGTCATTTCAAAGCTGGATGCTGTCGCTGTCATACGAACACCGTCGCCAGACCCCAATCTGCCACCCACTACTTGGACTTTGAAGACGCCTACCACCATTAATAAAGCGGTAAACCAATCAGTTTATATCCGAAACCGAGTCAGAAACCACCAGGGAAGCTCACCTACATCAATAGTTGATGCGTTGAGCTCGTTTTCAAAGGCTACATACGGTCTTATGCATAAGGTCGCTTTGGTTGATTCCCGGGTCCGCGAATTAGAAGAGGCCAATCACCTACTAAGTAAACACCGGAGAACAAAAAACAAACGTCTAGTGAAAGGAGGAGTACTTTCCGTTGAAGATATAGTAGATCTTCAGGCTGCAAAGGATGGTACTGAGCTGGCAAAACAGGAAATGGGTGAAGATAGTCGTCGTCTGAGGCGGGCGGTAGCGCATGGGCGACGGTATGGCGTTTGTGGCAATACTGGCCATAATGCGCGAACTTGTACAATAGAGATAGAAACCTCTGAGGAAGAGGAATCCGATTGATTGAATTGAACTGAATGCGTTGTGGTAAAGTTATTTGACATGGCAGTTGGAGAGTTCATGACGAGTGCCAACTCGCTTGTAATGTCAACTCGCTTGTCAGCTACGTTATATAACTTTTACAAAGTAAAATAATTAAAAAGCATAAATATATATCTTTTTATTTTGTACTATTGAATCTTATTAATAATTACTTAATAATTACTTAATAAGTATATAACTAGGTTTTGCTGCGTAAAATACTAATATAACTATATATAAGCTTAAAGTTAAATTAATAAAAATACCTTTGAATACGTATACGTTAAATATAATTGTAAGTATTATTATTACGTAACTTTAGTAATTACTACTATATAGCTAGTTTAATTAAACTTAAAGTTAAAAGCACTTACTACTTATTACCTTGTTAATAATTTAAGTAGTTAAATAATTCATATTTATACTTTAAGAGGTTCTTTATAATCGTATAATGCGCTGTCGTTCTTAAAGTCTACTGAAATGCTTACCAGATATAGGATCTTGGAGGAATATTAAACGACTCGATCAGATTTATAAATCTAGACTTGCTAAATGTATCTCCCTGACTGCCGGTGCGCACTAGCTTAACAAAATCTAAGTACAGTACTTTTAGGTCTTGCTGCGCCTCATAAGATCTGTTAAAGCCATACATATTCACTAATCCAAGCTCCGTATGGTAACGTTATACCTCTCATAATTGGTGTAGATCACTAGAGAAGGCCCATATGGTATGGCTAGGGTGCATCTCCCACCGTACTCTACAAACTGGTGCGCACCGGCAGTCAAGGAGATATCTGTCTTTTTCCGATTCTGCGCATGTCGCTTGTAGTTACATAGCTGGCGCGTGTGATACTGTGAGACCCTGAGGGCAAGGGCTTCGCGGCAGAGCAGGACCCTTGTGAGGGGAGGTGGAGGTTTTCTGCTTTTTTCTGATACGATATGAATTTCACCAAGATTGCCATCATCTTGGGGTGCCAGGGTGTTTGATTTCACCAGTGGGTTCGTTGTTCTTTTTTTGCTATTGTCCAGACTCAATATGGGAATGGGGACTTTACTCGAAAAAAGGAAGCAACCGGATAGGTACGGCATCGAGCTGGATCCCATCACAGCTTCGGGGTGGTGGTGGTTTTCTCGATGCTCGATGGGAAATGGGAAAGTAGAGGCCCATGACGATGCACGTGTCAACTCGGCTGCTTGGGTGCCATCAAAAGCTTCCCGGTAAGCCGGTCTGCTGGGATTTGGGTTCCGGCTTCACCCACTGTCAGATCTTGGGACGCCGTGCTGTTGGTCTGCCCTGTCCTTGAGTCCTTTTCCGGCCTTGCGCAGGACGCGCGTGGTCTTGCTGCCTCCGGTTCTTTCTCGAGCCATGTCACCCAGATCCCCATCATCCGAAGCTGCCGCTGACAACCGGGGCTGTCGCTCGCCTGTCACAATTGTCAATCACTGATCATCGGGCAGCAGGGCTACAGCTGTTTCCAAGACTCCAGGACTCCAGGCAGGAGAAATGGCTTCGTCGTGGAATTCCTGACGATCTGGCCCGAGTCGATTATTTTAGAGCGAGGCAGTGGGCTGCGTTACGTCGGGTTCCTGGAGCTTGACAGCCCTGACTCGCTAACGGCTTGTCGATGACGGGTAGACGGCGTTGGATGGCGTTCGAACTGATTCCCTTTGGATGGTACGTGCATGTACGCACTTATTATTCCCGCAGATATCGTGACACGTCGACTTCTCATCTGCTTACTCTGACAATGTGGTGTTTACATGTAGCCAACCATGCGTTACCAAGAATGGTGGGAAAAAGATGCTTGCTGCAGGCTGAGGGTCACATTCAGCTGATTGCCGATCATGATCGTGAGTCACAACATGCACGCAGTCCTGGCAAATGCATGCAGCCCCTGAACCCTGGCTGGCGATACCCTTGGCCCGCTTGGGTCGCAAACGCTACGAAGACTCCCGGATCCTCCTGTCCTGCTCCCCGTCTCGCCCGTCATGCGCCGTCCTGGTTGGAAGACGGTGGAATTGGATCACTGGCCACAGCCAGCTCCCGACGCTGTCTAGCGGGTTTCTAGTGCCTGTAGTGTTCCGGCTCGTGTTTTAGGGCAGTACGCAGTGGGTATCTCGGGCTTAAGCCACTGCCAGAGCTCCGCTGAGGCGGGGTCTTTCCCCCTTTAAGGGTTGGCTTGGTAATGCGACACGGACCGTAGAGCTCGAAAAGTTAGAGGAGCTTGTGCCCGTCACAGTTTGCCCCGTCGCCCGCGAACCTCCATCATTGATATTACTCACAACCACCACCATCGTTTACGAAGATACCTTCTTTCCTGTCTTCTTCTCTCCTTCAAGTCTACCAACCCAACCAACCGAATACCCCTTCCTAATATAGCGCGTTCGTTTGACGGCCACATTGCTGTCAAATGAACCTGCATCGACCACTCCTTCCTTTCCTCCATGTGAGTGTCATCGTCATTGTCACCACTTAACCTTTGTCTCCCTTTCCGTGTTGCGCGCCACCACCTCTACCGTGAAGAGCGAAACATAAATGCGACCAGACGCGAAAACAATGCTGCTTCGTGTCGTCGCCCATAGCAGTAAAACGAATCAATGCTAATCAAAGCTCGTCTCTGCGCATTATAGTCTCCCTCCCCTCCTGGTGTCCTCTAAATGCCATCCATTTATTCCTCCGTCTACCAGAATTTCATCCGTCAAGGATTCGCAAAATCATTCACCCACGGTTATGCGCAATCTGTCGTAGCTGCCACACATCCTCATGTTCTAAACTCACAGAACCGTCCGTCCTTTGGGAGACGTAACAGTCAGCGGGTCGGACGTCTCTCCAGTCTTCAGCTCCAGAATGCCTTCCACGCGGCCTCGACCAGCGCCAACGCGCAACAAGCGGATCGCCACAATGGCAACCTCGATGCCTACTTTGAGGCCCTGAAGACGAAACAGGATGCCGGTGAGGTCGAGAAAGAATGGACGCAGTTTCAGTTCCCGCAACCCATAGAATGGAAGCCGAACGCCTCGTCCATCCTCGAAGGCCCCGAGGCCGAAGCTCAGGAGGCCGCGGCCGCCGAATATGCTGGCGCTCCGGGATTAATATCCGAGGACGCGCCAGTCCCGGTCGACGTGGACGCAGCGCTAGCACACATTGATGCCGCTATCGAGAAAGAGATCGAGGTTCGCGAGCTTAGGGAGGCGTTGGAAGAGAGCACGAACAACTGTCTACGAGCGTCATCTCCCGCAGCCAGTGGGCTTCAGTCTCGATCTTTGACTCCCGCCATTGAGAGGTCTGCCACTCCTGCCAGCATCGCCCGTACCGCCACCCCGCCGATTGATCCCTTGTCTCAAACCTACGCGGAACATCTCACCAAGCTTTCTGAGGATGGCCGATACGCTGAGATACCAGCCGTCTTTGAGGGCATGCTTATCGCCAACATCAAGCCCATTGCTACAGCCTACAATGCCTTGCTGCTCGCCGCCATTCGCATCCCCACCGAGAAGATCGAGATCGTCTCTAAGGCACTGGATGTCTATGCCGATATGATGCGACGGAAGGTCACGCCTGATAGTGACACGTACAACATCCTTATTGGTCTCCTCGCTGCCCGATGCCTCGAGGTTTCCAGTCTGAAGACGGAATTGGAAGATAAGCGTGTCCGCTTCGGCGGGATGGATGCGCCGGGCAAGTTCATGTTTGCCTCCAGCGAGTTGGAACACGCCATCTTGTCTGAGGATGACAGACTCGACCTGGCCATGAAGATGTTCCAGTCCTCCGTTACGACACACCGGGCAAACTACTCGTCGGAAACCTACCATCAGCTCATCTCAGCATGTGCTCAAGCTGGCCGTGTCGCTGACATGCTTCACCTGTTCGAGCACATGGAGATGAGTGGCTCCGTTCCCTTTGCCGCCACCTTCCCATCCATGATCTCCGCGTTTGCCAACACCGGTGACTTAGCCAGCGCTGTAGAGTGCTACAACGAGTACAAGGAGTTGGCCGTGGCTCATGACAACGGCAAGTACACGCTGAGCGACCGCTTAGACTCGCAAGTCTATGCCGCCGTAATCAACGCCTATGTCATCAATGATAAACTTGAGGGGGCGATGAAGTTCTACGAGAAGCTGGTAACATCATATGGGGTTCGAGCTAGTGAAATCCAGGACGCTATCGTTGTCGGTGGTTTCGTTCGGGGTCTCACCTCTAGAGGCATCTACCAAGAAGCCCTTCAGTGGGCCCTCAATGTCGAGAGCCAGGCTCGCCTCGGCTCTATGGCAGACGTTGCTTCAGCAGCGGCTGACGCCGGTGATAGACACGCCGCCGTCGCCGCGTTTTCGAACATTCCCACCGTTTACCAAGGCATTACCACTCCGGCTATGGCCTTGTTAGCACTCTGCATACGGGACGGCGATGTTGCGGGGGCCTCCCGGTTCTGGCAAATCCTGGCCAATCCTGAGCTGGCTGTGGACGCTTCTTTCATTGAGGCGACTGCCATGTACGCTGTAGCCATGATTGGGTCTGGTCAGGTTGCCGAAGGATTGGCGGAATCTGAGCTCATGTTCCAGCGGTTACGAGAATCTACGGACGGGGCCGCCTTGGCTGATGAGATCGATGAGGGTGTCGACCTTGTATCAACGTTCATGTCTACTCGTGGCATTGCCGATCCTCGCGAGATTGCATCTCAGGCAAGCTATGCCCCGACGCAGGTGTTTTCAGCCTCTCCTCACCCATCGACTCCGACCGTATCGAGCTATGAGGACAACTTCGACCCTTACGGCCCCAGTACCGATTTCAAGGGCTCGTCGATCATCTCGGACGAATTGGAGGGTGCACATGGCCGCAAGGGACCCAGACTTCATGAGGCACTCACTCGATTCCGCAACATGAGACGCGCAGGTCGCCACCCCAGATATATCACATACTCCAAGATGATCTCGGCCGCGGCACGTGAGGGTAAGATGGATCTCTGTCACGAAATCCTCGCCACGGCGCGAACCGACGTTCCCCTCCTGCCCCAGTACTCGGTCGTTCGATATGGTTGGTCATCCATCCTCGATGCCATGGTTGGCGCATCCTTGACCCTCGGCGACCGCGTTTTGGCTGAGCAGTACCACCTCGAGCTCTCGGAAATGGGAGCTGCTCCTTCGGCGAACACCTTCGGTCTATACATCACCACCCTCAAGGAGTCGACCAAGACCTTCGACGAAGCATCAGAGGCAGTCAAGATCTTTCACCGTGCCAAGGCCGAGGGGGTCGAGCCTTCTTCTTTCTTGTACAATGCCCTCATCGGCAAGCTCGGCAAGGCCCGTCGTATTGATGACTGCTTATTCTACTTCGCGGAAATGCGTGCCCTCGGTATCAAGCCCACCAGTGTTACCTACGGAACGATCGTCAACGCCTTGTGCCGTGTGAGCGATGAGAAGTTTGCCGAAGAGCTGTTCGACGAGATGGAGACCATGCCCAACTACAAGGCTCGCCCTGCTCCGTACAACAGCATGATGCAATTCTTCCTGACCACCAAACGCGACAAGAGCAAGGTACTCGCCTACTACGAACGCATGCAGGCCAAGAACATCGCGCCTACGGCTCACACCTACAAGCTGCTCGTCGACACTCACGCCACTCTGGAGCCTGTAAACATGACTGCCGCCGAGGCCGTCCTCGACATGATCCGTGCTTCAGGTCAGCGGCCCGAGCCGGTCCACTATGCTTCACTGATTCATGCTCGCGGTTGCGCCCTCCACGACATGCAGGGTGCGCAGAAGATATTCAACTCGGTGATGAGCGACCCCAGCATCCCACCCAACGCCTGCCTTTTTCAAGCCCTGTTTGAAGCCATGGTTGCCAACCACCGTGTCATCGAAACCGAGGTGGCCCTGTCACAGATGAAGCAACGACGTGTTGCGATGACCCCGTACATCGCCAACACGTTGATTCATGGCTGGGCTGCTGAGAAGAACATCGAGAAGGCTGCGTCGGTCTACCACAGTGTCGGGTATGCCAAGCGTGAACCCAGCACATATGAGGCCATGACCCGGGCTTACCTTGCTGTCGAGGAGCGCGGCCAGGCCAAGTCAGTTGTTGGCGAGATGCTGTCGAGAGGTTACCCCAGTGCTGTCGTCAACAAGGTACTGGAGCTTCTTGGCGGTGGAAGCAGCGAGGCCGCTGTTGCCGCTTGAGTGGCCCATTGGTGGCACCGGCCACATATATTGTGGTGGACGTTTTCTATTTGTTCCATTTGTTCTTCCTTTCAACGCGATACCCCCGTGCTTTGTTGCGGATAGTTGTTTGTAGAATTTTGGCCGGGGTTGTTGGTTGAAGCGGAGAGCAAGCTAGATATCATGCTTTATATGTCAGGTCTGAAGTGGATAATGTCATCCGCGGGCGGGACTGGCGTTGGGAGGAGCGTATAAAAAGGTCACGGATTTCGGCGTCATCGGATCAGGTCATCGGCTGGCATGCTGGTTATAGACACATCTCAACTCTGCATAAACTGCGAAAGAATTTTGGAAGCATCTACGGGGCGAGCCATGGGGTCAGTGGTTCACGGCGGATAGGTAATAGATGGGAAGGTCGAGTCAAGGGACTTGCGTCTTCATTCCGCCGAGAAGGGTGGCTGGTCGGATTGTGTTTGCATTCCCGGATCAGTGGGCCTGGACGCATACAGCGTCGCATGGCGTCAACGGTGGTAGACCTACTTGTCTGTATGATAGTCAGCAATGATACAATTGTTGAAAGCACAAACCTCTTGGTACACTCAGCCCTCATAAGTCTCCGTACGCGCATGTTGGCAAGATTCTAACAAACTAGTCTGGAAATAATGGAATAAGCACCCTAGAAAAAGCATTAGGGATAGCTAATAAAGATCCAACCTGTTAATTCGGTGTGCTTATCCGATTTGATGAATCTACCGTGGTTTGCTAGAAGGGTCGTGTACGGAGACTTATGAGGGTTCAGTATAGCATGGGCGAACAATCAGCGATTGTTCCATGGTGCTCCCCGAATGTCTGATTCAAGATTTTATTTCCCCTTAGTGCCTCGCTGCTCTTTGTCTGCAAAATGATGTCTCGTCAGCATCAAACTTCCGAGCGGCAATTTCTGTCTGGTAACTGGTCTCCTCCTGACTGCGACTAGTCAAGAACTGTTGGATCAGGTCCGGCGTTTTCTCCTTCCCCTTTTCTATCTACCTAGTCAACTACGACATAAACTTCCTCATCAAACAGCAAGTCACTGGCGGCACCCTCCTCGAGGAGCTCGGCCTCTAGTTGCTCTACATCGCTCAAGGTCACTTCGTCGAGGAACCCAACACACAGATCACGTTCCTCTCCTTCCAGCTCGAGCTGAGATAGGTGGACGGCGACGAGGTTCACCAGGAGGTAGTACAAGCCTCGCGGGCTGCGAGCGACGTCACGCGCAGCAAGGAAACGGTCGGCGAGTGCGACCGCGGCGTACTCACCAACCCAACGGCCCTTGTCTTCGGCGGCGAAGGCGGCGTCGAGGCGCAGGAGGAGGAGACGCATGACTGGGAGGTTGGTTTTCTGATCAGCATCATGGGGGAGGAAAATGGTCACGCGCAGCAACTGCCCTACTATACGATCTACACACACCCTTGCGACATAAAATGCAAGTGGGTGTTCCAACTTACTGGTGTTCTGGAACTCGGCAGCGCCCAGATGCTCTCCGAGCTGCCAGAGGTCGAAGAGGAGGCCGGAGTCCCAACTCTCGGCACGGATGGCGGCGCTCACAGCGTTGTTGCCGTCGTTCATGAGGTAGTCGGCCAGCTCCCACTCGTCCCGGACTGTCTGTCCGCCGGCGGCCGCCGCTCGTCGCAGGATGTCCAGACCCGCCGGTGCTCGCTCGCGCACGTTGGGAGCTGGCAGGTCGGGGTCCGGCAGCATCACAGCCTGCTCGGTGATTCGTAGGTTCTGCACGCCGGGGACGGTCATCCAGACGCCGCGCGAGGCGATCCAGGCCGGATCCATGGTGGACGTGATGGCGGTGTCGATAATGGGGTCGTTGAGGAAGGGGTTGGGTGGGAGGAGCCGCTCACAGCGGGCGGAGAGCCAGAGGACGAAGAAGGGGATGGTGGTGGTGTTGGCTTGGGGGATGGTGAGGAGGAGGACGGGCTGGTTCTGGTTCTGCTTCTGCTGGTCTCGGAAGAGCTTGCTGGCGAAGGCCAAGAGATGCGTGCGGACGGTGTACTGATCTCCTGCGGCGGTCTGGATGGTGGTGGTCGCGTTGCCGTCGCTGTCAGGGGGTGGTCAGTCTGGAATATTCGTATAATACCTACACTGAACCCTCATGAGTCTCCGTACACGACGGTAGATTCATCAAATCGGAATCAGCACACCGGAATAAGCAGTTGGATCTTTATCAGCCATCCTTGACGTTTGTTCCAGGTTGCTTATTCCAGTATTTCCAACTGTCCCGCTGGTTTGCTAGAATCTTGCCGACATGCGCGTACGGAGACTTATGAGGGCTGGGTGTACCAGGGATGATGGATCAAGCGATCGTGCCTGGAAGCAAATAGCGACGAAGGGAGCCGGGATAGTGCTTGTTTCATTGGGGAAACAGTATAGATAGGGGTGGCTTACCTGATGCGAGGGACATCGCTACGTTGCTTGTATACAGCGGGTGCCATTGTCGATGATATAGTCGGTGACTTAGACGATGGTTCTGTGCTGGCAGTTGTGTTACCGATGGCTGGTCACCGAGGAGAAGTGGTCAACAGGGCAGCTTGTGATGGTTTTAGGGGTTGACAAAAACACTGGGAGGGCCTGGCAGTCGGTGCCAGTCGAGAGACCAAATTTTGGGCTGATGGGCAGTCGACAACCAGCCACGGCATTCAGCTTTGAACCAGGGCAGCAGCACGAGGGGCGCAGACGGTCTTGACAAGGTAGCCAAGTCTTTGAGCTTTTTTTGTAGTCATCACGATATATACTTTGTCTGCGGACTACGAACAGAGCGCCGAGTTCGTCAACTCACATCATGGATGGACTTCTGTAAGGGCATACGGTGCAGCTGCGAGCCCCTGATTCTATGTAGAACGCTTGAATTTGTCGAGCCCCTGGTTCTATGTAGAATGCTTGAATTTGTAACCTGCGTTACCTAACCAAGTGGCTGACAGAGTACCGGTAGTTTGCTTTATCATCTGGCAAAAGGGGTTTCTCCAAGAGCCGTTGACCTGCACAACCAACGGATTGCTGCTTGTTTGACCACAAATCACATGGATTTTGGCTTGCTAGAGACGTCCAACACATTCAGTCGAGGGGAATAACGATTGACAAGAGCCTTACATGATGGACATATGCTGGTAGAAAGGCACGGTCGACATATAGCCAAAATTATCTGGAAGATGTCAAACGTATATAGTCACGAAATCCCTACCTAAAGACGGTAAAATAACCCTTCGGTATATTCTATGATGTCTTCAGCTTGTCACGATTCTTGTGTTCATCAGCTCGTCACGATCCTCACATGGAAGTATGCCTCGACACACCCGCAAATATTCCTTGTCTACTATCCGATCTTTCGAGAAGGACACAGGCATTTCAAAGACTCGCCGAAGTCTGCACAGCCGCATCCAAGATGACCAGTAGGCGGCTGTGATCTTGCTGACTTCCTCCATGCATCTTGGTTCCCATTTTCCTCCCTCCAGCATCTGCAACAAAACAACATCTCCTCTTCATTTCCGCTAGTCCCATTTTCTCGTGTCTCACGATGGAGAAGCTGATCTTGATGATCAATACAGGTAAGCTCGTCCCATTCCTCAACCCCGGCCTCGTTCCTTGTCCCGTTTCTCATCCCATTCCTCATCCCATTCCTCATCCCATTCCTCACCCCGTTGCAAAAAAAAAAAAAAAAAAAAAACCAAACCGTATTAGCACAGGACCACCACACCTTGGCGAAATTGCCTTTCTGGTGGATGCTGCCTGTGTCACAAATAACCACCAGCTCGAAACACTGGCTCCCTGAGCTTGCCCAGACCCGGAAATGTCAAGACTGACTCTTCAAGAGTAGGTCCTTCCACTCTCGGACTGTGCCAGCTTCTCACCCATGGGGATACAGCACCAAACTCTTGACCTGCTGCGTACTAAACTTCCTCATCTAATGGAAAGAAGCCATGAAGAGGCATCCTTCTTACCGAGACTAATTCACTACATGGAAGCAGATCCGCATCAACGCCCCCCCGAAAATCTAGCTCTTCTAGAAGAGAACCGAAATACAAGCGGCCTTTCCCCTCACGAGACTCCCAACTCGACGGAAGTAAAACACTGCAGCCTCTGTAGAGGATGCTAGCTCCCGCCGCCCGAAAGCGAATCGCTGCGGAACAGGCTGAAGATGACGACGAAGGCGAAGATGACGACATCGTCGAGGTTCCCGCGCCGAAGAAGACGCGAGGCAGCAAGGCCAGCAACAAGTAAGTACACATCCAACCGGAACTGAAATTTCTTCTCTTGGATGTATCTTTTTTCTGACCTTTCACACAGCGCCCACTCTGCCAACCGAGGTCAGCTCTGGGATGATCAGCCCTGCACCCCTGAGGATCTTGATCGTGGCTACTAGGCTTGCCGACCACGGATCGATGATATACCGAAGCAGATACGAGACGACGTCGTCCTTACAGGGAGACCTACTTGAGAGACGGCATCTTTCGATCGGGCCCAAACCCAAATCTTGCTCACAACAGAAGGAAGATACATAGCGGCCTTTTACATGGAATTCTCGCTTCTCACCGCATCTCCACGAACTTGCTTATCGCCTACTTCTTGGGCATATCTTTTGACCGTCCGGTATCTTGCTTCTACGTTCATACGATTGCATCATCATCACCGTTGCTCCGAATTCACACACATCATCGACTCTTGCCAGTTGCGCCAATAGCAACTTCATGTTCTTCATCATGGCTTTCTACAATCAGAACCAGCAGGCCGCTGCCTTGTTCCGGGCCTCCAGCGTCCAGGCCTACAGCCCTGATGCTTACAACCCCGTGATCATCGGTGCCCGCAACGCTGATGTTCACCTTCGACACGTCTAGCACAAGCACGGCGGCAACGGACGTGGCGATGGTGCGTATGTGGCCTCGATGGTGTACTTCCCTGAGCCAGCTCATGGTATGTTGGGCCTCTCAATTTCCCCCTGAGTGCGTCTCGTCCTTCGACCATCGTGGCGGACGCGGCCTGATCGCCACCAAGGAAGGGGACGATGGCCGCTTGGATCATCTAGTCACCCCCGTTGTTACCTAGAGATAAAGAGACTATTGGCTGACTGCACTTGACAACCTATGCTGTGTTTACGTCTCCTGACATCGCTATAGGCAGACTCGTCATGTGCGAAAAGGCCTTTTGCGCCTCCTTCTTCCACGACAGGGCCGATCCGCTCCATACCAATTGGGTCCACAGCTCCCTCACGAAACAGGGCTTCTCCGGTGCCAACGCCCGGCTGAGGAGTTGGACCTGCGAGCTGAGCTGCGCAAGTATATAGTTGAGCAAGGCGAGCTGAAGGATGGCGAGGAGCCCATCCGCGAGCGTGTATACCCCTTGACCGTGCCTCGAGGCTCGCCCTTTCCCAAGCGATTCAGAGCCAGCTCTCCCAGCCCTTTTCTAGTCTCGGAGACAGCTACGTTAGGTAAGATATAGACACTGCATCGAGATCCCGTCTCAAGATGTTACTAATATGAAGGGGGAGAAGACAGGAAAGACCAGAAGCCTGCCCGCGAGACGTGTAATACCATTTTTCAGATCCGAAACCATGCCGTCGATCTTCCTCGTTCAATGCCAACCATCGGCTCAACTCAACCATGGCTCCCAAAGCCGGCCGGTCCGCACCACGTGGGATGATACCACGCGAACGGACCTGCTACAGGCCCTCGTGGAAGTGACTCCTCCCACCGGGGAGGAGTGGGTTGCTATACGAGCCTGGATAGCGACTGTCCCAGCTTCTGTATCGACCCTGTTCAGCGGCGAAACTGGGGAGTCATCGATCTGGAGAAGGATGACTGAGGACTTGGAGACATGGAGCAGGCGTTTGGTCAATACCTAGGTCGGTTCGTCGAAGGGTTGGAGGGCGCGGAGTGAATACGAAACCGTCGTCTCTTTAGGTAGTCAAGAACCAACGTTGAATAGAAGAGGCTTCCCTCGGACTACGCCCCCTATCTTTCAGAGACCTATAGTACCTTGGTCACGTATCGTTCCCTTGCAACTTGTGAAGCCGAGCTGTTTGTCAATAGTAGAGTATCCTGCGATTTAGAGCCTCGATATTCTCTGCGCCTCCCGATTCTCTCCGTGCCCCATAGAGGAGTCCCCGAGTCTGCCTCGGTCGCTGTACCCCCTAGTATGTACACTTAGCGAGAGGCCATCCTCCGAATTGTAGCCCCCCTTTCCATGATTGTCGTTCTTGCCGTACTCCTGCCTTGATATCACCCACCCAAAGGGAATACAATGCCAGCGAGAAACAGTCCGCCTTCCAACCTTGGTGGTGGTACCCCTCCTCTGCCTTACTAGAGGAGTCTGTTCTACAGCGTCTCTAGGGGTGAGGGATGAACTCCTTTTCCTACTATTCAGACCAAGAACAGGTCCCCATACCAAGAGTGAAAGATAATCCTTGCGTGGTAGGCCTTTGAATCAACATATAGAACCTATAGAGCCTGCAGATAGTGGTACTAGGTCTCCCCTTTCGTCTGAACTTCCATCAAGTGTTTGCCACGGACCAGCAGGGCACTGGACCCCTAAGTTACTGCCTTAGCGTTCCCATTGGTGCAGCAACAGCGGAACAACTCGTGTGCAGACCGGTAATTTGGAACTACGTTTACTTGTGATTTTTAATGCCGCCAGAGAAATCCCCAACCATCAACAACCACCCACCACCGCCGCAAGAACAGATCGAGAAAAACTATGGCGACCACCACGGCGCCACGCAACAAGTAAGTTGTCTCTATTATTCCTTTTATTGCCCTTACCTTCTCCCTGTTGTTTATTTCTCCCGATTTGTTGCCCCTCTGCTACCACTGTCCTTTCACCACTGTATCTTCTCGCGGCCGCCCGTCGCTTTTCTCCTGCTGCCCATGCCTGCTTTCCATTTCTTTATGGGGCTTCTCCTGGTGCCGTTGTCTTCTGGCACAGTAATTGCGCTGTCTCTGGTGCTGCCTCTGGTGCTGCCTCTGGTGCTGCCTCTGGTGCTCCTCTTCTGCTGCTCCCCTTCTGCTGCTTTCTCCCGGTTTGCGGCCCCTCTGATACCACTGCCCTTCCCACCACTGCATTATCTCGCGGCCGCCGTCGTCGCTCCCCTGCTGCCCATGCCTACTCTTCACCTGATGGCGCTTCTCCGGGTGCCGTTGACTGCGCTGGCCAAGTATTGGCGGCGCCTCTGCTGGTGCCCTTGTTGGTACCTCTGTTGGTGCCTTTGTCTGCTGCTTCGGTCTGCCGCGGGTCGTGTCTCTAACCTTCTACTACTACCCGCCAACTCTGGCAAAGCCGATGCTACAATGTCATATCACTTCACCCTGTCCTTCTACTTCTGCTTCTTCTGAGTCCCTTTCTACCGACACCTGGCTACATATTTTCGCCCCCATAGCCTTCATCCCACTTCCCTTCTCCCACTCTCCTGCTCGCACTTCCGTTCGTCCCGATCCTACCTTCTCCCAGACATCTGGGCTGCTCGATTGCCGTCACTGGCCTTGTCAACTCTCCCGACTCCATATCCTTCTCGAAAGGCAGGATGCCAGCTTGGTTTGCAGTCGCCTACCACTTCCTCTATGATCTCATAGCCAGAGCATCCTCCGTGTTTGGTGCTGACCATGCGCTCCTTGCGGAGAGCCGGCTCTCCTACACGGCTCGCCCCATCTTTCCTTGCCACTTCCTTCGGCTCTCTCTAGTTCGTCAAAGTTCTCTGCCCTTCACCCTTCCACTGGTTTCGCTGGACGGCCGACCGTAACCATGTTTCCACTTTTTCCCGTACCTACCTATCTGTCGCTTAGATGATGATACTTTCCGGCAGCTCTTTGTCTGCTCCTCATCATGGCAGCTCTTCCCATGATCACCATCCCCTGGTTTCTCCGCTTGTCATTCTTTTTCTGTTCGTTCTGGCTATGACATGGATCTTGTGGCCGTGCTTTCGCCACTGCCTCTCTCGCCGTGGCATACCATTCTTTCGCCGCTGCCTCTCCGGCCGTGACGTCCTGTTCTGGCGCCGAAAGGACAGCAAGCACATCTTTCTCATCCACCTTTCGTCACCTACCTTGTGATCGTTACTAACTTGTTCCTAGGATTAGGATCTTCGATTTCGACAGAGGTAAGAGAACGCCACTCAGAGATCCGGTGGCGCTACTCCAGATCTAACGTTTCTAATAGACCGTGACCCCAACATCCCCTTCATTACCCAGGCGGACTCACTGTTCGACCTTCACCGAAGCCAGGGCGTCGACCCCATTAAGCTCCGCACTGATGTCGGTAAGTATCTATCTCCAGTCTTGATCGCGTCCCTCTCGATGTATGCACGGGAGTCGTCCATGGGGCGGTCCGCGAACTCTGGGTCTCCGCTCTCGGAAGACGTCCCAAAGCTTTCCCACTATCCACTCGACGGCATCGAAACAAAGTGCATTCATTAGCTGATCCCATCATGTCACAGCGATTTCTCTTCATCGTTGGGCTGGAGACAAACACCAGAAGTGGCTCTTCTACAATGCGATCCGACACGTCATAGACGACCAGTATGTCACCCAGCTATCTTACCTACCTCTCGTGTGCTTTGCATCTAATAAAACCCTCTCTCAACAGTCTCTTCGGTCCAGTCATTGGCCCCAACGGCCAGCGAGGAAGAGATCAGAGACCGGGAGATCAGCATGCACCTAGCTACGGACAGCAGGCTCACTCACATGGCTACGGAACGCACGTAAGCCAGGGGTACGGAATGCAGGCAACCTCGAGCTACGGAACGCAGGCGGCCCCGGGTTATGAAACGCAGGCGGCCCCGGGTTATGGCACGCAGGCGGCCTCGGGCTACGGAACGCAGGCGACCCCGGGCTACACACAGCACGCGACCCAGGTATACGAACAGAACGCGAAGGCATACGGACAAAAAACGAGCCAGGCCCTCGCGCAGCACTTGCAGGCGTATGAACAGCAGGAAACCCAGACCCTCGAACAGCAAGCGAATGCCTACGGACTGCATACTGCAAGCCAAGTCTATGGTCACAATGCAAGCCAGGCATACGGTCAACATGGAAGCCAGCGCTATGGAAACCAAGGCTCCCAGCACGATCAGGGCCGACAGAGTCGCCGCCATGGCGGCAGCGACGGCAGTCCTGAAAGCCAGCGACACATCCACCCCAGTCGCCGCGATCGATTCTAGACGTTCGGCATATCGGCAGCTGTAGCACCAGGACTTGGCTCAGTCAGGAACATGCTGCCTTTCATAGGTGCTTGGGATGGGATTGGTTTCGTTTCGGGGTCGATTTGATCACTTGCTTCCATTCCAACCCCTTTGATTTCACCTTTTGCAATCTGGCGTTTTCGGAAGCAATGAATACAGGTTGCTTACATACAGCATGGCGTCTACGGTCTTCTCTACAGCATGGCGTGTGTTTTTTTGTGTTCTTCTCCACGTTATTATGTTTTTGTGAAGCCCGTTGCGGCGTTTACCGAGTGACTGCTTACCTACATCGACTTTGGAATAGTTCCAAGGGCGGGACAATAATGACGAGAGGGGAGTGTTGACTTGCTTGAGGCCTGAGATACACAAGCACTCTGCTCTGACGATAGCTGTTCTGCAATATGGGAGCTTTGCTGACCGATCATCACGGTTTCTGGTCTACGTTCAAGGTGATGACGAGGGCGACATTACCGGGGGCTTCACGAAGTCCTCAACATCGAGTGCAAAGTGGTTGTAAAAGTCGAAGGATGCACCACTGCTCCGAAGCGGTTCAAGGGTAAGCCTACCCATTCCCCCCTTAGCCTCCTCTCTATAACTACCCAGCTAATATATCTGTCTAGATATCGGCAAGCGAAAAGAACTAGATGTTTACCATAACAAGAAGGGAACGTACTAGGAGGTTCTTCGAGACGACACTAGGCGTGTCCTCGTCAAGCACCGAGACATTTAGAGCTTCGTACTATTACTGCAAGCGAACTGGAAGCGCAGCACCTAGTAGCTGGGAGATAGACACTTGGTCTCAAGAACTGGGGCCTACAGCGTCATTGTCACCTTTTCAGCGTTGAAACATTCACTTGCAGCCGAGGAAGGTATGGATTCTTCTGAACAATAATCGAATTTCATGTATGAGCCTCATAACAGATTCGTAACGCCAGGCTAACCAATGTTGAACTCCCCAGCAGCGTTCGTTGCTTGCATCATCTTCATGCGCATCCTCCTGGCCGCGTCATCATCCGCAGTGCCGATTTCATCATGGTCAGCTCTCCTGTCAACCGACCGCTCGTCCCGGTCGTCAGACTTTGCCGCATGCTTCTGTGCACTGGGCTTGTGGTTGTGACCAGGCTTGAACGTCCGTCTCGAAGGTCCGCCACCAATGCCACCCGGCGCCTCTCTCAACCCGTAGCTCTTTGCCGTGTGGCCCAGATGCAGCTGCGTGATATCAAAGCAGCTCCGTTCTTCGCGAACATGAGTAGCATAGGCTCGGATATGAGAACGGAATGCTTGCCGAGCTTGGTCTAGGAGTTTAGACTTGCCCTCTTTTTCAGATGCGAGTAGGCGCTGCTCCACATGGAGTTGCAAAGCTTCAGCGCGCGAGTTTGGAGATTGTCTGTCGGAAACAAGTATCGGCGCCTCCGAACCCTTCTCAATTTTTGGCAGAGTGACGGGAGAGAGAAAGCCCTTCTGAAGAGTGGATTCGTAAGATTCGGCGACGGCTGACGTTGCGGAGTTGAGCAGATTTATGTATCCTTCCTCACAGCCAGGCTGGATGAACAGGGCGGCCTTGCCAGGCCGCCCTGCTCGGGCAGTTCGTCCTATACGGTGGACATGATCGTCTACACTGAAGGCGGGATCGTATTCGATGACGAGATCGACAGACGGAACATCGAGGCCGCGGGACGTAATGTCAGTGGTGATGAGGACGCAGGGATCCTTTGACATGTGGAAGGAGGCGAGGGTAGAAGTGCGCACTGGCTGTTTAAGAGAGCCGTGGAGTTTGAGCAGAGTTATGGCGGGATTGGCGGGAGAAGTTATGTAGGCGGCATCGGCAACGGTATTTGTGGTCAAGGACATCTCGTCGGGTGAAGGAGGTTGAGCGGGAGTCGAGCGGAGGAGGTCAAAATGGAAGTCGACTGAATCGGCGCAAGATATGAACACGATGGCCTTCATGACGGACCCTTTCCGAGCGAAAGAAGCCTTGAGGAGCGCGATGAGTGTAACCAACCGCAGCTTCGCTGGCACAATCATATACGACTGCTTGAGCTGAGAAGGCGCACTGAAGACAGCATCGTTGGTTTCTGTCGCATTGCCCTCCTCGTTGTCTGCCTTTGCAGCTGTGACATGGATGGCATCTTGTAAGCTGATCTCGCCCAACTTCTGCACGTTCATCTTCATCGTAGCGGAACAGAGCACGGTAACTCGCCGTTGCGGCAGAGTGTCAAACTTCACCCCTTCCTTGTTGGACTCTTTCAGAGCGTCCTCGCGGATCTTGCCAACAATGCTCTTGAGCTCATCCTCGAAGCCCATCTCCATCAGCCGGTCACCCTCGTCCAGCACTAGCCACCTCACAGTACCAACATCAAGGACCTTGGTATTGAGAAGATGGTCAGCCAGACGACCAGGAGTTGCAATCAAGATATTGACGCCCTTCCTTATCCGCGCCTTCTCGGACTTCTTGCTCTCACCACCTATTACAATGGTGCTAACGATCCAGGGTGCGCATCGAAGAACCTTTTCTAGTACCATGGCGATTTGCTTGCACAGTTCTCTCGTTGGGGCAAGAACGATAGCAAAGAGCCCAGAGTCACGGTGTATCTGTACAGCAGTGCTGGTGCCGTCCTCGTGCTGACTGAGTGCCATGATTCTCTGGACGATGGGTAACAAGTAGGCCAGGGTCTTTCCGGAACCGGTCTCGGCTTGTAGAAAGGCATCACTATCCTCCTTCACCAGCTGGGGTATGGTGTTCTTCTGTATCGAGGTTGGGGCTTTCATCTCGAGCTTCGCAGATAGATGCTGCGCGATTCGCCGCGATAGGCCTAGAGCATGGAAGTTCTCGGCCTCGTCGGACAGTGGGGCATTGGATGGCTTCGCGGGTTCGACCTCTTCGACAGGATCTTCGAAGACGGTCTTGGGTGTCGGGTTCGATGTAAAAAGTCGAGAAGTCACGCCCCCCGGCTTTGCGTTCTGGGTGCCATGCCTTGGTGCGGTGCTGATACTCCCCGGCGGCAGCTTTCCAGTCATGTACGAAAGGGATCTGGACGAGGTATCTGGGCGTGAATGGCCCCTCGCATCGCCATGAGTCCGCTGCCGCTTTGTCGGCCTCTCGTCATCGCCGGCGCGCTCGTCGTCCGAGGGTTTGTGGTCTCGTCGGTCGTTGGGCAGCGGGGTAGAGTTGCTGCCGCTCAGAGGGCCATCTCGATCCTTGTTGGCGCTTCTTTGAGCGTGTTTTCGGTCCCTCCAGCGGCCACCTGTGTACTTGACCTGGCGTTTCAACGGAGCATCACCGAGGTCGAAATTGAGGAGCATGCCGGTGTCTGCCATGATTCTAGATTTCGTGGGCGAATGTTGAAGCAGGGGGGAAAATCCGGCAGAATCACAGGAAACTTTTTGGCGGTCACGGAAGAGTACACTGAGCCAAGCCACACCGCCAGCCACACCACCAGCCACACCGCCACAACGACGTGCCTTGATTTCAACCTTTGAGCATTATCTTGTTGGTACCCTTGTCGGCACTACCTTATCAAAATCTGTGTCAGTACTCTCAGGCTCAATTGCGCCTCGTAAGATGCACTGGAGCCACGAGATAAAACAATTAGATGTTTCTGTCTTGACGTTTCCCCCACTGAAACTGATGCATAACAGTGGATTGAGCCCATTTGGTGCGTTCAGGGGTCATATGGCCTGTACGTTACAGCTTGGTGCCGACAAGTAGCTAATGGGATATACCATTAATTATGAGGGGGGCAGCTTTGACGATAGCAAACAACTGGTAGGCAAATAGAAGCTACAAGGTTATCAGAAGTTCTCTAATGACCACGGCAGAGGCACTACCAGAGGGTCTTTCGCGTGTTACCAGTTGACGGTAGTAGTTGCGAACGCTACGGCAACAGAGGCACTAAAAGAAGGAGGGAATGAAAAAGAAGAGGAAGGAAAAGAAGAGAAAGAAAAAAAAGAAAGAAAGAAAGAGAGAAAAATTAAAGAAAAGAGAAGGAAAAAAGGAAGAAAAATATAAGCGTATTTTTATACCTTTAATAAATATTTAATTATTAGTTATTTAAACTAATATTTTATAATATTTATAAGCTTAGGTTATTATTAAAATAAGAATTTTCTTTAATAACTTAACTTAAATGATACTTAATAATAATAATAATAATAATAATAATAATAATAATTGTTGGAACAGGTTTGAACGATCAATCATAATACTCGAGTATGGGGTTAAGGTCATGATGTTACTGATGGTTGGATTGGGAAGTCTAGCTGGACCTGCAGGTATGGCTAAGTGACCTCACAATCCGGTATCTAATCTCTTATCTAATCATATATGTGGGATCTATATGGATGGTTTGACTGTGGAATCACATAGATCCAACAGTTATTATTATTAAAAATGGGCTTTATGACGGTCTGCACGGACCTTCCTACATGACAAGCCGATATTTCCCAATAAGGGAAGGATCTGAACAGAGGATCCCCTTAAAGGGGCAACCTCTCACTGTACCTATCTCTCTCTCTCTTCCTTTCCTCTCTAGTCTTGATATTCTCGTCAATAGAGTAATAGCTGCTTGCTGCCGGCCATGTCCCAGCTCCTCAGTACGCTCGCCGTGACAGTTATTGAATTATTTTAAAAAGCTTACATCGAAAAACTTACTAATATTATTAAAATATTAACATACAATAAGTCTTTGAATACTTCAATAATATCAAAAATTATTATTAAATCTTAATTAAGATATAAAATCAGACTTACAAATATATTAATAAAAAACCGGATGGATTTTTTCCAAGTACTATTTTTAAAATTAAATATTACGTCGGTTATTTTAAAACTTTTTCAATTTGATTAAAACCTTATAAACAAATATATACGGGTTATTAATTACGTATTACATTACTTATACGGCACTGATAACTTTATAATACGATATTATAAGATAAAAAAGCTGTAAGTAATTAATAAACGCTCATAATGCTGTTTTTAAAAATATCATAAAAAATCGAAAAAGTATTTAAAACTACGGTTTTATTCTTTTTAATAAAGTAATCCCCTAAGAAGCTAACATATAAAACATAGTTTTTACTTTAAGTATTAAAGTTAAATTATCTATTATTATATAGCTAATAACGAAAACCTTTTTAAAAAGGCTTTTTGTGGAAAGGCTGCGAATCAATCCAGGTCATAATGCTCGAGCTTGGGGTCGGATTCTGATGTTGTAGATTGATTGATTGTGCAAAACCTGACTGGGCACGAAGGTCCAGTCAAGTAGCCGCACTTGCTTATCTAATCGTTCCTTGTACTTATCCAATCATACAGGTAGAATGAGAATCGCGCGGATCCAACATAGGATACTCTCTCTTTTGTCGTTGGCGATTCCATTCCATCCAAATCAACGTTGAACCCAGCCCTCGACTCGAATCGTTGTCTTGTTGTCAGAAACAAGGCTATCGAGAGCTTTGTTCGGTGACGACTTTGTCATTGAGTCAGCGGGGTTATCTTCGCCATGGATCCATCGGACCTCCGTGATCTCACGGTTCTCGTATGATTGTCGCAGTGCCATAAGGTCAATCATCAGTCGTTTTTCGCTGGTAGTGCCAAGTTGAACGAGGCACTGGTACAGCGAGTACGAGTCTGTGCAAAGGATCAAAGGAATCGTTAGCAGTTCAAGTCGTTGACAGATAGTGGCTAGTGTGCGATGGATCACATAGCCATAGTCGTATCCAGCTACCATGCCGTAGATTTCAGAAGTCAGAACACTCCGAGTAATTCTTTTGCATTTAGTAGAGGACCAGTGAACAATGTTGCCGCTCAGATCAAATGTGAATTTCTCGCCATCGTCTGAGGATTCGTTTCCCAGGACAATAACAAACCCAATCTGCGAAGATTGGTCTTTGTTGTTTGCAAATGATCCGTCAACAAACACAAATAGCTTAGCAGTAGACAGGTTTATCGCAATGAATCAAAGTCCGCGTGACTTGTTGTCCAATTGCCAGTGGATCTGTCGGTTCAATGCCTTGACATCCTCGTCAGTAGGCTCCTGAGACTGAGCTGCAACAGAGTAATCGAAAGCGGCCTCAGGTTGGCATATAGAGGCGATGTATGCTCCTCTCGCTCGCTGCTCAACAAATCGTTGTTTATAAGTCTCATCTTTTATATTAACAAGAGCCAGCTTGTCAGCTTGTCCCTTCTGGATTGCTGTAACGGTCTTGGCGTGAAACTCCAGGCGGCATCCGTTGAAATGACCAGCTGAACCATCATCGAACTCTGTTCGTGGCTTCGTCTTGTAGCCTACGGTCTTCATTTCGTGCTCTTCTTTCTCCAAGAAGCCGGGAGAACCGATAATGAATGTATCGTCGGTTTGGAGGGCTGAGATAGCAAAGTCGTCACCTTTCTTCGTAATGAACAAGCAAGGGTCGTATGCAGATGTTTCCATCTCTAGCTTCTCCTTGTGGTAGACTGAGTACGTGTCGTACCAGTGGTTGCCAGCTTCTGCGACTCCATACAGGGGCTTGTCCACGCGAAGAATCGTACCCTCTGGATACTTTGTCTTTAATTTAATAGATAGTTTGAAAAGAACTAAACGATTTATCGGATGTCGAGATTGCGTATAGGCCATGGTAATGTCACGGGATGCAGCAGTGCACCCTTGCTGTCTCAGAGAAGGGGTAATGGCCAGTGCCAGTCGTTGGCTACATCGCATGATTGTCGGAGCTTGGGTCATGATATTATGCTTTTCATGATCGTTATATCCTTGAACAACGAGTCTACTTTTCTCGTAAGGGCGGTCATTGACACCTTTGACAGCGCGGACGAGACGAGAGCTGAAAAGTCGGGTATCGCCGTGAACCATAGGGTCGAACAGGATAGGGACCAGTACTTCATCGGCGAACAAAGACTCGATCTCAAGAACGTCTGCTTGTTCGAATGGCTCTCTGGGGGTTGTGATCTTTCCTTCATTTCGCAATTTCAAGGCAAGAGCGTGGTCGGCGCGCTCTTTATGCGATAAGAAGATTGTATAGGAATATTGCTGGACGGGCAATCCAGCAAAGCTTACATCTGCGGCGTTTACAGAGACGTGGTGGATCATGTGCACTTTCTTGGGTCGGCCACGACGACGATTTGGAATTTGGTCCGGGACAGGGATCTTTAGAGGACGTCCGCGACGACGGGGTAGTACCAGTTCGGGGTATTCGAACGGGGTAGGAGTATCTGGGTCGTCGGGCTTTGGAGTATCCAATTTTGTTTCAGGGTGACGGTTGTATGGTTTGACATGTGTCCGCGGGAATGAAGCTGGGCCGTTGAGCATTTCAACGGTCACTTCTCAGTCCGTCACTGATAGTACTTTATATGGGCCTTGGTACTTATCTTTTTCACGATAGACAAAAACTTCACTGCCGATAGGTAGAGAGAGAGGCAGCGTTAGAGTTGTGTCAGGGCCATTTCTGGTGTTTAGAGCACTCTGAACATCGCGTTTGGCTCGAATCCTTTGTAGTTCGGCCATGGCTTTGGCTTGGGCTAAGACACGCTGGGTTTGCGACGCGGTTGGGGGTGAATCTAGTGTTACGCGTGGATAGGCTCCAAATACCAAGAGTGTAGGTACAAGCCCGTCTGGACCTGCGGTGTCGTTCACTGCTTTTACCGCCATCTGGAGGGCAGCTTCTTGGGAGATCTCGGGTGATTCGGCTCGGATGATCTCGTAAGAGCGTCGAATGGGGTTGTGGTATCGTTCGATCTTGCCAATAGACCAATGTGCTTCGACGGGAATCTGGTGACAAGTGATTCCCAAGAGTCGGGCTTCTGCTCGGAATTCCATAGCTGCAAAGTTGGTACCAGCATCGTGTGTCAGGACGTCGGGTGGACCAAGGTAGGTATCAATCCATCATCTTTTGAGTGCTTGCCAAGTTTCTCTAGCGGATAAATTGAGGAGGAATTGTGCTGCTTGAAAGGCTGTTGCAGCGTCAACACAATGGAGCACAGGTTTTCTATCCAGGTACATGACATCGACAATAATCTCATAATTAAAATCAACATCCTTTTTGATCGAGAACTTGAATCGATGTGGTGACGGGCCTTTGATCTGGCAGTGGTGGCAAAACTTGTTGATCATTTCGATGGCTTCTTGGTCAACAGGGTTGCCAGACCTTTCCAAAAGCTTGTGGAGTTTACGAACAGAAGGATGACCAAACCGAGTGTGGATTCGGCGTAGTTCTGCTTATGTCAGGAAGATTCCAGTTGACGCGCTTGTCGCCAATGTTGGGAAAAACCACGGGTGTCCCCACTTGCGGACAATTGGAATAGACTGGCCGTCTCGCTTCTTGAG